ATGTCTAGGCGCATTCATCATAGTTATTTCCATCTAGTCTCAAGGCCTCCTACGGGAGCTTCACAAGGTTCGACTTTTCCAAAAACTATTCATTAAAGTAATGTAATTATTCCATCTTTTGGATGATGTCATAGGATGCATTCAGGCATCCAAAACTAACAAATGAAATATAAAATGAGATAATTGTAAGAATCAATAATAAAATGACAATTATATATAAATCTGTCCATGAAGGGGGTTTTAACAATATAAATAGATCCGACTATAGAGGTAGAATTTAATAATAATAAATATTCAACCATAAGAGCAAAAACATAAATTAAAGAAGACATGTAAGATCAAATCATGTTTCAATAGGGGTGTAATTTTATACTTGTTAAACTCTTCGTACTGATAACTTGTTGTAATATTAATGATATATTTAGTAATAACTCAAAGATAAAGTAAACAAGTAAATAACAAGGACATAAGTGAGAGAATTGAGAGATTTGATTGATATACTTAATCCCTCAAAAGTTTTTGGATGTAAAGAATGAAAGGGAGGAGGGTATTTAGCCATCACACCATCCCACTTTCACCGCCTCAAGTTTCCTCCACCAATAAGTAAACGGTGGAGGTTCATTGCTTAATAAACTGGTCATATTCAGTTCTAATCCTTATTGTTACTCGACATCTTGCCACTTACAACACCACGATCTAACTATCAAATCACAACCCTTAAATCTTTCATTCATTTTGGATTAAAAACGTGACAGTTGATCTCGACTATAGAAAAGGCCAGAAGGCCCGGCATGAGGCAGTAGAGCCAACCGCACAGGACTTTGGCTCCCTCAGCAGCATTAAAGAGGCCAGTATTGCACGTTAGTCAGTTTTGACAAAGCCCGGGCAAACACAATTCACCCAAGACAGCTGGGTATTTCTTGGCCAGAATCCTTGTGTAAGCATTCATAGATGCTTTTGAGAGAATGTATGCGGACAGATATGTCGGCCAACCTTCTTTTCTAAGGATCCTTCTTTCAGATCCTTGAGAACTTGCTCAATACCTCATCATTCTTTCTTCGTAAGGCTTTCAACATCGTTTAGCACTTCTTTAGTCCCTTCATTTGTATATTCTGTACATGTCAACATTGTGCATGTTTCATAATAATATTTAAATTAATTTCAATGATATAAATTAGCTCTGTAAGTCACTTCTTTTACCTCTAATAATCCTAGAAGAGGAGAAACATTGACGATTCTTGGTGATCGGACAATTGAAGGAGGGCAACAAGAGCTTCAACCATTCTTTTTGCACCATAATAGTTTGTGTTCAGGCATTCTTCTGCCGTCTCAGAAGTTTGAGATGCAAGTTCATTCCAATTGGCATGCTCTCCCTGTGGCTGCATCATGCAACAAACTTAATCCGCTTGAAATTAATTTGAAGAAAGCTTCATGCCCAAATACCACAACAAAAGGTTAATATATAGCCAGTTATCATCTCTCTAATTTGCTTCTAAGCACAATATATTACTGACAACGCTCAATCGATCAACAAAGAAACATATAGTATATAGGATACCTACCCAACCACCAGAAAGTTCTGTGGCTCTAACAAATGCATCAGCGTTTAGTGTAGCTCCAATAAACCCTGCATTATTCACCTGTACATTCAAAACAGTATCCCTATTTAAATGGATTTGAAAGCGTTAACGAGCACTAACTTGGAGACCCATTGCTATTCTGAGATGTACGTTATGATGAAGTTCATGATGAACTATATATTACATATAAATTGGATTCCGGTGTACTTTTATAGCCTCGTTTTCTCCTTATATGCTTATAATGGAAGAGAAACTAAGTTAAACTCTGGTGAAGTTTCTTGGCGATTATATCCTTTCTATAAAAGTGTCCGCAATTTCTGAAAAACATTGTGCGGATTACGGAGATACTATCTCCATAATCACCATCTATAATGCAGTTATATTAAGAAAAAGATTGAAATTTCAAGGAAAAGAGGGTTGGCCTGAAACCAATATATCAAGTTTTCCAAATTGAGTGGCGATGAAATCTGCAAGAGAAGCACACTATCCTCCTTGTGTAAGCACTCATAGCCGCTTTGGATAAAATATAAGCCGACAAAAAACCAGGCCACCCTTTGGTTTCTAGTAAACCCTCTTTATAATCATTCAGATACTGCCTCAATATTTCATCCACTCTCTCGGTTGTAAGATTCTCGACGCCTCTTAATACTCCTTTGGCCCATTCATTTGTCACATACTGAAGCAATAAACAATGTTTACCATTCCACGGAATATTGTGAAAGACAACTAAAATGCAACACAAGTTAAAACAATAAGGGAAATGGTTTACCTGTAACTTTCCCAAGGTAGAGGAAACATTAACGATTCTCGGTGAAGTAGATAACTGGAGAAGAGGAATCAATGCTTCACACATACTTTTGGCGCCATAGTAGTTTATTTGAAGGCATTCTTCAGCTAACTCATAAGATTGAGTCATAATTAAATTCCATTTGATTGGCGCACCTTCCTGCATTATTGGGAGAAAAAATTATCTTAATGGTGGTGATTCATACAATTACTACTCACCAACTCAACAGTAGATACAAGAAAATTGAGGGACTAGCTTGCATGGAATGAAGCTTTATGTAGTCAACAAAATATATAGGCAAACTATACTTTCGAACCAATCAATGTATCGAAAGCTATTATTATTTTCCAAAAATCATTAGGCAAGTACCTTGATATGAGCTGAAGCATCGTCACGAAAAACTGCTCCACTGATCCCTGCATTGTTCACCTGCCAAGAAGTTCAACATATCTCATTGACAGTTTATGTATCGACCAGAGACAGTTATTAATTTGACCAAGAAAGCTAGTAGATTCTCGTGATATATTTTGATAGGGTGTTCTTACAGTTAATGCACCAAACAGTTTCACATAGTAAATAATTATGCGTGATGATCAGTGACCACCTTCATTAAAAATATATAATACACGGGCAGTAAAATTTTCAAGAAATTAACTGATTTTCAATCTAAACCTTACCAAAATATCAAGCTTTCCAAACTGACTTGTGATGAAATCTGCTAAAGAAGTAATACTAGCAGGGTCTGCCACATCAAGCTGGTGAAAAACCACATGATGATAGCCAGACTTTTTCAGTTTTTCAAAAGCTTCAAGACCCTTCTTCTCATCTCTTGCTGTTAACACCACCATGACTCCATTGGAAGCTAATTGCCTACATATTTCAAGCCCTATCCCCCTATTTGCTCCTGTAACAACTGCAATCCTGAATAGAGAAAATGGTTTCTGAAGATAGAATGCAGTGAGAAAGTGTAATGACAGAAAGAAATTAAGAAAAGACATTACCTCCTCGTTGCTTCTGCCATTCGTTGGTCAATTGTATAACTTAATTAAGTGTAGAAAATGATTGAACTACAATTTAACACTTGCGAGTTGCTACCATCGAGTATAAAAAGAAGGAAGCGGGACCACTTAGCCGACTTTGTTTGTATTACACCTAAGCCCACTCGCCCCTAGATTATTCATTATACCTCTAGATTCATACTACTTCAACCTGTAAGAGGAACTAGAAGGACATTTCTATATGACCGTTGTCTAAAACTAGATGTCATTCAATTAACCAGCTGAGTAGTTGATGAATTGTGATGAAAATATAAGTCAAATCTAATGCATGTTTGGTCAGAACAATGAGCTCAAGAGTATCTCCAATTATTCTCTTTTAAAAGTATTATTTTATATAAATAAAGAGTATTTTTATTAATTTTTAAATAAAAAATATATATTTTTTATTCAAATCTAATAGACTTTTTAAATTTAATGAAGATGCTCTTTATTTTTAAGAAAGAGACTTAATAGGAAAGAGAATTAATAAATAAAATACATAGAAACTTGTAATTTATTAATAAAAATTAGAATAGAGATAGAAATTCTCTCTAATTTATATTTTAAAGATAAAGAGTATGTTAAACTCTTATTTGTATGAATAAACACTTTATAATTAAAAGTTTAAATCATATAAATAATCTTATAGACAAAACAGATTCAATAAATATATGATAATGAACATCAAGTCAAAACGGGTAAACTAGTAAACAACTGGAACCCATAATCAGCTCTTGCGTCGCCTTTAAATTTGTTGAAAATTTCAGAAATCATTAATGAAAACGGGTCGTACTTGATTAATACATTAATAACTCGATGCTTTAATTTTTTACCAAAGATGAAGAAATGGGTGCATGTAATGACAAAGTTTAATCTTATCTCTTTACTTTATGCTTAAAGAATATAAAAATGGAGCACGTTGTTGTGATTCCGACAACATGAATAGTTTATACAAGTTTTAATATTGTTTCAGTCCATGCATGTTACTTCTTTATGGTCAAAGATGGAGGTAAGAATATGTTGAAAGAGATTCATTAATAGCCAATATGGCCGTCAAGTCTGGCGATTCATTATTAAAAACCTGTCTGGTATCTGACTACACTCTTTTTATAATTTTTTTTTTCCGTAATTGGTTCGTGATAATTTATCAAGTGAGATCAATTATAAACAGTTAACCAATTATAAACTATCACGTTATAATTGCAAGAGAAAGTTTATAAGAAGGGATTATAGATATAATATTTTCCTTACCTACCCTTATTTTCCCTCCTTCCTATCGATGTTAACGTTTCCCAAACTAGTCACCATTATTATTTATAAGAATCAAAGTATCAATAAATGTTTGTCTTTTAATGAGTTTATAGAGAAAGAGAAGGCAAAAGGCTAGGTAGCTGAAGCCATACTAGCTCTTAAAATGTACAGAATTTCCATATATTTTATCAGGCATACATAAAACCAAATAAAAGTACTCCCATCTTTATCACTGAGATTAACTGTTTTGTAAGGAATCAGTAAATTACTTCAAAAGGTTGTCACTTGATTTCGAGAAAAGTAAAGTGCAGAAGGTCCGCCATGAGGCAGTAGGGCCACCCTCACTCATCTTTCAGCTCCTTCAGCAACAGTCAAGAGGCCAACATTGCAATTCATGTCAGTCATGACAAAGCCTGGGGAAACACAATTTATCATGAAACGCGGGCACTTCTTTGCCAGAATTCTTGTGTAAGCATTCATAGCTGCTTTTGAGACTATGTATGCTGATTGATACACTGGCCAACCTTCTTTGTCTAACCACCCCTCTTTGAAATCCTTCAGAAATTTGTTCAATAACTCATCCAATCTCTCTTCGGTAAGTCTATTAACATCAAGTAGCACTCCTTTGACTGATTCACCAGGAACATTCTGGGCCAACATGACAGGAAATTTTCAGCCGGACATATTTAATGCCATGAGAAATATATATAAACAATAACAATGAGATTTTTAGCCAGTGTAATTACAATAATTTGTCCATGCATGTAGGAGCTGAGCATAAGAAATTACTCTTATAATTACCATCTGGTAATAAAATTAAGCTCAAAGGGGGTATTTAGATCATATAAAGGGATATTATATTAACAGAATAAAAAATTACCTTTAAAGATTATTAGAAATGTTTAAAAAATGTGTTTGATTGATTCGAATAAATTGGTAAATAATATGTTTAGTTAGGAGGATAAATAGGTGGGTATGTTATATAGATTACTAAATTGTTCTCCTTTTCAAATATTAATATAATAGTATTTTTTATTATTATTTTTGTGAATAATTTCCTTTAACCCCCAACTTTTCAGATTTAGGAAAAACACCCTAACAACCAAAAATATTTTAAACTTAACAAAAACACCCCTACCCACCCCAAGCCACTACCGACAGCCAACCACCACTGTTAGCGGCCGCCAATAGTGTCACAGATTTGGCCGTGATGCTGGCAATGCCATAGATCTGGCCATGATTGTTTCACGACCAAATTCATGACCACAGATCTGGCCATGAAACGCCAGTTGTTTCACAGCCACAAGTTTAACCGTGAAATGGTCAGGTCTTTGGTCTGTTTCATGACTAAAGATGTGGATGTGAATCTGGCCGTTTCCGACCATGGATCTGTGATCCATGGTCGGAAACGGCCTCACCGGCGCACAACTGACCATATACAACCAGCCGTACGCCATTATGACGACTTTTGGCAACCTTCGATGGCGATCCACGGTGGCTGACAGTGGTGGCTAGTTTTGGATACAATGACATTTTTATAAATAATGACAATAACAAGGGAAATGTCATCCGAAAAATTTAAAAAATGAGGACAAAAAGGTCTGCATGAGTGAATTGAGTGCTTTGTAAATCTTAACAAATATAAAACTAATTTGGACCAAATGTCAATTGTTTAGGGGCAATATGGGAAACAAAATATATTACCTTGGATAAGTTTTAATAACAGCCCCCCCCCCCCCCCCCAAAACAAAAGATATTAAGATTCCCAACAATTTACCTCCCAAATGCCACTATTTGTCATAACATATTCCAAGAATAATTTTTTACCAACCAAACATCGTCATCTGCCCAATTTAAAAAATATTACCCCAGTTATCTAATATTAACCGGATTCAAACGGCCCAAAGGTATGCAATACTAGTTCAATAACATGACTACATCACATTAACAAAGATTTTAAAAATCTAATCTGTCCGTTTAGCTATAATTTTTCTGGAAGCATTGTACTTAGTTTTTTCAGTTAATTGCTGAGAAGTCGGTCAGAAGCTGCTACTTTTATGACTATCACTTTCTTTTATACAGGACCCTTGAGAATGGCGTGTGTGGAACATGATTGTTCAGCAATGTAAAATGAAGCAAAAAAATTTGCTAGCCAGATAGAATATGAAGCGAATATCAGTGTTTTAAAGAAACCGAGTGATCAGCTATCTAGGACTTTCTCAGAAAGCAGTGTGCATTTACAAGTACTTTGAATATATATACGAGAGCAATCAAGTCTACATAAAGCATGTTATCTTAGAAGTAGAAGATTTTCTATTACCTTCAACGTTCCTAGCAAAGAGGTGACGTTGACAATCCGGGGTGAATCAGATAATTGGAGAAGGGGAACAAGTGCTTCAGCCATTCTTTTTACACCATAGTAGTTTGTACTCAGGCATTCTTCTGCCATCTCAAGAGTTTGAGTTAAAATTTCATTCCAATTTATGTGCTCTGCTGGCTGAATTAAAAAAAAACAAAAAAAACTTGAGAATCAAAATGTATCCCATTTATGATTTAATTTATACAAAATGCATATTACATTTATCCACAATATCAAAGTCATATATGCTTCAACAAGATTATGTGATGCAACTATGTCAGACATTCGTTTTCTCATGTTCAATATTTCTTCTGCTCATGCTTGACATGCCGTTTGCTACTTCCCCTACATTTGCATAAAGTAAAAACCTACCCAACCACCGGCAAGCTTCACAGCTCTCGAAAAAGCATCAGGGTCTTTAACTGCTCCAGCAGTCCCCGCATTGTTCACCTACACAGTTCCCAAATTTTCATATTAATTTTTCTAATCTTCCTAAGAAAAAATTTACAATCGACAAACATTGGACATACTACAGAACCACAGATAATTTGGACGCCAGACGCCAGTACACAACAACAATTCGAAAAAGAAAAAATTCAAATTCAAATTCAGATGCAGATGCAGATGCACATGCAGGTTTCTGCAATAATTAAGCATTATAAAATAGAGGGTAAAAAGCATACCAAGATATCAAGCTTTGGAAATTGGGTGGTAATGAAATTCGCCAGAGAAGCAATACTAGCTGGGTCCGTCACATCTAATCGATGAAAAAGCACAAGTTGAGAGAGACCATAGTGTCCGAGTCTTTCAACAGCTTCAAGACCCTTTTTCTCGTCTCTGGCGGTTACCAACACTATCACCCCCTTCGAAGCTAACTGTCTACATATCTCAAATCCAATACCCTTGTTTCCTCCGGTAACAACAGCATACCTGAGCTGAATTGAGATCACTAACATCAAAATTAATGTACCGAGCAAGCAAGCCAGGAAAGAATTTACCTCTTTGTTGCAAGAAAATTTGATGATGCCTCTGCCATTGTGCGTTCTAAACGATGTGAAAAAAGTTTCAGTATCTTATTCTTATGAAAGTTGTATAAGCTGCAACGGAATCAGTGAACATAGCATTTTGCCCTTGCAGCAAACGAATTAAAAATGAACAATGGCATAAGATTTCTGATTTGGCATAATATTATTATTATTAGTTTTTGTGACAGGGGTGTTTCGGCAATTTGAGCAAGTCTCAATTAATTCTTTGAGGTACAACCACGTAAACCCCTCAATGCTCACCCTTATTAGGGTATATGGAAACCCAAACTCATGAGCTTATAGAACCTCTTTTTGCTTTTTTATCATCAAATCATCCAATAGTGGTTGATTTGACATATTATTCACATTTGGCTTTTCGTATGAGAGCACGAATAAAATGATAATCAATCCGATTGATTGAAATAGATCAAACTTACTGAATAGTGGTTTGATAGTAACTTTTGGATGTATTGTTTAAAAGATCCTGAATTTAAGTCTTTTCTCAGTTGTTAATAGAGATAGTCACTAGAACTCTTACTCAGTTGGTGGTTTTAGGGTCCCGAAGAATTAATTGAGGAGCACGTAAACTGATTAAAACACTCCAGTCATTAAAAAAAAAGTGGATATTTTATATTTTAGCTTTGTGTAACATATTGAATGTTTTATTGGGATGTATATTCATACACTTATGTCTTTAATTAATCAACCTAAGCATAAAAACTCAAGTTTAAGACAATTCTGTTGTATAATAATTAACTCAGACAAGCGAATAAATTAAAAAATAAAAGAGAGAATGGACAAAGCAAGAGAATTGAGAGCTATTGGACTTAATTGATATGGACCTTTCAAATTTTGGATTAATCTTAAGGAGAGATTTGAACATAAAAAACCAGTAATACTCCCAGAGGCTCAATATGACTGGAACCATTTGCATTTACAAGAATATAAATCTTTAGCGAATATAATTCTGGTTTATTTGGTATTGTCTCTGAATTAAGATTATGTGGAGAGAAAATATCTGAAGAAAATATGTTGGAAAAAACATTCTCCACTTTCCACCCTTCCAATGTGCTCCTACAGCAGCAATTCAGAAGCATATTAGAATGATGGAACTGCAGGAGTATATTGGAAGGGTTGAAAGTGGAGAATATTTTTTCAAAAAAAAAAAAATTCATATATTTTCTCTCAACATAATCTTAATTTAGATTAAATAAAGCAGAATTATATTCACTAATAATTTATAGTCTTGTAAAAGCAAATGGGTCTAGTCATATTCAACCATTAGGAGTATTACTGATTTGTTATATTCAAATCTCTCATACAGATTAATCCACAATTTGAGTGGATCTTTTATATCCCTATACTCAACTCGTAGTCCTTCTTTGATACGATGCTGAAGGAAACTAGTAGCCTTTAGTTTATCCTGCAAGGACGCCATGTTTCCTTCCTTAATCACTTCCCATTTTTGGACGTAAAGAATGAAAGGGAGGGAGTATTTATAGCCAACACACCCTCCCACTTTCACCGCCTCAAGTTTCCTCCACCAATAAGTAAACGGTGGAGGTTCATTGCTTATAATGAACTGGTCATATTTAATCTAATCCTTATTGTTACTCGACATCTTGCCACTTACAACACCACGATCTAACTATCAAATCACAACCCTTAAATCTTTCATTCATTTTGGATTAAAAACATGACAGTTGATCTCGACTATAGAAAAGGCCAGAAGGCCCGGCATGAGGCAGTAGAGCCAACCGCACAGGACTTTGTGCTCCCTCAGCAGCATTAAAGAGGCCAGTATTGCACGTTATGTCAGTTTTGACAAAGCCCGGGCAAACACAATTCACCAAGAAAGCTGGGTATTTCTTGGCCAGAATCCTTGTGTAAGCATTCATAGATGCTTTTGAGAGAATGTATGCGGACAGATATGTCGGCCAACCTTCTTTTTCTAAGGATCCTTCTTTCAGATCCTTGAGAAACTTGTTCAATACCTCATCAATTCTTTCTTCTGTAAGGCTTTCAACATCGTTTAGCACTTCTTTAGTCCCTTCATTTGGTATATTCTGTACATGTCAACATTGTGCATGTTTCAATAATATATTTAAATTAATTTCAATGATATAAATTAGCTCTGCAAGTCACTTTTTTTACCTTTAATAATCCTAGAAGAGAGGAAACATTGACAATTCTTGGTGAATCGGATAATTGAAGGAGGGGAACAAGACCTTCAAACATTCTTTTTGCACCATAATAGTTTGTGTTCAGGCCTTCTTCTGCCGCCTCAGAAGTTTGAGATGCAAGTTCATTCCAATTGGCATGCTCTCCCTGTGGCTGCATCATGCAAACAAACTTAATCCCCTCGGACATTAATTTGAAGAAAGCTTCATGCCCAAATACCACAACAAAAGGTTAATATATATAGCCAGTTATCATCTCTCTAATTTGCTTTTAAGCACAATATATTTAACTTGACAACAAAGCTCAATCGATCAACAAAGAAACATATAGTATATAGGATACCTACCCAACCACCAGAAAGTTCTGTGGCTCTAACAAATGCATCAGCGTTTAGTGTAGCTCCACCAATCCCTGCATTATTCACCTGTACATTCAAAACAGTATCCCTATTTAAATGGATTTGAAAGCGTTAAAACGAGCACATAACTTGGAGACCCATTGCTATTCTGAGATGTACGTTATGATGAAGTTCATGATCATGAACTATAATATTGAACATATAAAATTGGATTCCGGTTGTACTTTTATAGCCTCATTTTCTCCTTATACACCTATTAATGGAAGAGAAATTAAGGGTAAACTCTGGTGAAGTTTCTTGGCGATTATATCCTTTCTTAACAAAAGTGTCCACAATTGTGCTGGATTACAGGAGATACTATCTCCATTATGAACGCATATATTTACTAATCACCAATCCATAGAATGCAGTTATATTAAGAAAAAGATTGAAATTTCAAGGAAAATAAGGGTTGGCCTGAATACCAATATATCAAGTTTTTCAAATTGAGTCGTGATGAAATCTGCAAGAGAAGCAACACTAGCAGGGTTTCCCACATCAAGCTGATGAAAAATCACATAGTCAGAGAGACCAGGCTCAGACTCCTTCAGTTTTTGAACAGCTTCAAGGCCTCTCTTCTCATCTCTGGAAGTTAGCACAACGACAATCCCATTAGAAGCCAACTGTCTACATATTTCAAATCCAATTCCCTTGTTAGCTCCTGTCACAACTGCATACCTGGTACACGAAAACATGTAATATTCAGAAATTAAAAGTCTGACTAGCAAGACATGCGTATATATATGGTGAAATCTTGTTTTAATTTTTTGCATAGCTATTTCTAATATGTTGCTACTTCATGCAGCTTGTTTAAGTTTAACTGATGAATTCTAAAGCCTTTTCAAAATCCACCATGTTAACACTGTCAAATCTAAGCTAAAAACAAGAGGAAACCAAAAATCATGAAAATTTATATACCTCTTGCGAGTTTAACTGATGAATTCTAAAGCCTTTTCAAAATCCAGCACGTTAACACTGGTCAAATCTAAGCTAAAAACAAGAGGAAACAAAGAATCAAGAATATTTATATACCTCTTTGTTGCAAGAAAGGGTGATGTTTGTTCCATTTCCATATATATTGGTTGAGGGACAGGAGTAGTGTATAAATATTAAACTAAAGAAATAAAAATGGGCTTTCCTGTTCTTGAAGGTCTGTAAAGCTCTGGTTTTAAGTAAATGATTTTTTGTGATGGATAAGGTTGAAACAGTTTGAGACAGGCTCTCGTCTATAAAGGAAGACAATATAAGATATGTATGGAATGACGTAACACAATCTTGATCATTAATTAAATTAATATTAATCAAGATTATATCACGTTATTTGATATACGAATTTAGTACACATCTTTTGATAGCTGTAAATGCAATTATCTACAACTCACATTACAAAAACATTTTACTAATTTAATACGACGTCAGATCTTACGCCTCTAACTGCCAACGAAAACTGAATCTTTTTTCACTTAAAATAAGTGGTTTTATAAGAAAGTTGTTTGTCTGTATACACCAAATTCATCTTGATGATAACGCCAATTGAATTGTCAATTTCTCTCTTTATTTTATTATTTTATATTTTTTGGAAAATGACCCATTAATTATCATACCACATATACAAACAGTAATGGTACACGTTCGCCGGCATATAATAACGTATATAAAATAATAACCCAAAGAATAATTTATAATAGCCAGCTAGACATTATACATTAAATAAAAGCTAGGCCGCAATAATTTCCTTTTGTTTTTTTTCTTTTTTGGTGATCTTAGATTTAGCGAGATCTCGATGTACGTATCTCTAACCAGTTTAACCAGATGACTTGAATTCCTTTTGTATTTGGTCGCTACGACGCTATCACATCTTCATCTCAACCTTCCAAGTTCCAACACAATTTATTCACATGCTCTCACGCAAAAGTCCTCATAAAATGAAACTAGTATTTTTGTTGTTCCCCGATACCATTTAGCAGAATAATTCGTTTGAAGAAATCAATAGCTCAAGGGGTCATCTCTACTAAAGAAAAAGATTATACATGAGTTTAATCCATGGCAATATCAAAAGCAGATTGAGAGGGTCCCAACTCTCGTGTTACTTCTTAGCTCTTATACATTTCAGGCTTAAAATTGGGAACCAGAAGAATAAACCAAGATTGTTGTTATTGGCTGCACAACATTGGTGTACAACCTGCTGAAAAATAGTTTTGCACAACTAAAAGAGCCTTATTTCTCGTGAACCAGAGGGCTGTAAATAGGGTACCACATGTTTTGAGTGATATATTCCACTGTCTCCTCCTGCATCCAGAAACCAAAGGCAACTGTTAATTTTATAGTAAGGCTAAAAAGGCCAATGTTATGAAAAGCATAATCTTATGCGTGGTATCTCATCATCTATCCTTTGCTAGATAATATTCATGATTAAAGAACTCAATGCTTCAATTGCAAGAACAGCATCCTCTTGGTTACAGGAAAGTATGCATCCATATGTACATATCTTAAATTTGCCGTACCTGCGTCACTTTAAAGCTTGTTTCAAATTTTATATAGTTTCTTTCTTATATCTTTGAATGGCATATAGCTGTCAGTCATACAAGAGTTTGTAGCAAGTAAAACAGGAGTTTTTATAATCATACTTTTGACATTTGCTTCAGCTCCCTGGGCCCTACATCACCATGTCCTTCTGCAAGTTCTTCTGCAACGGCTGCTCGGAGAACAGCAGCTCCCACCTCTGCTGTAATATGTCGAATGCTGCATTGTTCACAATTGGATTAATCAAGTGCCATATATATAGTTTGCATTTTACCCATTCATACCATGAGCATCACTAGTACATTAATTGAATAAAGTTAACATTACAGAATTGACTAAACAGCAAGGTCATTCCTTCTTCAGCACATAAGTTTGAAAATTTTCCCTTGAAAAAAGTCTTGGAAAAAAAAAAGGAGCAAAATAAGTCCCGTCCCACCAAAGGCTGAGTCCTACTATGATGGGTAGTAACAACTAAATGCATTATTTAGGTGGATGATGAAGACCAAGAACACATTAAAATCTTTCAAAGACCATAAAACCATAAAACACAACCCGATACAGAATCAATAAAATATTCTGGGTAGTTTAGGCACACAACCTGGACCTCAAATCAGGTGCAAATTGTGACGTAAGTTGCTTCATAGTTTGAATATCAATGGTAGTACTAATGGACCAATAATAAGTCAAAGTATCTTTGCTACCAGCTACTATAAGTAGATGGTTCTTAACTCATTTTATAAAGAATTTGAACAATAGGACTATATAAGCCTAGGAAAGAAGAACGAAAAAAAAAATGACAATGGCTAAAATAAAAGAAATGCCTGTCACCACAGATAGGTGAGAATATTACCTATGAATGGATGGATACAAAATGCCCTTTTGGATTTCCTCATCTGTCATATAAGATGCCAGGCTACAAGAGAGAACATGGTGTTAACAATTTGCTGGAGAATAAGGCCCATTAATAAGTAGGACAAATAAAACATAATTATTTAATATTTTGTAACCAACGCCTAGAAGATCCTCTGATGCAAAAACAGAAGATATACAACACCACATGGACTAACACGGGTCTGACCTCAATGCTGGACTTCCAACAAATCGTACAATTCTACACTAAGGTCAGGACAACACACTAAGTTCCATATAGTCGGTTTCAAGCTTCAAAGTCCAAATAGAAAAAATTCCTAAGCTCTATTATTTGAGAATTTTAGATGGAGTAAAGAGGCAAGCACCATATTATCGCATACATACCATTCTGAAGCTGCTTGTAACATTCCATCCGTTATAAAATGAGCACCTGAGAAGAGTGTTCCTAAACCAATCCTGAATTGAAAAGTGACAAATTATACATGAATGTTATTCAGCAAAGTCAACCAAAATAAATAATAATATAAGAAACAAGATAAAACACCAACCCGGGGAAGAGGTACATGTTATTTGCTTGATTTACATGGCCTACTTTTCCATTTCCTGGCAGAAAAAAAGAATTAATAATCAAATACAAGACAAAAGTCAGAATTACAACCAAAACATTGCCCTGAATTATTTTAACCAAATGGTGCCAAAAGAACTGAACATACCAAGATCAATATTCTCAAAAGGGCTTCCACTAGCAAACACTATATTTTCCCCAGCATGATTAAAAGCATCAGCAGCAGTGCATTCAGCTGTTGCATATGAAATGCCAACAATAATATCAAGCTGCCACAAGGAAAATGGGGATGCAAGAGAAGGCAGGATAGACATACCATTCATGGTCGGATTCGACATAGCAAAAATGGCAGGTTTCTTTGAATCAGACTCTCGCATGGCCTTAAGCACCTATTTTAGATGCCAGTTGATACTTTCAGACAAAAAGAACTATAAAACTGTGCAAGCACTTATAAAATCACGAAGCATGTAAAAATCTCATGATAACAATTAGAGGATACATTCCCAAGGGAATAACATATTAATTAGATCTCTAGCAGAGGTCTAAGGATCAAATGCTCCTCATGCACTTATAAAATCAAAAAACAAGAGGTCTAACGATCAAATCTTCCTCATACCAACCTGATTTAATCTGAGTACGTGATGGAGAAGGGTAGGTCGGGGCAAATGATCATATAGGATAACAATAAATTCTAAATATATTGAATCCAAGAATCAATATTGACCAGTGCATTATTTATTCTTTTTTTTCTTTTTTCTTTTTTGCTCCAATTATTTAATATGCTTCCTCTTGTTTTGAGGAATTATAGAAAAGGATGAGAAACATATAATTATGCGTTCACCTCCTCATTGAAGATACCACCAACTCCAGACAAACCAAGTAACACATGGGGCTTGACCTTTTTAACCTGAAGAAATATGGGCTCTCAGCAATGCAAATTGTTACTTGTAGAAAAGAGTATTTAAATGCTTAAGTTAGTGATGTTCTTTACCACTTCAAGTAGACTAGCTCCCTCCTTCAGCCCCATCTCTCCTGGATCTTTAGCAAACGGTAGTGCTGCTGGATCAAGATTCTTCCTCTCTTTCGTGATGAGACCCTAAAACCAAACTTTTTTTTTCAAATTCCAATGGATTTTCTCCAATGTATTTAGATGAAATTACAGCAACCAGGTAGCTATAACCCTTTTTGCAGAATACCAAAATTATCTAAATATTAATAGGATCACAAATTACAAAATATAATGACCAAAGTTGATATTCCATAAAACTATTAGACCATTATAAATAAATTTGCGCAGAATGATTAAGCAAGCCTTATTCAAGGGCAAAAACGTATAAACATATCCTATAAATACAAACATGGCAATATCTTGTCAAAAGTAAAGACAGGGCTATGCAGTAATACAACATTGATAAGGGGTAGAAAGTGTAGAAACACACATCTTTGTCAAGTAGGAAAAATTGATTTTTTGCAGCTGTTTCACTGTTCCCTGACACTCTTGACATAGCCTGCACAGCCATGTTAAGAACGCCAAGCCCTGCACTGGAATCCAGGAAAAAAAAACTGAATTAAACAAAAGAAAGAGCAAATACCAAGCAGAAAACCAATAAGGAAGTCAATTTTCAGCCCATATGTAGCTCACTACAGTCAAAATTTGAAAGTACCTCCCAGCCCCCACCACGACAATCTTTTGGTTTACAAAATCAGTCAGCGGTCGACCTTGTGCTCTAACAGTTCCCAATAATCCCGCAAGTGCAACACCAGCAGTTCCCTATAGTACACAAAGTAAGCACAATTGTTGTCACTATAAAGACAACCAGATTAATCCTGCAGCTTCTACATAGCATCATATGCCCTGTTCAGTAAAAACAGAAAGATGTCACACCCAATAGTCACCTGTATGTCATCATTAAACATGCAGAATTTTTTCCGATATCGTTGCAAAGTTTCAAAAGCCCACTTCATTTGAAAGTCCTCGAACTGGTAGATTGGCCAAACCATCAAGTTACAGACATGATAAAAATACCACAACAGAGAAAGTCATATTTTGAAAGAAATAAACCTGTACAATGGCCTTGGGCCAACGCGCGTGAACAGCTTCCATGAATTCGTCAACAATCGATAAATATTCTTCTCCTTCTAACCTAGGTTGCCGAAGTCCTAGATCTGTCCAACTAAACGATGTGACAAAATATCCTCATGATTTTTCCCAAAAAAGAAAAGTTTCAAACACATTGTGCAATCCATTTTCTGCATAGATACAAGAAAGTATAGAACAACAACGAAGTACATATTTTAACTCACAAAGAGGGTCTTCAAGTAGCTTTTGATTGTTAGTACCAACGTCCAGCATAACTGGAAGTATCTGTCAGAGAAAAACATGGGTTAAAATAATGAGTTACAGCATTACAACTGTAGCAAGAAAAGGTATGAATAGCACGAAAAACTTAAACCTAATATATGACACCCGAAATATAAATACAATATAACTCATTGTGATTTTGTGTATAGCATGCATGAGTGTGCATCTGATACAGAAGCACAAACAATAGCCCAATGATTTCTATGAAGTATAAATATCATAAGAGGCAACTGAGAAATCGTTCATCAAAATATACATGTCTATCACCACGTAAAAAATTTCCATGTGATGCGCCCCTATCAAGCATTGGATATTTCCATGCCTAAGAATGTAAAGGTAAGCAGCACCGGTGTGCATGTTCACAGATGCAAAAACAAGTAAGATATCAACAGAGGCACACACAGATAGAGTAACTCATACTCTTTGTGGATTGATGCCCGCAGCAGCAACATACATATCCAGTTTACCAATAGGTATCCCAATTCCCTGAACTCCAAGGTCACCTAAGCCAAGAATTCGGCTTCCATCTGTCAGGACAATCATGTCTACCTGCCACATGAAGAAGAATAGAAAACAGTATCAGTAAAAAAGATGAACAACAGGTCAATCCACTCCTATTGGATTTCCAAATTACCTGATGAGCTGGCCAATTGTAGATCATCGACATCATCTCCCCTTTGTCCTTCGCACAAAAATACATACCACGTGGGCGTCTAAACAACCCTGAATAATTCTGACAAACCAATCCAACTGTTGGAGTGTATATTATTGGAGCAAAATCGTTAATGTTATCAATAAGGACCTGGGGAAAAAACAACAGAATCACTATTAGTAATATTAAATTTTATATATACTTTAATACCAAAACGCCGGTACAGAGAACCAAACTTACTCGGTAGTATAATGTTTCATTCCTGTCATGCAGTCTGTTCAAGATCCTCCATTTTGCCAATGATACAACACTATCAGGTTCACCCTGGGTATTTTTCTCTAGCGATCGATATGACTCCACTAAACAATTGAAAAAATGGATAAGAAAAACATTAAGATCATTATCAAAAATGAAATTGGAAGCAACCATAAAGACCAACAAGAAATAAGGAAAACAACTTGATAAACTAAAACAATAATATGCAAAACTTGTTTCCATAGCCTCCCAGTAAAGTGCCCTAATAATGAATTATTTGAGTATTACCAAGAAACTATATAGCACTGACTATAAGTGAAAAATTATCAATGGTGGTGAAATATCATGCTGGTAAAGGACAATAACAAGCCCGGGTCAGATTCTGTAAGTCATCTACGATGCAAAAACAGAATAAGCTAATCGGAAAAGGAACAAATGCTTCAGTAATTAATAGATTGAAAATCACATTGAGTAGCACCAAAAAACTACCAGGGGAAGTCAAAAGCACTCATATCAGCTTCTAAAAAGAGAATATCTAGCGTGACTCATTCAAATTGCAAGCAAACAAATACAAGAAAGTACAGTATTTTTACTCACTGAAGCGAGCATATTGCTGCTCAAACGATATCACACGAGGTGGGAGGAGGCCACGTAGTCCTAATCGATCTCTTTCAGTCAAAGGAAAGCCAGTATCCTGTTTATTAAAAAAATAATAATAAAGAAACCAAAAAAAAAAAAAAAAAAAACTTCTTATGCTTGATTATGCAATCATGCAGAAAATAACTAATAATATTATCTGAAGCATTTCAATATAGACTGCACACTTCACTCCATTACCAGAATTTTAAACTTTCTACTTTGAAAAGACAAACAAGATTTGTGACAAACGACAACCTAACTTAATTAACTTGAAATCGTACGAAAATGAATCGCTAGAACAACCACCGACAATAATTATAAGCAAAGGAAAAAAAGAGGAACAAGATATAACCTTGTTGAACCAGGGATCGTGTAGAATATCAGTTCCACGTTTGTGAACAATACAAGGTCCAGGAATCGCCGTCGAGAATCGCCTGGATCGGCTTAATCTCGTCGCCGAAGCTCGCACTAAATTCCACATTCTGTGCCCTAAAACTCAAGATCCAAAACAATACCGAGAATAATAAAAGAAGAACAAAAAAATTTTAAAAAGAAAAACAAAAGACAAACTCTAAATCGGCAGGAATGTTTTGTTATCTCATCATTTTTGAGGTAAGTAACGACTGAGTTGTTTAAGGAGTGTGATGTACAATTTATAGTTGCAGTGAAGTAGGATTATTTATCTTTGACGCGGTTCTTGTTCTACTTGGTTGTGTATGTAAAAAGAGAAACAGTTGAAGCCTGTTGAACTTGGAAAAGCGTATGCATGATGGCTGCCCGAGATTTGGGGGCAGAGGGAGAATGTACCAAAGCAAAAGTAGATGTTTATAAGAGAGGAGAGTAAGCTGCCCGAGTTGAAAAAAGGGGCAACGAGGGTATATATGCGAATATAATGTGTTGGCGTCAATCTGACAATCATATAAAACACAATATTTAAGTTGGAGTCAGCAGCACGTGGACTTTTCTAACCCAACAGGGTTAGACGCTGACGTTCCAATAGGTTGAGAGCTCCCCGAAGATGGATGGTTTCGCCTTTCGATTGTTGCCACGTGGCTACAACACGTGTGACCCATCGGATATGTTCTACCAATTCTCAAGTTTCTCACCTACTATTATGCGGCTAGAATTTGGAGGATACTGAATTTTTTTATCTAATTAAAAGGATTAATTATTTTTTTTTACAATAATGAAATAAAAAAGATAATAAATAATGCATTTTACACAATCTATATAAAAGGATTTTCACCGAATCAACCCATACTACTGGTTGGTGGGCTTGAGGACAGTTTAAGAGCTTCTATCTGAAGAAGTTGTTGACCCATCGTTTGCTTTAAATTTGATGCCGAGATAGTCAGAGATTAGAATAAATAACTTTACGTCGATGGCTAGATTCTTTTTCATGCATTCTCTCGTCCGCTCGATTAGTATTTATGAGCTAAGATTACTTGACCTTTCAAAATGATAAACGCTCAACGTCCTCCATTAATGTGAGGTGATAAATGAGCTTCAACGCACACTTTAAAACTTCAAAGATAATGTCTTCATTATTATACTATTTATTTTCGAATTATGTCACCTCGCCAGAAGTAGTCCAATCGAATGGAATTTGATTCTATTGTAGTTCAAATGTTCAATTCAAACAACCTACAGTCCAGAATAAATACTCTCTCTTTCAAATGTTCAATTCAAGCAACCTACAGTCCAGAATAAATACTCTCTTTGTTTGCTTAAATAGCTGCGCTACGGCAAACCGAAACCGATTATTATTGTTTTATTTCCCTTTTTCTTCCTTATTTCCTTCCCTTTAGCCCACCTCCATTACCTCCAAATTCACACTAACAATTAACAAAGACCTCTAATTCCAGAAATCAATTTCAATAATAAATTTGTAAAAGTTGACCTGCAAGTGGTACAATTTTCATCTTCCAATTAATTCACCCTCGTCAATATCAAATTATCATCATTTAGAGATGCCAATCTGAACATCACTAGACCAATAGATTAATGAAAGCAAGATCTATATCACAATTTCAATAACAGTCATAACATCTTTATGATAACAAGAAGCGCGACATTCTGCAACTTATTGATAATATAATCATGATACTATCCACGCCAGAAGAAGGAGATTCAAATCTTTGAAAACATTACCAAGCAAGTCATATAAGGCTACTAAAACCGGACAATCAAAAATACAAGCAATCTTTGCCAAAGACCTCTACAAGTACTTTTCCACTTGGTGATCCTGAAAAACTTCAGTAGTCTTTGGTTCCAAAATTCTTACACCAGAGCTGGGATGGGATTGGGCGAACAGGATGATGAGGCCGTTGCTGCAAGAAAATAAACTTTCACTTACTCATCAAGGTTATCACTAGCAACATACTAGTATGGAAAAGCGAAGTATGCCAAAGAAAGTCAATGAACTAGTGATCATTCAGTACAGACAATTCAAACATCAAAATGAAAAGTTAACCAAAGAAAGAAAAAATCAGGTTCAAAACATAAATGAATCTAATTTCCACTTTCACCAATGTATCATTTTGGAATCAAAATAACATCCTAGACCTAATGGCTACCTGTCATCAAACAATGATTATGTAGAGCCAGAGAATGTAGTCAACTTAAGTAATCAGCACGGCATGTGACAATCAAGTTTAGGTTAGCAAGAACCTACATATGAGTATGCCTTGCTTAGAAAGGAAGATAAATATAGCACAACCAATGGCATAAACCAAAAGCTTATAGCAACCAAGTCATTCTAAAGAATGTGCAGATAAATATATCCCAGCACCTCGCATCAAGTCCCCATCTTTTTGTACCACACATAGCTATGCATAAAAGTACAAAAGGTAAACAATTGATGAAAATCTCCACTTACAGCAAGTTTACATTAAAACTATGTCAACCCTCAAGTGTTTGCAGTTCATTTATTACCATTTGAAGATTTTGGTCCCCTGTCAAGGGGCTTCCAGAGAGAATCCTAGAATCTAATCAGCCAGTAACTTATCATTAAACAAGTTAATGGATAAGAATAGTGCTAGGCTTAAACAGCATTATGGTTCATTAGCTTGAAGATACATTTTTATATGTCATGGATTAAGATAGCTCGTATATTCCAGTGACATTGTGTTGTTTAAAATTTCATCTCCATGGAGCAAGAAAAAGGCTTCGCTTTGAGATTTAAACAAATACTTCCTCTCCAAGGGAAGACTAGATACAATTATAAAACAAACATAATCCCTACCACTGTAAATGAAAACGAACATATCTATCAACTCTTTTTTCAAAAATAAAATCAGATATTAAAAATAAAAGCAGAATCCAACATACTAACTATATAAAATAAATTCTCATAATCAGATGCATTAAAAATTGCTATTTCGCTGTTCTGAAACCATATTTGTACTTGTACAAGCTAAGTTCACAATAGCCAGAAACAAAAATTTAGTAATCAAGTAGATGGATTTTATCTAAATACAGTAAAATTAATTATGTTTCCTCTTTCTATTCATTTCAATCACTTAGTCCCCAGTAGTGCAACCCTGTAACTGACGCCCACTTTACTCAAACTAAGTCTAAAACCTTCACTCGAATCACAATAAGCATACGAAACCGTAATTTAGATCTTAAACAACACAGAACTTAATCGTCAAACCAGATCAGAAAGGCCAATTATTTAATAAACATTTGATTAGTTGTCAAAACTCATTAGACGACATTTTGAATCTCAATTTCCCACGCATATCCTACAGTTCCTCGGCAACCAAGAAGAAACAAAATTAAATGAGAAAACGAAAGGGTTTAAAGACCTCGAGCTCGGCGGATTTCATGGCAATAGGAATGCAAATAAGGAAAATGCCAGCCATGGCAATGGCCGTGTTGCGCTTCCAGTGCTTGGGCCTACAGTTTGGGCCACCTGCCATGGTCCACACCTTGGCCCTGAAATCACCGTGGGCCCCCTCTCCTCCGTGTCCATGCTCTGCTCCTCCCATTGATTCAACTGCAAGTAAATCGATCAGATTGTGATTTGGAAAGTCAAAACCCTAAATAACATGATTTTGCATTCGCCACAATAAAAGTCAGTAAAGCGTGAGGTTCCTATTAATTCGATGTTAGAAAGTCAGATTACTGATAATTACCTGAGAAAAAAGTAACACTGAAGAAGAGATGTAAACAAGCTTCTCTTCGAATTGTTCGATAAAGCTGGTCACTGTGTGTGGTTATGGCGTCGAAGCGAGGACCGTTCCGTCTTTCCGCTTTCACACGTGCCGTAAGTGTGTGAAGTTCTCGTATAAAAGGCCTTATTTATCACTATACGGCCTAGCTTGTTTTGGGCCTCCCATATAATTTTTCGTTCTTAAACCCACAATATCTTACGGCTGCCTTGAACGAACCCATAAAATTGAAGAATATTTGATTAAGCATCAACATGTTAGCTGGATCAATAGAACGGCTTGAATATCAAATTCGAAGAAGATGCAATTCAATTTTTATTTTTATTTTTTTGCAGGTTTATTTACAAGACTATATGGATTAGTTTTCCAACGAGGGAAAAGTATCAGTTGTTACAGGGAAATAAAAAGGCCGAACGACTGTGCATACCAAGTTTGTCATAACGACAAGTTAATACTCAAAAGGTTTTGAAACGACAAATAGGTACCTTCCGTCATGTTCTGTTAATGATTTCTGTTTATTAATAGTGAAAAAACTAAAATGCACTAGAAGTTTGATTTTAGTTTTTTATAAATTTAAAAATTTCTAAAAACCCCCCTAGGTTTACAAATTTAACTAAATACCCATATTAAAATTTTGTAAATAACAAAAATACCCCCGCCACCTGCAGTGTCAGATTCGGCCACCACGCGGAATCTGGCCGGAAAGTTGCGTTACGACAAGACCCGTGGATCTGTGTCGTAACGTGCCGATATTTTCTTTTCCGGCCAGATCGCCACAGATCGGGCGGAAAAGGCCAGATCTAACCGTTGAAGCAGCAACCAGATCTGGCCTTTTCCGGCCAGATCCGTGGCTGATCTGGCCGGAAACGGGAGATCTAGGTCGACGCCGCAAATGGAGTTTTCGCCGCGTTACGAACAGATCCGAATGGTCTGTGTCGTGATGCAGCTTTCCGGCCAGATTCCGGCGGTCGTGGCCGGAACTGGCACTGCAGGTGGCGGGGGTGTTTTTGTTATTTTATAAAAATTTTATATATTGGGTTATTTAGTTAAATTTGTAAACCTATGGGGTTTTTTAGAAATTTTTAAATTTATAAAAAACTAAAATTCAAACTTTTAAGGGCATTTTAGTCTTTTCACTATTAATAAACAGAAATCATTAACGGAATATGACGGAAGGTATCTATTTGTCGTTTCAAAACCTTTTAGGTACCAATTCATCATTACGGTAAACTTTGGGTATGTGTAAGTCGTTCTCCCAATAATAAATAGGAAACCAAAAACATGCATAGTTTTGCCACATGTCACTCCATCAAAACATTGAATATACAGTTACTACAACATATTGATGGCTCCGCTTGGTTCAAGATTGGGAATACTACTCTTGGTATTCCCAAAAAAGTTAAACAGTAAAATACCTAAAATCTCTCATTTTTGGGAATATTATTTTCAATATTATTTAATTTTTTTTAAACCCTCTAAATTTGTTAATTTAATTAAATACCCTTAAATATTTTTTTTAAAATTACAAAAACACCACAATAATCCATATTTACCAGATTCCGGCCACCACTACCGGAAAATGGTCGGAATCTGGTAGGATGGCGCACTACCTGCTGAATCTGGCCGGTAGTGCGCCGATCTAGCCTTTTCCGACCAGATCCACCATGGATCTGGTCCGAAAAGACCAGTTCTAAGGCCAAAGATCTGGCCGTAACACTCGGTCACGACGGCCAACAAACGGTCGTCGTTGACCATCAACAACGATCGTTTGTTGGCCGTCATTGAGAGCAAATACGGCCAGATCTGGCCGTTGACGGCCAGATCTGACAGTAGATCTGGCCTTTTCCGGCCAGATCCACCGTGGATCTGACCGGAAAAGGTCATAGCGACGCATGACCGACAAGATCCAACCGGTCATGCGCCCATAAGGCGACTCCGACCACCTCCGGTGGTGGTCGCCGGCTGGGAGTGTTTGAGGGTGGGTTAGGGGTATTTTTGTTAATTTTTAATATTTTATTATAGGGGGTATTTTGTAAAAAAACAAATATAAAGGGTATTTTATTAATTTATAAATTCTACATCGTAATACCCGCCCAATTCAACTTTTTTTTAACTTTTTTCAAAAAACTTTTCCCAAAACCCCCAAATTTTGAACCAAACGAAGCCGATATCTTCCTCGGCTTCAAGCAAAAGTACTAGTTTTCCTTGGATTATCATCCAACAAAAACTTAGAATACAGAGTTGCGACAAGAAATGGATCTTCCTTGACCACAAACACGAGCAGTAGTTCACTGGAACGGTAGAGATCCTGTACTCTGACAAATCTTGACACCAGATTCGCACATATAGAAGCATATATCAAGTGTAATAAATGAATTAAGAGCGTGTAAATTTTTGTTTGCGCTATAGCTTCAATTATAAAGCTCACAAAATAATAAAGAATCATTCATAATGTATTTGAAACATTAAGATTTAGCTTCTTCTGCTAGTGTCAGTTTGACACCATCTCTGAATGTTACCGGACAGATATTAAGTGTTTGAACCAATTTGGTGATATCCATGGATATATCAGCAGGGGACATGACACCACGGTCGACCTGAAAAATAATTCACATTCAATAATGGCCAAACAAAAAAAGGGCACTACATATACATTATTGGCAAAAGGGTTGTCACAAAAAGCATACATTACTAAATCATATTTCAGACATAAACTAAAATATAATGAAATTGTGATAAGGTATACATACAGATGACGCAGACACTGATTTGATTAAGGATGTGTTGTATCCTCTTATATCTGCCACTGCCTCAGCCATTTGAACTCGTGATACCCTATCTGGTCCACCAACATTCAATAGTAATTGCATTTGCTTACCCTCTGTAAAAGTAACATTAACCAGAATTACATTTCACATGAAGAAGCATAGAGAAAAACAGAGAAGTCAGATGTAGCCAAGCATTTTATACTACCCATGAAAACTCAATGACCATAAATTGAAGAAAAAGAAAAATGTGGTAGAAAGAAAACTTAAAGGAGCACCAAAAGATGCTAGCACAACAAATCGTACTTAAAAAAACAAATGTTGGTGATTAGGACTCCTTTTTCTTTCATTTTGACATCCTACCATCAGCTTTCTACTACACGGAAGAAGTTAATTTTGAATTTCCACTGCCTTAAAATGACCTTGATAAAAATGCAGATATCATTCCAAGTTAATAAACATTTTAACCAAAAACATAGTTTAGTTATTATCAATGCATAACCATAGAGCTTATGTTCACCACTGTTCTTGGTTGTTAAAGTATTAACAATGGCAACAAGATTAATACCTGAAAACCATCTATCTGTCAAAGCCTTTATGATAGTCACAACATCCTTCACATATACTGGGCAGCGGTTCTCATCATGGAAAAACTCCACTTTATCTCCTTTAGCGAGAACACCATCCATCCACTGCACATTTAAGAGTTAAATGCTGGTTAGACACCAAGTAACCACGAATACCTATGTATTTATCCCTTGTAAGTCATGAAGAAACAAAATCAACCAAATTTCAATTTATTCCATGCTTAAGTCGATATTTAAGAGTGACCAAAAAAAGATTCTTGAACCATGAACTAAAGCTTTTTGTCGATACTACTACATATGCTTCACTTGTTTTGTTGATTCCTAATCCAGTTTTTGATTGGATCAGTAATCTTTTATTAAAAGTTTATTCTGTTGTCAGCTCAAATACAACACTTCAGGCGAAAATGATAAATAAACAATTAAGTCCTTGTTTTTCGTTTAGTCAAAAATCAGCAAAGAACATTTTTAGCACAAACCTGAATTGGAAGAGACTTAGGTACAGGTGAAATAGTTTGTGGGCCAAAGATAATACTGCTTCTCAAAATTGCAAAGTTGGAGCATTTCTCAGAGATAAACTTCTCAGCTGCAACTTTTGATTTGCCATAAACATTCACTGGAACAGTTTCATCTTCTTCTTTGTAGAATGACTTCACCCCTTCGTAAACTGATATTTAAATATAAATAAATAAAAAACCAAAATCAAAGTCATATCAACATTCTTCAAATTGTTTAAGCATTTCACCTTAAATACCTTGATCCGTTGATAGATGAATCACAAGAGTTTCTTTATCCTCGGTAAAGCTCAATAACCAATTTACAATAGATGAAGGAACATTTATAGACATAGCAGAATCAGGATCCTTTTCACAAACACGTGGCACGGAGAGAGCAGCACAGTTCACAACAACATCGGGCTGCCATATAAAAACACATTCGTTTTTTTAATTCTAAAAATCGGTATCAAGTAGTTGAAAATTGCAAAATCAAAATGAAACAGACCTGACCAAATTTGAGTGAAACGGCATCGAACCCTGATCCAGATTTCAAATCGACATGAAAAAAAGAGAAAGAGGGAGGAAGGGCGTCAAGCAAAGGCTGAGGAGGTGGAGTGGAGAGTTGAGTGGCTGACACGTCATACGGTGTTCCTTGGATCTCTGATAAGGCTTGAAGAAGATGCTGTCCCAAGTAGCCAGTGCCTCCCACCACCAAGACTTTCTTTTTACTCATTTCTTTGAATTAGGACTGGATTGGTTGAAAGGTTGTAGGGAAGAATAATTTCTAGTAGGTTAATAGTGAACGGTTTCAGAAATTTCAGTTGTTACTTCATTCAACACTACACTGCCCTCGACATCCAGAATCCCAGATTATGATTTTCGCAGTGACGCTAGTTTTTTTTTTTTTAAAACTAATGATTTTATGTTATTGGTTGCGGAGCTTCGTTTGTGAGATGGTAGGCATAAAATGCCCACCGGGCACCGGTATTGCAAATTGGATGCTAACTCCCATTCCGTCAGATTTTACCGTTAAAACTGACAGTTGGAATGAGTATTTTGATATTTCAACCTTTTAAGATGGGTATTAACCCGAGTAATGCTACATTTACACCACCCATTACACCATTTTCATTACACCATGATATGGCATATCCCACATCCACATAAATTTTTAATTATTTTGATTTTTTAATATTATAATAAAATAATTATTAGTAAAATGGTGATGGTGTAATGAAAATGATGTAACGGGTGGTGTAAATGTAGCATTACTCTTATTAACCCCTTGCATTCATTTGAAAACCCGAACATTTTTAAATCTTTCTTCGAACATTTCCCCCCCCCTCTTATTTCGTTTCAGTTATCACGCGACTTCTACTTGGCCGAATTTTGTCGAAAAAAATTTTATTAGGACTTTTGGGTTTTATTTGTTAGTTTTTAAAGTTTACATTTCAGGAAACTATTATATTAAGTTTTCAAACATAAATTTAATCAGTTGGGGATAATATAAAGGGGGCGTTTGGTTGGCGGTAATGTAAGATAATGGGGGTTATGTCATCTTATATTACTTTATTACCATGTTTGGTTGTCAAATAATATAAGATTCTGATAATTTTCAAATACTAACAGTAGTTACTATTAGTAATATTGGAGGCGATTACCTCCATTTTCTAAGGTATTGTAAGATTATCAGGGTTATCTTTTTTGTTACAATTTTATCCTTTATTAATAAAAATTTTGGACAATAATACCCTCATTTTAAAATAAATTTACATTAATATCCTATTTCAATTTTACCCTTGTTTAATTAAAATTTTGGATAATAATGTCCTTATATTTAAAACAATTTACAGATCACCACTACCACCCAGCCACCACCGCCGACAGCGGGCCAACCACCATGGACCGTAGCCGAAAATTCGTCGGAGTCCCTAAAAAAAACGAGATTCGATGGGAGGCTCTAAGAGGCTTTGATATGGTCGTTTCCGGCCATATCAGGCCAGATCTCACCTAGATCTGGCCGATAATGGACAGGGATCTGGCCATTAACGACCAGATCTGGCCAGATATGGCCGTTTTCGGCCATCAATATTGCTAGAAACGGCCATAGCGGCGCCTCTTGGTCACGACGAGCTACTGATAGGGACTTTCAAAGACTACTGACGGTGGTTTACGGTGGCGGCAGCGGCGGCAGGAGGTGGGGGTGATTTCGTAATAAATTAAAGTTTTATATATAAGCGGGGGTGTTTTAACTAAATCTAAAATATTGGGGGTTAAAAAAATGATTCAAAAATTAATAATAAAAATATTATATTAATATTTGAAAGGGGAACAATTTAGTAATTTAAATAATATACCCACCAATTTATTCCCCATAACCAAACATATTAATATAACATACCCACCAACTAACCAAACACATTTTTCTAAAGATTCCTAGTAATCTTCTAAGGCAATCTATCTTTCTAGTAATCTAACATTCCCATTAATCTAACATTCATGAACCAAATACCCCCTGAAGTTTTCAAACTTGTTGAAGGGTATAAATAATTAATGAGAAAAGGAAAGGGTTTAAGACCTCGACTCGGCGATTTCATGGCAATAGGAATGCAAATAAGGAAAATGCCAGCCATGCAATGGCCGTGTTGCGCTTCCAGTGCTTGGCCTACAGTTTGGCCCACCTGCCATGGTCCACACCTTGGCCCTGAAATCACCGTGGGCCCCCTCTCCTCCGGGTCCATGCTCTGCTCCTCCCATTGATTCAACTGCAAGTAAATCGATCAGATTGTGATTTGGAAAGTCAACACCCTAAATAACATGATTTTGCATTCGCCACAATACGAGTCAGTAAAGCGTGCGGTTCCTATTATCCGATGTTAGAAAGTCCGATTACTGATAATTACCTGAGAAAAATGTAACACTGAAGAAGAGATGTAAACAACTTCTCTTCAATTGTTCGATAAAGCTGGTCACTGTGTGTGGTTATGGCGTCGAAGCGAGGACCGTTCCGTCTTTCCGTCTTTCACACGTGCCGTAAGTGTGTGAAGTTCTCGTATAAAAGGCCTTATTTATCACTATACGGCCTAGCTTGTTTTGGGCCTCCCATATAATTCTTCGTCCTTAAACCCAGAATATCTAACGGCTGCATTGGACGACCCCATAAAATTGAAGACCATTTGATTAAGCATCAAAACTTAGCTGGATCAATAGAACGGCTTGAATATATATTCAGAATAGCCCTTCTTCAAATTGGAAGAAATGCAAATCCATTTTTATTTTTATTTTTTGCAGATTTTTTAACAAGACTATATGGATTAGTTTTCCAATGAGGGAAAAGTATCAGTTGTTACGGTAATAAAGGCCGAACGACTTGTGCATACCCAAGGTTTGTCATAACGACAAGTTAACTCAAAAGGTTTTGAAACGACAAATAGGTACCTTCCGTCATGTTCTGTTAATGATTTCTGTTTATTAATAGTGAAAAAACTAAAATGCACCTAGAAGTTTGAATTTTAGTTTTTTATAAATTTAAAAATTTCTAAAAACCCCCCTAGTTTACAAATTTAACTAAATACCCCAATATAAAATTTTTGTAAAATAACAAAATACCCCCGCCACCTGCAGTGTCGATTCCGGCCACCACCGCCGGAATCTGGCCGGAAAGTTGCGTTACGACACAGACCCGTCGATCTGTGTCGTAACGTGCCGATATTTTCTTTTCCGGCCAGATCTGCCACAGATCGGGCCGAAAAGGCCAGATCTAACCGTTGAAGCAGCACCAGATCTGGCCTTTTCCGCCAGATCCGTGCTGATCTGCCGAAACGGCGAGATCTAGCCGTCGACGCCGCAAATGAGTTTTCGCCGCGTTACGACACAGATCCAATGGTCTGTGTCGTGTCAGCTTTCCGGCCAGATTCCGCGGTCGTGGCCGGACTGGCACTGCAGGTGGCGGGTTTTTTTGTTATTTTATAAAAATTTTAATATATTGGGTTATTTAGTTAAATTTGTAAACCTATGGGTTTTTTAGAATTTTTAAATTTTAAAAAACTAAAATTCAAACTTTTAAGGGCATTTTAGTCTTTTCACTATTAAAAAAAATCATTAACGGAATATGACGAAGGTATCTATTTCGTTTCAAAACCTTTTAGGTACCAATTCATCATACGGTAAACTTTGGGTATTGTAAGTCGTTCTCCCAATAATAAATAGGAACCCAAAAACATGCATAGTTTTGCCACATGTCACTCCATCAAAACATTGAATATACAGTTACTACAACATATTGATGGCTCCGCTTGGTTCAAGATTGGGATACTACTCTTGGTATTCCCAAAAAATGAAACAGTAAATACCTAAAATCTCTCATTTTGGGAATATTATTTCAATATTATTTATTTTTTTTAAACCCTCTAAATTTGTTAATTTAATTAATACCCTTAAATATTTTTTTTAAAATTACAAAACACCACATAATCCATATTTACCAGATTCCGGCCACCACTACCGGAAAATGGTCGGAATCTGGTAGGATGGCGCACTACCTGCTGAATCTGGCCGGTAGTGCGCCGATCAAGCCTTTTCCGACCAGATCCACCATGGCTTGGTCCGAAAAGACCAGTTCTAAGGCCAAGATCTGGCCGTAACACTCGGTCACGACGGCCAACAAACGGTCTGTCGTTGACCATCAACAACATCGTTTTTTGGCCGTCATTGAGAGCAAATACGGCCAGATCTGCCGTTGACGGCCAGATCTGACAGTAGATCTGGCCTTTTCCGCCAGATCCACCGTGGATCTGACCGGAAAAGGTCATAGCGACGCATGACCACAAGATCCAACCGTCATGCGCCCATAAGGCGACTCCGACCACCTCCGGTGGTGGTCCCCGGCTGGGAGTGTTTGAGGGTGGGTTAGGGGTATTTTTGTTAATTTTTAATATTTTTATTATAGGGGTATTTTTGAAAAAAACAAATATAAAGGGTATTTTATTAATTTATAATTTCTACATCGTAATACCCGCCCAATTCAACTTTTTTTTAACTTTTTTCAAAAACTTTTCCCAAAACCCCCAAATTTTGAACCAAACGAAGCCGATATCTTCCTCGGCTTCAGCAAATGACTAGTTTTCCTGGATATCATCCACAAAAACTTAGAATACGAGTTGCGACAAGAAATGGATCTTCCTTGACCACAAACACGACAGTAGTTCACTGGAACGGTAAGATCCTGTACTCTGACAAATCTTGACACCAGATTCGCACATATAGAAGCATATATCAAGTGTATAAATGAATTAAGACGCGGTAAATTTTGTTTGCGCTATAGCTTCAATTATAAAGCTCACAAAATAATAAAGAATCATCATAATGTATTGAAACATTAAGATTTAGCTTCTCTGCTAGTGTCAGTTTGACCACCACTCTGAATGTTACCGGACAGATTTAAGTGTTTGAACCATTTTGTTATCCATGGATATATCAGCAGGGACATGACACCACGGTCGACCTGAAAAATAATTCACATTCAATAATGGCCAAACAAAAAAAGGGCACTACATATACATTATTGGCAAAAGGGTTGTCACAAAAAGCATACATTACTAAATCAATTTCAGACATAAACTAAAATTTAATGAAATGTGATAAGGATACATACAGATGACGCAACCTGATTTGATTAAGATGTGTTGTACCTCTATATCTGCCACTGCCTCAGCCATTTGAACTCGTGATACCCTATCTGGTCCACCAACATTCATAGTAATTGCATTTGCTTCCCCTCTGTAAAAGTAACATTAACCAGAATTACATTTCATAGAAGAAGCATATAGAAAACAGAGAAGTCAGATGTAGCCAAGCATTTTATCTACCCATGAAAACTCAATGACCATAAATTGAAGAAAAAGAAATGTAGTAGAAAAAACTTAAAGTAGCACCAAAGATGCTATCACAACAAATCGTACTTAAAAAAACAAGTTGGTGATAGGACTTCTTTTTCTTTCATTTTGACATCCTACCATCAGCCTCTACTACGAAAAGTTAATTTTGAATTTCCACTGCCTTAATAGACCTTGATAAAAATGCAGATATCATTCCAGTTAATAAACATTTTAACCAAAACATAGTTTAGTTATTATCAATGCATAACCATAGAGCTTATGTTCACCACTGTTCTTGGTTGTTAAAGTATTAATGGCAACAAGATTAATACCTGAAACCATCTACTGTCAAAGCCTTTATGATAGTCACAACATCCTTCACATATACTGGGCAGCGGTTCCTCATCATGGAAAAACTCCATTTATCTCCTTTAGCGGAAACACCATCCATCCACTGCACATTTACGAGTTAAATGCTGGTAGACACCAAGTAACCACAATACCTATGTATTTATCCCTATTAAATCAAGAAGAAACAAAATCAACCAAATTTCAATTTATTCCATGCTATCGATATTTAAGAGTGACCAAAAATTTTCATGAACCATGAACTAAAGCTTTTTGTCGATACTACTACATATGCTTCACTTGTTTTGTTGATTCCTAATCCAGCTTTTGATGGGATCAGTAATCTTTTATTAAAATTTATTCTGTTGTCAGCTCAAATACAACACTTCAGCGAAAATGATAAATAAACAATTAAGTCCTTGTTTTTAGTTTAGTCAAAAATCAGCAAAGAACATTCTTAGCACAACCTGATTGGAAGAGATTTAGATACAGGTGAAATAGTTTGTGGACCAAAGATAATACTTGCTCTCAATTTAAGAGCTTCTATCTGAAGAAGTTGTTGACCCATCGTTTGCTTTAAATTTGATGCCGAGATAGTCAGAGATTAGAATGAGTAACTTTACGTCGATGGCTAGATTCTTTTTCATGCATTCTCTCGTCCGCTCGATTAGTATTTATGAGCTAAGATTACTTGACCTTTCAAAATGATAAACGCTCAACGTCCTCCATTAATGTGAGGTGATAAATGAGCTTCAACGCACACTTTAAAACTTCAAAGATAATGTCTTCATTATTATACTATTTATTTTCGAATTATGTCACCTCGCCATAAGTAGTCCAATCGAATGGAATTTGATTCTATTGTAGTTCAAATGTTCAATTCAAACAACCTACAGTCCAGAATAAATACTCTCTCTTTCAAATGTTCAATTCAAGCAACCTACAGTCCAGAATAAATACTCTCTTTGTTTGCTTAAATAGCTGCGCTACGGCAAACCGAAACCGATTATTATTGTTTTATTTCCCTTTTTCTTCCTTATTTCCTTCCCTTTAGCCCACCTCCATTACCTCCAAATTCACACTAACAATTAACAAAGACCTCTAATTCCAGAAATCAATTTCAATAATAAATTTGTAAAAGTTGACCTGCAAGTGGTACAATTTTCATCTTCCAATTAATTCACCCTCGTCAATATCAAATTATCATCATTTAGAGATGCCAATCTGAACATCACTAGACCAATAGATTAATGAAAGCAAGATCTATATCACAATTTCAATAACAGTCATAACATCTTTATGATAACAAGAAGCGCGACATTCTGCAACTTATTGATAATATAATCATGATACTATCCACGCCAGAAGAAGGAGATTCAAATCTTTGAAAACATTACCAAGCAAGTCATATAAGGCTACTAAAACCGGACAATCAAAAATACAAGCAATCTTTGCCAAAGACCTCTACAAGTACTTTTCCACTTGGTGATCCTGAAAAACTTCAGTAGTCTTTGGTTCCAAAATTCTTACACCAGAGCTGGGATGGGATTGGGCGAACAGGATGATGAGGCCGTTGCTGCAAGAAAATAAACTTTCACTTACTCATCAAGGTTATCACTAGCAACATACTAGTATGGAAAAGCGAAGTATGCCAAAGAAAGTCAATGAACAAGTGATCATTCAGTACAGACAATTCAAACATCAAAATGAAAAGTTAACCAAAGAATGAAAAAATCAGGTTCAAAACATAAATGAATCTAATTTCCACTTTCACCAATGTATCATTTTGGAATCAAAATAACATCCTAGACCTAATGGCTACCTGTCATCAAACAATGATTATGTAGAGCCAGAGAATGTAGTCAACTTAAGTAATCAGCACGGCATGTGACAATCAAGTTTAGGTTAGCAAGAACCTACATATGAGTATGCCTTGCTTAAAAAGGAAGATAAATATAGCACAACCAATGGCATAAACCAAAAGCTTATAGCAACCAAGTCATTCTAAAGAATGTGCAGATAAATATATCCCAGCACCTCGCATCAAGTCCCCATCTTTTTGTACCACACATAGCTATGCATAAAAGTACAAAAGGTAAACAATTGATGAAAATCTCCACTTACAGCAAGTTTACATTAAAACTATGTCAACCCTCAAGTGTTTGCAGTTCATCTATTACCATTTGAAGATTTTGGTCCCCTGTCAAGGGGCTTCCAGAGAGAATCCTGGAATCTAATCAGCCAGTAACTTATCATTAAACAAGTTAATGGATAAGAATAGTGCTAGGCTTAAACAGCATTATGGTTCATTAGCTTGAAGATACATTTTTATATGTCATGGATTAAGATAGCTCGTATATTCCAGTGACATTGTGTTGTTTAAAATTTCATCTCCATGGAGCAAGAAAAAGGCTTCGCTTTGAGATTTAAACAAATACTTCCTCTCCAAGGGAAGACTAGATACAATTATAAAACAAACATAATCCCTACACTGTAAATGAAAACGAACATATCTATCAACTCTTTTTTCAAAAATAAAATCAGAAATTAACAATAAAAGCAGAATCCAACATACTAACTATATAAAATAAATTCTCATAATCAGATGCATTAAAAATTGCTATTTCGCTGTTCTGAAACCATATTTGTACTTGTACAAGCTAAGTTCACAATAGCCAGAAACAAAAATTTAGTAATCAAGTAGATGGATTTTATCTAAATACAGTAAAATTAATTATGTTTCCTCTTTCTATTCATTTCAATCACTTAGTCCCCAGTAGTGCAACCCTGTAACTGACGCCCACTTTACTCAAACTAAGTCTAAAACCTTCACTCGAATCACAATAAGCATACGAAACCGTAATTTAGATCTTAAACAACACAGAACTTAATCGTCAAACCAGATCAGAAAGGCCAATTATTTAATAAACATTTGATTAGTTGTCAAAACTCATTAGACGACATTTTGAATCTCAATTTCCCACGCATATCCTACAGTTCCTCGGCAACCAAGAAGAAACAAAATTAAATGAGAAAACGAAAGGGTTTAAAGACCTCGAGCTCGGCGGATTTCATGGCAATAGGAATGCAAATAAGGAAAATGCCAGCCATGGCAATGGCCGTGTTGCGCTTCCAGTGCTTGGGCCTACAGTTTGGGCCACCTGCCATGGTCCACACCTTGGCCCTGAAATCACCGTGGGCCCCCTCTCCTCCGTGTCCATGCTCTGCTCCTCCCATTGATTCAACTGCAAGTAAATCGATCAGATTGTGATTTGGAAAGTCAAAACCCTAAATAACATGATTGTGCATTCGCCACAATAAAAGTCAGTAAAGCGTGAGGTTCCTATTAATTCGATGTTAGAAAGTCAGATTACTGATAATTACCTGAGAAAAAAGTAACACTGAAGAAGAGATGTAAACAAGCTTCTCTTCGAATTGTTCGATGAAGCTGGTCACTGTGTGTGGTTATGGCGTCGGAGCGAGGACCGTTCCGTCTTTCCGCTTTCACACGTGCCGAAAGTGTGTGAAGTTCTCGTATAAAAGGCCTTATTTATCACCATACGGCCTAGCTTGTTTTGGGCCTCCCATATAATTTTTCGTTCTTAAACCCACAATATCTTACGGCTGCCTTGAACGAACCCATAAAATTGAAGAATATTTGATTAAGCATCAACATGTTAGCTGGATCAATAGAACGGCTTGAATATCAAATTCGAAGAAGATGCAATTCAATTTTTATTTTTATTTTTTTGCAGGTTTATTTACAAGACTATATGGATTAGTTTTCCAACGAGGGAAAAGTATCAGTTGTTATAGGTGAAATAATAAATAGGAAACCAAAAACATGCATAGTTTTGCCAAATGTCATCTCCATCAAAACATTGAATATATAGTTACTACATCATATTGATATCTTCCAGGGCTTCAAGCACAAGTGCTAGTTTTCCTCTGGATTATTATCCAACAAAAACATAGAATACAGTTGCGACAAGAAATGGATCTTCCTTGACCACAAACACAAGCAGTAGTTCACTGGAACGGTAGAGATCCTGTACTCTGACAAATCTTGACACCAGATTCGCACATATAGAAGAAGCATATATCAAGTGTTATAAAAGAATTAAGAGCGTGTAAATTTTTGTTTGCGCTATAGCTTCAATTATAAAGCTCACAAAATAATAAAGAATCATTCATAATGTATTTGAAACATTAAGATTTTCCTTCTTCTGCTAGTGTCAGTTTGACACCATCTCTGAATGTTACTGGACAGATATTAAGTGTTTGAACCAATTTGGTGATATCCATGGATATATCAGCAGGGGACATGACACCACGGTCGACCTGAAAAATAATTCACATTCAATAATGGCCAAACCAAAAAAGGGCACTACATATACATAATTGGCAAAAGGGTTGTCACAAAAAGCATAAATTACTAAATCATATTTCAGACATAAACTAAAATATAATGAAATTGTGATAAGGTATACATACAGATGACGCAGACACTGGTTTGATTAAGGATGTGTTGTATCCTCTTATATCTGCCACTGCCTCAGCCATTTGAACTCGTGATACCCTATCTGGTCCACCAACATTCAATAGTAATTGCATTTGCTTACCCTCTGTAAAAGTAACATTAACCAGAATTACATTTCACATGAAGAAGCATAGAGAAAAACAGAGAAGTCAGATGTAGCCAAGCATTTTATACTACCCATGAAAACTCAATGACCATAAATTGAAGAAAAAGAAAAATGTGGTAGAAAGAAAACTTAAAGGAGCACCAAAAGATGCTAGCACAACAAATCGTACTTAAAAAAACAAATGTTGGTGATTAGGACTCCTTTTTCTTTCATTTTGACATCCTACCATCAGCTTTCTACTACACGGAAGAAGTTAATTTTGAATTTCCACTGCCTTAAAATGACCTTGATAAAAATGCAGATATCATTCCAAGTTAATAAACATTTTAACCAAAAACATAGTTTAGTTATTATCAATGCATAACCATAGAGCTTATGTTCACCACTGTTCTTGGTTGTTAAAGTATTAACAATGGCAACAAGATTAATACCTGAAAACCATCTATCTGTCAAAGCCTTTATGATAGTCACAACATCCTTCACATATACTGGGCAGCGGTTCTCATCATGGAAAAACTCCACTTTATCTCCTTTAGCGAGAACACCATCCATCCACTGCACATTTAAGAGTTAAATGCTGGTTAGACACCAAGTAACCACGAATACCTATGTATTTATCCCTTGTAAGTCATGAAGAAACAAAATCAACCAAATTTCAATTTATTCCATGCTTAAGTCGATATTTAAGAGTGACCAAAAAAAGATTCTTGAACCATGAACTAAAGCTTTTTGTCGATACTACTACATATGCTTCACTTGTTTTGTTGATTCCTAATCCAGTTTTTGATTGGATCAGTAATCTTTTATTAAAAGTTTATTCTGTTGTCAGCTCAAATACAACACTTCAGGCGAAAATGATAAATAAACAATTAAGTCCTTGTTTTTCGTTTAGTCAAAAATCAGCAAAGAACATTTTTAGCACAAACCTGAATTGGAAGAGACTTAGGTACAGGTGAAATAGTTTGTGGGCCAAAGATAATACTGCTTCTCAAAATTGCAAAGTTGGAGCATTTCTCAGAGATAAACTTCTCAGCTGCAACTTTTGATTTGCCATAAACATTCACTGGAACAGTTTCATCTTCTTCTTTGTAGAATGACTTCACCCCTTCGTAAACTGATATTTAAATATAAATAAATAAAAAACCAAAATCAAAGTCATATCAACATTCTTCAAATTGTTTAAGCATTTCACCTTAAATACCTTGATCCGTTGATAGATGAATCACAAGAGTTTCTTTATCCTCGGTAAAGCTCAATAACCAATTTACAATAGATGAAGGAACATTTATAGACATAGCAGAATCAGGATCCTTTTCACAAACACGTGGCACGGAGAGAGCAGCACAGTTCACAACAACATCGGGCTGCCATATAAAAACACATTCGTTTTTTTAATTCTAAAAATCGGTATCAAGTAGTTGAAAATTGCAAAATCAAAATGAAACAGACCTGACCAAATTTGAGTGAAACGGCATCGAACCCTGATCCAGATTTCAAATCGACATGAAAAAAAGAGAAAGAGGGAGGAAGGGCGTCAAGCAAAGGCTGAGGAGGTGGAGTGGAGAGTTGAGTGGCTGACACGTCATACGGTGTTCCTTGGATCTCTGATAAGGCTTGAAGAAGATGCTGTCCCAAGTAGCCAGTGCCTCCCACCACCAACACTTTCTTTTTACTCATTTCTTTGAATTAGGACTGGACTGGTTGAAAGGTTGTAGGGAAGAATAATTTCTGGTAGGTCAATAGTGAACGGTTTCAGAAATTTCAGTTGTTACTTCATTCACCACTACACTGCCCTCGACACCCAGAATCCCAGATTATGATTTTCGCAGTGGCGTTAGTTTTTTTTTTTTTTAAATATGATTTTATGTTATTGATTGCGGAGCTTCGTTTGTGAGATGGTACATGGTAGGCATAAAATGCCCACCGGTATAGCAAATTGGATGCTAACTCCCATTCCGTCAGATTTTACCGTTAAAACTGACAGTTGGAAGGAGTATTTTGATATTTCAACCTTTTAAGAACGGTATTATAATTTATAAACCTCTTGCATTCATTGAAAACCCCGAACATTTTAAAATCTTTCTTCTTACAATTTTTTCCCCCCTCTTATTTCGTTCCAGTCATCAAGCGGCTTCTACTTGGCCGAATTTTGTCGGAAAAAAATTTATTAGGACTTTTGGGTTTTATTTGTTAATTTTTAAAGTTTACATGTTCAGGAAACTATTATATTAAGTTTTCAAACATAAATTTAATCAGTTGGGGATAATATTAAAGTTTTCAAACGTGTTGAAGGGTATAAATGTCATTTCGTTATCTCTATTAAAAAAATTAAAACCTGTCGAAGGGTATAAATATCATTTCGTCATTTATGTTAAATAATTAAACGGAAATGGAGGTTAGGGTGGAATTCACTATACCAGTGGATGTTTTTTACTTCATTTGATTCATTATTGGATAAATTTTAGAATGGTATTTTGAAAAAAAGTAAAATTGGGTTATTTTTACGAGAAATGTAATTATTAATGTTTTGTGAGATGAATAAAGTTGAATAGAATTTTGAGAATATTGAAACAAATACAATTTTGGGTTTAACTTTATTGAGAAAACCAGAATAATATTTTAAATTCATGAACCAAATGAAGGCTTTAATTTCCCCAAACTTGTAGGAGTTCTCTATAATAACGCCCTAGATTGTATTTCAGACTTTTCAATTTAATATTTTAAGTTATTAATTTGAATTTAATAATTATCAAATGTATTATGAATTTATGATAGAACAAAAAGTATAAAGTCATCTCACATTTTGTGTATTACATGCTTAAAAATAAGGGTTGGGTTTATTAAAGATAGAAATATGGAATATAACAAGTCTCGTATATCATTTATAAATTCATTTATTTTAATTTACAGGTGTTATACTCCATGTTATAACTCTTAAATGATTAACAACTCTCTAAATTAAAGTGTGAGATTTCTAATGTCAAGTTCAGTTGAAGATGCAACTTGTTCAAGATATATTAATATTTTCCTTATAAATTCATTCTTGGTGGATAGCTTAGATGGTTAGAGTTAATTAATAATAGTGTAGATAGATGCATCATCTCACATTCCATTCTTTATTTGAGCATCCTCTAAGTATCTCGTTGTTTTCTTCCTTTAATGTCTTTTAATTCAAATATAATTTGATTGAATAATTCTTCTTCTTTTTTTTTTTTTCCTCCAAACATTAATATTTTTATTTAATGAAATATCTAATATTTTCAATTTAATTATACTTTAAAAAAAAAATTATATTTATGGTTAACGACTGTTTTGTAAATTTTTTTTTTCTTCACTCAAATTAAAATTCAATATTTTGTTTGATATTTTTCATATTCATTTACTCTCACAATACTGTTTTTTTGTCTTTGGAAGGTGCGAAGAAAGTACCAAATGGAAAGAAAATTAGTTAAACCTTAGTATCATGATATAGTTACAATTTTCATTATTATTTATTGTAAACAGGAAGATCTACGGTCAAATCGAAATGGACTGATCATGTATGAAGTGAGCCATTGATAAGCTGGTAGACCTACACAAAAAGCACAAAAAGGGAACGTGAAAGCTAGAAAGACACTGGTATGGTGTCTATCATAGACACTCCAACGCTTAAGTCAGTGAAACTATTTGGTGAAGGCTAAAGGGAGAGACTACCAGAATAATATGGCAGTTCTTGGAAGCAAGAACTTTTAGAACTTAGGTGTTACGGGTGATTTTTGAATGAATAATGAGGGAATTTGCCCTTGCTTATATAGTGAACTTAAGAGATTTGAATCCTACTATATAAAGGAGTCGTTATTGGGAAAGAGATAGGATTTCCTTTCCTTATTGGGTTAAGCTTAACATTTATGATTGTAATGCAATATCTTGATAGAAGTGGAAACATAATAAGATTCTGCTTCCTATTTTTTTACTGTTATGAGCTAGTAGGCTTGACCCAGTTTAACTTAGCCTGCAGGATAACCCAACTCATAAAGAGGGTAGTTCACAGAGTATATTTAAATGTAGACTCAATCAGAATTGAGCTAAAATCTTGGACCGTCATCTGTATATCTTATCTGTTGGGCCTCATTAGGCCTAACACGGTTTTTGGCCCATACATTTATGTCATACAATTTTCAAATAAGTTTGACTAATATAAGGTAAAAGAGAATTGAAGGAAGAAATTGTTTCATACTAACGATGATTGTATTATGTCCAACTGGAACAAGTTTATGTGCCGATGGCATTTGCATATGTTCCGATTCTTCTCTAAAGGAATGATGAACCCGACCCTTGTGGTGGTTGTCCTCCATGATGTAATTGTAATTAATAATCGTCAACTTCCAAAATTTAGATGTTCATTCATCTCTAACAAAAATTTCTTTTTTTAATATTATGGTCTCTTAATAAACGAGTTTAATGTGTTTAAATATTATGTGGTTTAAATTAATGCTAATTGTTACTTCGTATTTGGTTAATTGGTTGATGAAATAAGTTCTCACTTCAGTACATTAATTCGTTACATACACGGAAAAAAAAAAAAAATAAGGATGTAAAATAATTTTAATTTTTTATATAAAATTTAGGGTCAATAACAATGATACTCATGAAGTTTAATTAAATAAAAAAAAAAGGGTTATTTAAAATTAAAAAAATCTCATTGTTATTAAGTTTAATTGTTTATTTTGTTTACATTTTGGTGAGATTGATTCGTATTAAACTTATTTGTTTCGTTTATAAATCATTAAAAATATTCCCATTGTTAATAATATATTAGGATTCCATCCAATTTTAAGTTCAAAAATCTGTTTTATCACTTACCAACTTAAAAAAATTTCTTAAATCCTTCACCCAAATATTTAAATGTACAAAATCATCCTTGAATTTATATGAAAAGTTTAGGGTGCGTTTGGTTCATTATTTTGGATGGAGTATTACGAGGTAGAATTTAAAAATCTATAAAAAAGCCCCTAGGTTTACTAATTTAATTAAACACCCCAACATATAAAATGACAAAAATACTCCTACCACCTGTAGTGTCAGATTCCGGCCACCACCGCTGGAATCTGGGCAGAAAATCGCGTTATGACATAGACCGGTCGAATCTGTGTTGTAATGCATCGTTATAGCCTTTTTCGGTCAGATCTACGACCTTCTATGGCAGTCGACGGCCGAAAAAAGCCAAAAAGATGGCCTCTTTGACCATCAGCGACGGCTAAAGATATGGCCGTCATTTTCGATCAACGATGACCATTTCTTTGGCCGTCGCTGACAACCAGATCTGACTTTTTCTAGCCAGATCGGTGAATTACCAGCCAGTTCCGGTCGGTAATTCACTGTTGTGGCAGATTCTGGCTACCACCGACAGTGGTTGCCGGAATCTGCCAAGTATGGGTCATGGGGGTATTTTTGTTATTTTTTAAACTTTTTTTAGGGGGTATTTAATGAAATTAATAACCTTATAGGGTCTAAAAGTAATTAAAAAATTGAGTAATATTTCTGGAATAATGTACCAAAGATTATTTGGAGAATAGGATTGAGAATATGGCTAAGAATATTGAACCAAACACGGCCCTAAATATCTTTTCATCATAAAATATTTGATTATAAATGACAGACTTTCGTATAAAAATATTTAGTGAGTGTTTAAATTAGATAGTACAATTACAATTTAATCCAATGTGTACACGTAAATTTCAAGCGGTCGAAAATGACAGCTCAGCACAACCACGTCAATTAGGGTTTCTCACCTCTGTACTGGTCCTATTTAAAGGTCACTCCGCATCCTCTTCAGCATAGTGGTAGTCTCTTGTTCTCTCTCTGCGGTTTTGTAATGTTAGGGTTTAGGGTTTCACGGCGAAATCCTAACCCTGATTAATCTATTTCGTTACGTTTGGCTTTCGGCGCTAAATCTCCCTTATGTTACGGCTTTGCCGATGCATTCATGGTCTTAAGGTTTTGCTGAGAAATTTGGGTTTTTCGTTGGTAATTTAATAGTCTCCTTGTTTTTGTTTTTCTTTTCATCCGTTGTCGGTAAATTAATTGCCTCTAACTTGTTTGTTTTTACGCCGTTAAATTAATAGTCTCATAGATTTCTTTTTCTTTCGTCGGTTACCTGTGTTGACGATACTGGAGCAAAGTGACATCATGTGATGAGGAACATAACTGCAACAAAATGATCGATTATTATCGTGATTACTTGTATTTAAGTCTCTGATGATTTCATTTCGTCTCCCTTGCGATATTCTAAAACTGTTTCTATTTCAACGTTCTTTTTTTGTTTGATTATTTGACATTCCTTTTTCAGAAAAAAGAAGTTAATGGTGTAATGGGAGATATGATGATAAATTTATTTGGTCCGTGTTTCTGATTAACCGTGACCGATAACCCTTTACCAACGTCTGATTCTCCCGATTCATCAATTCACATCTGCAATTTATCTTACTTTATCGGAAAGTTTTAGTATGTTTTAGCTCTTGCAAGTGTTTGAGTACTCAAGACATTTTGTTTGTCACACTCTAAGTTAAATTTTTTATAATAAATTATGTGTTCATTTTTTATTGTGGAATCAATACTGGTGTCTTTCTTGATCTAGGTTATATGCTGTGATGATTTATGAATAAATTCACATGTCAGACTTCAGAGACTTCTAAGTCTATGAGAATGTATATTCATGATTCTGAGCAAATTCCTTCCTCTTATGTGAGAAATTTTGATTAAAATTCAAAATGGGAGAAATTGGATTAAAATTTTAGTTTTCTGATCGATTTGGTTATGAGCTCTAAGGCCCGGACCCCGAGGAGAGACTACTTACAAGGCATGGTACTGTTTTGGTTTTCTCTATGACCCGAAGCAACCCATTTTAATGAATATAACCACACATTCGAATGGACTAGAAATCGAAGTTTCTCATGACAGAATGTCATTGAACCTTAACAAATATTATTCCACTGACAGCTGGTGAATTAAAGTCCTTTTCTATTGCGATAGGAGAAAAAAATGATCTGAAAAGATTGAGAGCTATTAAAGAAATTGTAAAAATTACAAAGATAAGCAAAAATCAAAGTGTTGTAAAACTAAAAAGGTTACATGGCATCTCTATATCATACATCTTTTAACTACCAAAAAGAGTTCTGTATTTCAGCTACCTTCAGGTGAATCTCGAGACTTTTCAACGAGGAACTCAATTTTCTGGATATCAAATAAGAGATTACTGTCAGCAAAGTGGAGTAACAGAAGAGTAATAACAGAGTAATTACTTTTCAATAACCACAAGAGAATGAGAGGTATTGTCAATAACCACGACAGAATGAGAGATATGCTTCATAATGATTTTAGTTCAGTATCGGTTGTTATCTACTGAAAAAAGCATAAAACTTATACCAAAAGAGCGAGACGGGTGAAAAGCTAGCATGAAAATGTTAAATAGGTTTTCGACGACTCAGACGTGTTGAAAAAAGAAAGTTTTTGGAACATTCTGAGAAGATATCTGCGCTGTTCTTCTTAATGAAAACAATAAATAATGTTTTGACACATGATAAACAAATGGTACCATCCACATTCCACACCTTTACTGATTTATTGACTTCATCAAGTTTTTGCAGGAGCAAGTCTCCGGGTACAATCCCTCTGCGCTCCACTGAACTTTGGTAGGGCGAACTCGTTGTCTATAGCAACAGCAAAAGTAAATTACTAATATTGCAATCATCTATTTAAAAGGCACAGCAAGAAAAAATCATAATAAAAGTTAGTCTTGCGGGCAGAGATTATACTTGCAAATAGATAGGGAAGCCAAATCCTAAACGGGTGATGCTATGTATCACCCTGCTCCTATAACTTATTGAGAAAGATGTCATTTATACCATTGAAATCTTTACCATGAGAAATGTTAAATCTTTTCTAACTACCAAAATACACCCTAAACTCTTCATTTTGCACCCAGCTCAGGATTAAAAGAAAAGGTTTGATGATAACGGTAATTGGGTGCAAGACAAGGTTCTGACAAAGAATAAAGAATTTAAGAATTTTGAGAAATTGCTAAATCACCTTCCAACTTTTGGAAGGTGATTTCCAAGCAGCAGGTCCCTCTGTCAATGAAGACATTCTAGACACATTGTCCCCTTCACCGATAAGAGTGTTAACTTTCCAGTTTTTACCAACCTCTTGTATAACTTTGGCTGCTTCTGTTACAATGACCTGCAAGAAATCCAAAAAACTTCTCTATAATGCTCTATTAAAAATGCTATCAGTCTCCTAAGTGTTCCAGTCTAAAGAAGATACAAATAAGGAGAGAAATCTTATATACCTTCTTCAGGAGACTTGGGTTGGCAATGCCTTGTACCTGTAGTTCATCAACAGGTGCCGCTTTTCCATGTGCTATACTTTCTACTCTAAAGGTATGGATTCCATAAACCGACTGTAAGCAGCCTATAAACATTAGAAAACAGAATAGCAATTAGCCTATCTAAATGAAGCGTTCTAGACAATGTACTTTTCATAACAAAAAATGCTGAATCAAAATCATATTAGTCAATCAATCAAGAAACAAAAACAGAGATCATGCCAACTAAATTACCAAAATAACTCAATGTGTCGAAGAATAAATGCTGAATCAAAATCATATTAGTCAACCAATCAAGAAGCAAAAACAGAGATCATGCCAACTAAATTACCAAAATAACTTAATGTGTCGAAGAATAAAAAATAACTTGGCTTGCCAATCTTGTTTGACTCTTGAATAACAATAAAGAGATAATAATACAATCATGTCTTCTAACCATATTCTGGACGTTGTTTGAAAAATGGGTGTGTTTTGCATAATAGTTTTAAGTAATTTTGCAATAATGAATTTAGTAGAAATATATTTGCATTTTCAATTCAATGTGAGGACATAGAATAATAAAGGCATACAACCCTCAAGAAACAATTCATGCTAAAGCATATGAGAAGTTGCATCATTACCTTGTTCAATAATGACATCGATCACAAGGGAAAGAGGTACATGCTTCTCAATTGTTGTTAGGCCCCAGAAGGGTATGAATGAAGGCCTGGAAACCTTCATGAACAAAATTAAAAAAACAAAGGATTTAACTATATACCTGCATTTATTTTTTCTTATTGACAGATAATAACTGCATACATGTGAATGTTGAATGTATATCTATATCTTCATACCTTATAAACTATTTCGCTTGGTGTAACATACAGTTTGCGAGAGTAAATATCCTTTTGAAGAACATATATTCGAATGGGCAGATAAATCAACATAAAAATGCCAACTCCCCATGCTAAAACCAGTAAAAGAGATATGGAAACCCAAATAATGGTATCATACTTAATGTGATTTTTGGCAAGCTCTTCAAACGAGGCTGCATACACTATCTGTTCAGAATAAGCCGCTTCTTCATCGTCTTCTAACTCCAAGTCAGGATCAGCAAGTAGCTGATCTTTTGATGATCTAAGTTCAGATAGAACGTCCGTGTGACCCATCAACATTTCTTCAAGAACACAAACAACTAATCAATAAAACAATCCAGGGCGATCAACATCAATAAAAAATGAACTATTTTTCTCTTCTACTCCTACTTTAATAATACATTGCCAATGCTTGTGTTCAATCAGTTGGCGACAAAATCTCATGTTCAACGCAGTTAAAAAGAATGAGATTACATCTGAGTCCAGTTCGTTTCTATTCTCTGAACCGAACAGTAGAAAAGAGGGATTTCAAAAGAAACTGAACACAATGTGGAGACGATACGAGAAAGTTTGAAACAGAAAGGCAATCAGATTAATGAAAGGTACAGAATCAAATGAGTGTTCGTTGCTTACCTGATAATTGTTGTAAATGTTTTTGATTAATTTGGATTGCGTAGATAATTTACAGAGTTATTTCTAGGGTTTTCACGTGAAATTTGGGTTTTATTATGAACTCCGGAACTACCAGTCCATTGCCTAGAGTTTAGTGCTTTCACTTGGACGATGATCAGAAAGCAATTTGTGATCTAACGGCATATGAAACAAGAGCACCAGAACATGTCACCTACGTTTCCACATTAATAATTTAATTAGTCTCGTTAGGGGTATGGCCCACATGAAAGACTGCCTCGACGGCTCGACCAATGATCTGGCATGGACCCAGAATGGGCAATGCAACGACATCGTATCGTTTATACAGGAGTAACAGGAGGGGAAAAACAGGGAGGACTAAAGGTATATTCTCTAAGTCTACTCAACGTGAGAAACGGAACTTTCTGGCTTCCCCGTTGATTCTCTTACCATTTTTCGCAGGTCATCTCTTTTACGCTTCTGTTACTTTCTCATCACGTTCAAGTCCTGAAGAATTGTTCTGACAAATGCCAAAGGTACACTTAACAATTTATTTACTTTTTGCTGTATTTCAAATTATGTTCTCATGCTTGTGTCTCTTAAAATCATTTGCTTGTAAGAAACCCTAGGCATAAATCTTAGCTATAAAGTTGTTGTTTTCTAATTTTGAGAGAATTTTCTTTTGATATTGTGAGGTTCAGGCTGATGATTAATGGATAGAAAACGGCATATTGCGATATTTACTACTGCTAGTCTTCCATGGATGACTGGGACGGCTGTTAACCCTCTGTTTCGTGCTGCCTATCTTGCAAAAGACGGAGAAAGAAAAGTCACTTTGGTGATTCCTTGGTTATCTTTGAAACATCAAAAACTAGTATATCCTGGCAACATCACATTTAGTTCACCTCAAGAGCAGGAAAGTTATGTCCGTCGGTGGTTGGAGGAAAGGATCACGTTTACTTCTGCTTTTATCATACGTTTTTATCCTGGAAAGGTAATCATACCTATAAATTTTATATAGATATATTTATTGTTTTCGTGTTTATGTTTGACTTTGTTGTGACTGTAATACTTATATATTTATTGTGATGAAATTCCATGCCGTTTGAGCTAATTTCACTGCCCATGAGTTTGGACCATCTTTCGTTTCATGGCATTATCTTCTATTGCCTTAGAACAGCATCTACAAACAATATCATAGCTTGATAGTCATTGATGACTTCCTGTGTGGTTGCAGTTTGCTGTAGATAAAAGGAGCATTCTTGCTGTTGGAGACATTTCTGAAATTATCTCTGATCAAGAGGCAGATATTGCTGTCCTTGAAGAGCCTGAGCATCTTACTTGGTTTCATCATGGGAAGAGATGGAAAACTAAATTCCGTCTTGTTATAGGAATTGTACACACCAATTACCTGGAATATGTGAAGAGAGAGAAGAATGGACGACCGAGAGCATTTTTTCTTAAACATGTAAATACTTGGGTTGTTGGTATCTATTGCCATAAGGTATAACTATTATAATCTTACATCTGTGCATGTTTGATATTCATTGTTTTCCTTATTTCTCCAACTTAGCTGTCTTTAGCCATTGTATAATCAACTGGAATTAATAACTGCAAGTTGTTAATACATGAATTCAATTATTTAAATGACTATTGCACAAATGAAGACAGACTTCACGTCTTTAGTATATGGTTGGATTTACCAAACTTTTTCCCTTAAATCTTATTGAAGGTTTTGGATTGAACACAGATGGTTTGAGCTCCTATTGGTAAAATAATTCCCAACGCAGGTTAGGTTTGCATAATTTTCTGTCTGGATATAGATGTATAGATGTTTATAGATAGAAATGCTCATCCATGCATTGAAAGATGAAGTGATCTTAATCTGATCTTATCTGTGCACATTGACAAAATGGTACTCGACGGTTTTAGACATAACTAAACAGGTGCATACTGGTAGAATTACGAAACGTAGCATGATAACTCAATAAATATTTAAATAGGCAGTGTAGGGAGCATGTGGGGCTACCAAATGATCTAGGCACAAGTTAGTTCCAAGGTTTTGGCCAAAATACATTATTTTTTTAAATCTTATTGGCACAACATTGACTATAGTTTTGCTAGCAAATATTAGTCTTACAGGTTGTAGTTCGAGCATTTTTGAACCCATGTCATTTCCAGATGGTTAAATACTCTTATATTGGTGCTATACATTCTTTGAACAAAGAAGTAAACCATGTTCTTGTTCTCATTTGTTGTATTCTTTGAAAATTTGCTTCTCAGAACATTGCACAATCTTAATTGCAGGTAATTAGGTTATCTGCTGCCACACAGGATTATCCTAATTCCATCATCTGTAATGTTCATGGAGTTAACCCTAAATTCCTTGAGATTGGCAAGAGAAAGATAGAACAACAGCAAAGTGGGAATCAGGCCTTCACTAAGGGTGCGTATTACATTGGGAAGATGGTGTGGAGTAAAGGCTACAAAGAACTGCTTGAACTTCTTCATGATCACCAAAAGGAACTAGCTGGGCTTCAAGTGGATTTATATGGCACTGGGGAGGACTCTAGTGAAGTTCAAGAAGCTGCCAACAAGCTAAAACTAGTAGTTAGAGTTTATGCTGGGCGTGATCATGCTGACCCTGTTTTTCATGAGTAAGCTTCCTAACGTATATCTAAACTAAAATAAAAAAACTGCAACAGCGATAGCTGAGCAAATCATGGATCACTCCCTTCCCTATAGTCATGTTATTTCTTTCTCAGTTTTTTGAATACATTGAGATTGAAATGCAATTAACTTCTCTTTATTCTCTTTTTTCTGCCTCCTCCAGTTATAAAGTCTTCCTGAATCCAAGCACAACAGATGTGGTTTGCACAACCACAGCTGAAGCATTGGCCATGGGCAAAATTGTTGTCTGTGCTAATCACCCCTCTAATGAGTTCTTCAAGCAGTTCCCAAATTGCCGAACTTACGATGATGGCAATGGATTTGTTGAAGCGACACTCAAGGCACTCACAGAAAAGCCCTCTCAACTGTCTGAAGCGCAGAGGCATGAACTATCATGGGAAGCTGCTACAGAACGGTTTTTGAGGGTTTCTGAGTTGGACCAGACTTTTGAGAAGAGACTGTCAGAAAGTCCTTCAAATAAATTTGCATCCACATCATTAAATTTGAGGAGAAAAGTGGAGGATGCTTCAGCATATATACATTATGTGACTTCTGGGTTTGAGGCAACGAGAAGAGCATTTGGTGCAATTCCAGCGAGCTTACAACCAGATGAAGAGCAATGTAAGGAGCTCGGGTTGGTAATTCCTCCGCATGCATGAGGCTTATAAAGTTGATTTATAGATATGCTTCTGTATTGAAAAATGCTGTACATTTGTTAAATTCTGATCAGTCTCAGGGCCAAGTAAACGTAAAAGACATAAACTGGGATTTCTAGATGAACAATATTTCTTTGTGAAGGGGATGTGCCAAGTGAGTTGATGGTTTCCTGATTTCCTTCTGGCCAAAAACAGAAAGGGAAAAGGGAGGGGGAATTGAGTTGTAAGGCGAAGTTGATTGTAATTTCTGTACAGCTTATTCTGATTTAATAATAGTGTTTCTCTTTAATTTGCTGTAGGCAGAAAAGCAGTGAAATGAAACATAGGAATTAGGTGAAAACATAAAGTGTACATTGATGATTGACCCGTTAGAGATTTCAACATCAAGAATGATGCGTAGCTAACATTTTGGTCCTTCTAAATTTCGTTTAACCTGACGATTGAAATTGGTGATGGCCATTTCTGGGTCATGAGATGAACGGTTGGGACACCTTTATCTTTTCTAAAGTAGAATTACTTAATCTACTATAAAAAAGATAAACAAAAAGGATTACTTACAAGTGCAAAATGATATTACTGTTCTACAATAACTAATATTAAATATTCAAATATTTTTATCTATGATTAAAAGAACAAAAACATTAAAATGAATATATGGTAATCATTTAGTAATATGTTATATAGTTTGCTTTCACCTTTAATATATAACATCCTCTATTGATATATGTTGATGTTCAGAGAACAGGTTTATATTAGGAAATCATTTAATACAGTATCTCGAACTATAATTAGTGTTCAGATATGTGAACCTGTTTAAATTGGGAAAACAATTAATAAAATATCTGAACAAATTAAATATTTAATGTTAATATCTATTAACATGTTTATATTGGGTAAACATTCAATATTCTCTATTAAGTTAATGTTTCTATTGAAAAAACATTTAATACAATATCTGAGCTTCATGAAAGGCAAGAAAATAAATATTTATAATCAGATTTGTGAACATGTTTATTCTGGGAAAACATTTAAGACAGTACCTGAACTTCATGAAAGACAATAAAGATAGTATACAATAAAGATAGTATATTTCCAATTATAAACCAAATTACCTTATATACTTATTCATTAATAATGTCTTGTGAATATTAAATAATGCAATTTAATATAAGAATTAAAGAATAATTAAATAAATAGCAACCAAGAAATAGATTCTTTCTAACTTCAGTTACGTTTTGGTTTGGAGCAGACAAGAAGGGTGACAAGAGTTGCCATATATGCAGATTACATAGTGCAGGAATCTAGAGAAACAAAACCACTTCAGTTGTTGTTCATTGTTTTGAATTCCTGAAATGTAACGGCTGGTTTTTATTGTCCCTGCACATCGGCGCCGCCTGCTTACCATGAAAACTCAAAACCACCAAACTCAAAACCAGAATCTCTTCAAAATTAAAAACCACTGTCTCTAATCTCTATCCTTTTTTGGTAACACAACTCATCACTCTTTACTCTTGTTTGTCTCATTTTGCATGCTAACTCAAGAACAACACAGCAAAACGTAACTGAAATTTAAAGGAATCAATTTCTTCTTCATCTTTTCGCTGTACTCTTCCATGTTCTGCAATCTCTGAAACTATGCCTACACGTGGTTCTTCAGAAATCATTTCACCTTCAATTCACTCTCTTTTTAAGCCTCCCTTGTTAACACAACTTCACTATCATTCACCTTCACTCTTCACTCTTCACTCACAATTTCACTTCTTGTAACAATTAATGGTTGGTCAACGAAACAGGCGTCGTAGAGCAAATGCTCTCCCTTGGGATCTTTCTTCAGAATCTCCTCCCGAGGGATGGATTGTTATCAATGAAGTCAATGAAGACGGTGTTGTGGAGGTAATTTCACACTCGGCTTAGCTCTATAATCGCTCAATTTCGTGACATTAACGTTTTACATTTTGCTTTTTGTTGGTGACTAATGATTCTTTTATTTGTGCTTTGTGAACTGATGTTGTTTTTGTTTATTGATACAGTCTGTTGATCATGTCATATGGGTTCTAATTAACTTTGCTAATAGGTTCACTATGGTGCTAATCTATATAACAACTTGTGATATGAGCTTTATTATGTTATTATCATATAAAGCATTGCCTTGATCAGGTTTGGTGTTAGCCCTCTTGTGGGAAATTTTGTTTCTCCTTTTAGCCTCACATTTAGTTGAGTACTATACAAGGAACTGCAGTTATCAATTTTAATTGCTGCTGCTGATACAGCTGTTTGTGTTCTTTGTGTCAAGGTTTGTTTATGTCTTACTGCTCAATTGGTCAGATCATTGTTTTCTTGTTTGCATGTTAAGGATTTTGATCATTCAAAGCTGAATGAGATTACAAAAATTAACTGAATATTTCGGCTGATTTATGGCTGGTATAGTTTCTATATTGATTTTCAAAAAGAAGATGGGAAATTATGATCTCAGCGTAAGCTGTATAGCAGTTTTAGATAAATGCATGATTTTTTCCTCTTAAATTCATAAACCAACCTTAAATTAAACTAATAACCCCTGTACATCAGGATCTTTGTCTCTTGAGACTATATTTGGTAAAATTATTAGTGGAATAACATAATTTTTTACCATATCAGATGCTATTCTAAATCAAAACCTCTTTCTACTTCACTATGGAAAAATCAAAAACTCTTTTCTGCTTTTTCTTTCTAGTTGTTCCACTTTTTTTTTTTTTTTTCCTATTTAAGATAGCCATGTTGCAATGCTGAAGTAGATACACGGTTATTTTTTTATTTCAAATCATTAAGAACTTATGAAAATTATCGAGTTTGATTCTTAGAAACACTTTAAACTGTTGTAGATGAGTGTGTGTCACCTTGTTCCTCTTCTGTTCATGTTCCAACGTGTCGCCATGCTAATAAAAAAATAATACATGCTTCCTTCTAATGATTTGAAATAAAAAAATAACACATGCTTCCATGCTGATCAGCATGGAAGCATGTGTTATTTTTTTATTTCAAATCATTAGAACCGCTATGAAAACTATCGGTCTAGTTCACTAAAAACAATTGAATTGTAATAGATAGATCATGTCACCTTGTCCTGTTGTCCATTTTATGTTCATTTTCCAAATGCAGAACACGTGTTGCCATGCTCTTCGGCGTGGCAACATGTGTTATTTTTTTGCTTCAAATCATTAAGAACCGCTATGAAAACTATCGATGTCTAGTTTAAACACTTGAAATTTCCTGTCACCTTCTCCTTTTATGTTCATTTTCCAACTTCAAAACAAGTGTTTGTCATGCTCTTCAGTCTGCAACATTTGTTAATTTTTTGTCTCACATCATTAAGAACCGCTATGAAAACTATCGAGTCAGTTCACTTAAAACACTTGAAATTTCTATCACCCTTTCCTTTTATGTTCATTTTCCAACTTAAAAAACACGTGTTGTCATGCTCTTCAATCTGCAGGCAGCATATGTTAATTTTTTTTGTTTCGAATCATTAAGAGCCGCTATGAAAACTATCGAGTCTAATTCCTTGTTAGAATGCTTCGCAAAGTGTTGCATGGAAACTCATTTACATATACCATATAAGAAACCAGACAAAATTAAATTAAAACATTAGATACAAATTGATGAATCTGGAAAGTTTTGGAATGTTTAAGACCTTTATTTAATTTGAACTAATTGTGGATACTCTTTGCAATGTGACTTGTAGTATTTCATCAATGTGCCACAAATCAAACATTTTACACAAGAGAGGATCTGATGCGTTTTGTGGCATATGCAAGGCAGGCCAGCCTTCCTGCCCCGTTAGTTTTTATCTCCTTTAACGTTTCCATTTTGCCATCTATTTCACCTCAAGTTCTACAACTGTTTCCAACCTTTAAACTTCATTTCTTCGCTGCTCTCTATGCCACCTGAAACCTGGTTTTTTTTTTTTTTTTTTTTTTTTTTATTGTTCTTCATACATATTTTTACAGCCGACCAACCAGTAGGACCAATGGTACGCTGTACTCGATGCAGAAACGCTGGACACCAGGCATACCAGTGTGGATTCTCTGAATCATATGTTAGGGTACGTTCAATTTTTCATTTGTCCACTTCTTTCTGTAGTAATTCCTACAAAACTCACATTCCACTATTTTTCTAACTTTCAGGCATCATGCTCTATATAGCCACCTGCACGTAGGAGAGGACAGGCACACAGAACTACATACCGGCAGCCGCTGTGGTCTATATGGACATAACGCCCGCACTTGCCAAGGGCCTATATCCCATGGATCCTTAGTGTGATAGGTAGTGTCTATTGCTGTCTAAACCTCCAAACATCTCTGTGTTTGTTTTCCAGTTTTTAGACATTAATTTGATGGTTTTATTTTATGTTTGTGGTTGGAAGTTTTAAGTTATTTTAAGTGAACTCTTGAAGTTCTATATTATCCTTATGCAGCGTTTTATACTATATTGTCATTTGAATGATGGCTTTTTTTTTACTTGTCTTGATCCGTTATGATATCCACTCAAAGGTGATGGAAAAACAAAGGATAACTATCATTAAGTCAGATGGTAAAGGAGTAAAAATAATCTCACTTAGTGACTCAAGTTTGAGGCTCCTTAATAATAAAAGCAAGAAAATAATCTAACACAGTCTCTCGAGTTTGAGTTCCCACGAGGTGATTATTGGAGTTCTTACTCGGTTGATAGTTTTAAGGTCCCTAGGAATTTATTAATCTCATGAGTTTGAGTCCCCATGACCCCTAATAGGTGATCACTTGAGTTTTTATCTATCGGTCGATGTTTCAAGATTTTGAGAGATTAGTTGAGATACACGTAAGCGCCTGGACACCCCTAGTCATTAAAAAAAAAAGTTTTGCTTGTAATTTTTTTCTATAATTTATTAAAAAAACTCTTCTAATTTTTTCGTAAATAGTTAGTATTGTAATTACAGTGGTCAAACTTGGTCTTCCTTTTTTATCTTGGCAAATAATCATGGGCAAACTTATAATTACAGAGGTCAAACTTGTTCTTTCATCAATTTTACCCGCAAAAGAGACGGTAGGGGGCTCAATGGTTTTTCCGAACTGTCCAGCTGTAACTGTATTTGTAATACTTTGAGGGGTATAAGTGTCAATAAACCCTCTATCTCTCTTTTTCAATATCACTTAGTCCCGCTTAAACTACATTTTGCCCCCCAATAACAATAAACTTTTTAATTCATCAGGACTCAGTCGTAAATAAATTTTTAGGCCTAATATCTTCTGCTATTTATGTTTCGACCTAAATTTTCTAATATTTATGTTTCTGCAACGGCCTAGAATTTTCAAATATTTTGATTTGACCAAACAGTTTACAACATTCATATTTACTCCCAATTTTCAGTATTTTATGTAAAACCTTCTTGTAAATTCGTAATTTGTTATTATTGTTCAAAGTTACTAATAAAATTTTTACACAAATTCTTGGTTATGATTTATAAAATGTTTATGAAATAGTGTTTTAAAATGATTAATGTTATGTTTCTTTACATAATAACACTATAATTTAATTAACCTCAATTTTGAAATAAATATGTGAAAATTATTTCAAATAAAACAAATAATTTAACGGTCATACTAAATTGTTTTCCTTATCACAATAAATGAACATAATAGCAGTTGACTACATCTCTATTGATTTAAAAAGCAACAAGCGGAACAAGTCACTGCTAACTCTTGTTTGTGGCTACCGATCCAAAGAGAAAATCCAACTCTCCATGGCGGTTCACGCACCTTCAAACGAGAAAGCTCTAATGTCTGCCATGAAATGCGTTTTCCTTGCTGCCGTCTCTGTTCTTGGCAAGGTTTTCTTAAATACTTTTTTTTTTTTTTTTTTTTTTGGTAAAAATGAATTTTCTTGAAATTTTGATTTTAATTCCCCTTGAAGAAAAAATCATTTTAATTTATGTGAGTCTTTTGGTTTCGAAGTTAGGGTTCTGGTAGATATCTTGATGCTGTGACGGTCGTCCCATTCAGTGTTGGAGGTAATTAAATATCTTTCTCATTTGTACTTTAGAGGTAATGTCTTTCTTTATTCACTGTCTAATTAATACCTTTTTTTACTTCTATTTTAGGGTTTTGATTTAGTATAATTCATTGATTTTTTCTAATTGTGTATGTATCTTACAATTTTTTGGGTTGACTTACTTTATTGAAGGATGAACTGAGCACAATCTGGGCGAGGCTCCCATCGAAGGAGTTGTTTGCTTGATCGTGACGCGAGTGTCATTGATGTGATTCTAGAGTATTTGAGCTGTTTGAGCGGTGCCAGGTAATTACAAAGTTCATGATTACCTTTATATGTATGATCTTATTTTATTTAAATGTCGTTTCGGTTGTTTATTTGATTCCTAATATATTGCCAAAAATGGATTGGTTTTCACTTTTTATTATCCTCAAAATTTTCTTAATTTATAGTTATATTCCAGGTGTTCCAAATGCCACCAAGATTAAACTCTGCACTTTCATCACATTATTAAGTTAATTGTGTTTTCAGGTGAATAATATTTGAATGAAGTCAAGTGATGCTTGTTTTTTCAGTGGAAAAGCTTTACAAATTTGTTTATTTGGTTGCAATAATTTACATTAACACTCCAATGGCACAAGAGGACCCATTTAATTAATTTGCTTGATTTTGATGGAACTCTTAAGGTATCAAATTTTCATTTGATCTTTCTTACATGAGCAATATTCTACTCTTTTCAGCCGTGGGCTTTGGCAGGAATGACAAGAGCTAATTGGCCTTTAAACACCTGATTTCAGATTTGTGATATTAATATTAATGTTCATTGGAAACCATCATTAATGTTTTATCAATTAATTATTATTCGATTGAACTATTTAACTATTATGATTGTTTGATTCCCACTGACACTTGACTGATGTCATCTATTTTTCTCAGCTTATTAGGGATAACAAAGGGATTGTTTCTTTCGTGCATGCATGGTTTTTTGGAGAGGTTAATCTAGCTGCGCATGCATTGCTAAGGTGACTTGCTTTTAATATTCCTTGCCCTGGTATTGGCATTAGTTTTTCTGTTTGTACCTTTATTATCCAGAGTTCAATTTGTTTTTTTTTTTAATTGTTGTGTCATTGTCCTGCTGTCAGTACATGCTCAAATGGAAATTTTAGTATAGAGTTGTTTGTTTTGTTCCGTATATTCTGATGTGAACTCTAATATTGCAGTTGAGGAAGCTGGACTGAGAGAAAGAGACAGAGAAAAGTTTGACTCGAAAATCCAATGAAAGTGACATTGAGAAACGCATGGACTCAGAGGAAGTCAGTATTATTAAGAAAACTTGGACTCAAAGCCGCTGGTCCTGAGAAGTCAGTTTTTCCTAAGAATTACCGAATTGAAGATATCTCACTTCTCAAACAGCACTTTGCCTTCGAACTCTGGATTTTAGGCAGCCCCCCAAACCCATTCAAATTAGCAGTGAGCAAGGTCCTGGCGAGGAAATCCCTGCTTCTGTACCCGATACCTTGCTTTCCAGTTCTGGATTTAAGGCAGACCCAGAACCCATGCAAGTTAGCAGTGAGTAGCAACTGTAGTGGAAGTCGCCCATCCCACACAAATTTGCGGGGAGCAAGCTCCTGTAGTAGTAATCCCCCATCCCTGAATCTGGGCTTCAATACTGCCAAAGAACTTTAGAAGCATGAAGCACCTGCACCTGTGCCTCCCACCAGCATCCACGCAGGGGCCCAAGGATAATATAAAAGATTATCAGCCTCTAGTATGAAAATAACTGCCATAGACTGGTGGTAAACCTGTGACTGTTGTCTATGTTAAAGACTTGGTTATGTTTTTTCCTGTTTTCTATGTTCACCTCTGTTTGTGGATTGTTAAACTTTATTTTAATCTATACATCTATCTATTTAGAAGGCTTTTTTTTTTTCTTTTTTTTTTTTTTTTCAGCACATATTGGTATTTTATGATTAGTACCTTGAGTTAGATGGCAACTTTATGTTGCTTGGGTGCATTTAAATTACCAGAGCACATGCGACATGTGCATGTTTCCTTATATCCAGCCAGTTTATGTCACCATAAATGTGAAGTTTAGCTTATTCTAATTTATGTATTGTGTATGGAGCCAAACCACACTCATTTCTTGATGTTCTTCCTGAAGGATGGATTGTTATCAATGAAGATAGTAATGTGGAGGTAATTTCATACAGAATTCAGTGCTATAATCTTTCAATGTCATAATATTTGTCTCTTTTTGTTTTTTTATGGCCAACTAATTATTCTTTTGTTTGTTCATTGTGAACTGTTGTTATTTTTGTTTATTGATACAGTTAGTTTATAATGTCAAGTGGGTTCTAATTAATTTTTGCTAACAGTTTCGTTATGATGCTTATCTATATATTACAAATTGTGATATGTGAGCTTGATTATGTTATCATCATTTAATGCATAGCTTGAATCAGGTTTGCTTTTAGCTCTGAGGAAAATTTTGTTTCTCCTTTTAGCTCCACATTTGCTTGAGTACTATACAAGGTCCTGCAGTTATCAATTTTACTTGCTGCTGCTGATACAATAGTTTGTGCTCTTTGTGTCAAGGTTTGCGTATGTTTTATACTTTTATTGCTCAGTTGCTCAGATCAGAGTTTTCCTTGCTGCTGCATTTTATGGTTTCGGTCATCCTAAGCTGAATGTTAGAACAAAAATTAACTGCATATCAGCTGATTTATGCACTCTATTGATTTTTAAATAGAAGAGGGGAAATTATGATCTCAGGGCTAGGCTGTATAGTGGTTTTAGATAAATGCATGATTCTTTTTAATTCATTAACCTTTCCTTAAATGAACTAGTATCCCCAGTTCATAGACATGACACTGGGATCTTCTTGGTCGAGAGGACTATTTTGGTAAAATTATTATTAGATTCATTAATGATGTAAATTGAACAACTCTAAGGATAGCCTTTTTATTAGGATAACTGATATTAGGAAAATTTGCTTGACGAGGAGCATTTTATGTGATTTGTCAATTTTTGATATATGAATCCAGCAGTCTGTGACTGGGTTTTCTGAAGGGTTAATTGCTCTAAACCCCCTTAGTTAACACCGTAATTGCAGTAAACAGCTTTTTGTTTGGGAGATTGCTCTCAACCATCTGCCATTTGTTAGAGTCAACGAAATCCGTCACCTAACACATGCAAACCATGTAAATACCGTTTTTACTGCTGTCAACGTGTGATGAAATGACCCTATGCCCTGCCCACCCTCTCCAATCCACCCCAAGTCCAGCAGCTCCCCAACCCACACCTCGCCACCATCCACCATACCACCGACATCACAACCCACCACCTAATGCAACCACCACAATCTACCAAACCTACAACCACAAGTTCACCACAAATCAACAATGCTATCAAAAAAAGATCAACAAACCCAAATTAAAAACAATCTCCACAACAAACCAAACCCAAATCAGCTTGTCACTAAAACCACCACCATCAATTTCCCAAAATGCTCTACAAATGGCAGCGGCTTGGCCGTGATTGGCGGTCACAGCCGTGGTCTTGTGAGGACACGATTGAGGCCACGATGGTGGCCTTGCAAGGTCATAGTCACAGCCTTGCTACTGTGATGACCTGGCAAGGCTGTAAGGTTGCCACTAGGCAACAGCTGCAGTGACCTTGTAAGGCCACAGCCATGGCCTCACTTTTAGGTCGCAGCAGGGGTCTTGCAAGGCCACAGCCGGGGCATTCAACTGAGAAACTTATTTAACTGATGCATGCTCATATGGGATAACATAATAATATTCTTTCAAACTAAATACTATTCATGCTTTTGTTTTCCTTTCCATTCACTCATATCTCTTCTATTTTCTCAATTTTGTCCGGATCCTCTTTTTCTTCTGAAGGAAGGCAAGGAGAAGGGTCTTCTTCGGTGGATACTTCTTGTTCTTGTTTAGTCCCCCTCACTTCAAAAGTCATTTCTATTTCTATATCTGTTGGTTCTGCACTTCTCTCCCTTTCTTGCCTTTCAAAGGTTTCTTTCACTTTCACTTTCTTAGTAAAAATGTTTCTTTCTAGTTATACTTTTCTGTTTTCCTATGTGAGACACACATGTTGCTGTGCTGAAGTACGTCAACTTGTGTTACTGTTTATGTAAATCATTAAGAATCGATATGAAAACTATCGGGTTTAATTATTAAAAAAACTTGAAACAGATGGGTGTGTGTCACCTTGTCCTTTTTCTGTTCATTTTCCAATTTCAGAAACCTGTGTTGCCTTGCTGAAGAGCATCAGCATAGCAGCATTTTTATTTTAAAAAAAAAATTGAAATCATTAAGAACTGCTATGAAAACTATTGGGTCTAGTTCACTAAAAACACTTGAAATTGTAACCAATTGATAGATGCCACCTTGTCCTTTTTATGCTTATTTTCCAATTCCAGAAATGTCATTTTCACCAAAGTTATTGATCTGCAATGGCATTAGATATTTATCATGCTGTGATTGGTTTTGTTCTATGCGGATTCTTAAAGTTATTGTGCACGAGTTTCTTTATCAACCATATTGCATATAGTAAGGCAGACAGCCTGTTGTCTTGAAATTTGATCAACCTCTTAAGGTAGCAGTCTTCTCTTTAGGGTCTTAAATTTCTTCATCAAAATTTGATGACCCATGCAGCTACCATATTTTAGGGAAATGGCTGAAATCTTAGGGTGAATTGCAAAAAAATGCAATTTTAGTGTTGGAGCTGCCACTTAATGTGCAACCTTGCTTTGGCAGTCGACACAAGGTAATGGGCTTGTAAACACCCGGTTCATATTTGTATGTTCACTAATCTGATTGTTCATTAGAGAGCCTTTGTCAATGTGTTTATGTTTTAATTATCTGTCCGTGAGTGAATTATTTTACTGTTAATGGTTTTGTCTGATTCCCACTGACAGTTGACTTGATGTTATCTACTCTTCTCATTTTATTAGGGATAACAAATTGGATTGTTTCTTTCAGTCACACAGGTTTTATAGAGAGGTTAATCTAGCTCTGCTCGCATTGCTAAGATGACTTAGTTTTAATAGTCCTTTGCCCTGGAATTGGCATCAGTTTTTCCGTATGTATCTTTATTATCAAAGAAAATTATAATCAGTTCAATTTGTTATTTTTATTTTGCTTTATTATTTCTTACCAAATAAGCCAGAAAACATAAGGAAAATATTTATTTGGATTGTGTGATAAGAAGTATCAGTTACCTTTGCTATTTGTTGGGCACGTTTAGGTCTCCAGTTGTAACACACGGAGAGAATTTGAACACGTGGCAAGAGGCATCTTTTCCTGGCCAATGCATTACCCTTTTAAAGCCTTGTTCTCATCGAAACCTAGACTAAGTTGCTTTGCTCACAGAGAGCATTGAAGGAGAGATTATTCAATATGGCAGATAAACATTCATCGGAGCCGATTCCTGAGGGCTGGAAGTTCGAGACCAAAACAAAGAAAGATGGATCTCAAGTTTCGGTAAACGTCTAACCAGTATATTTCGCACTATTAATTATCGTTTTAGGATCTGTTTGGTTGAATCAATTACTTTCATTAATATTAAACTGCTTAATAAGTTTGCACTTATAGATTGATTTAACCAATTTTTGATTGTTTCCATTTTGATTTGTTGCCTGATCTGTTAAATCATATACTTTATCTGAGTCATGAACACTTGATGTTGTTGACTTCTAAAGCTATTGAATATTGTTTTGTTTTTAATGATTATGAACTAAGAATTTTTAATATGACAGATTCAAAGAGAGTCATGAACATTTGATCTGTTGACTTCTAAAGCTATTGAATATGGTTTTGTTTTTAATGACTGTGAACTAAGAGATATTGACAGGTTTAAAGAGAGTAGTTACTTGTGGTGGAGAAAGTTTTAGCTCGTAGTTGGGGTATTTGTTGTTGAAAAAAATTTAAGACACATATTACACGGACTTGTTAATTAACTCAGTTACCTTTGTACTTTTTTGTAATATGTCTCATGACCAGTTTTCCAGCGTAATTGGTTTTCAATTATGATAAAATTATCAGTAGTTGTTGATCTGCCTCAGGTGGACGTTCACTCTGTCTCTAGCCGTTGTACTTCTTGGTAATATGTCACATGACAAGTTTTCCAGCATAATTGGTTTTCATATTATATTAAAATTAACAGGAGTTGTCCATCCGCCTCTTGTGGATGTTCAGTGTCTCTAGTCTTTGAGACTGTTGGACTCAGTGCTGCTGTTCAAGTCTCTGAACCTGTTGTCCAAGTGTTTGGCTGGATTAGATTAGGGTGAGGGTACTTTCGCTGGCAACTTATTATACCAAATTGTTGAATATTTGAAGAGATGATATTTTGAACAACTAGTTCTAAAAAGTGGTTTGATTATGAACCATGAGTTCCTAGTCTCTTGGCTTATGGGATCCACAATTTTTGTAGATAAGTAATTAGTATTTAGGAGCTTCTAATTATTGGATGAATTGCCTAAATAGTGTACATGTGCTTTTTATCGGAAGTGTACATTTATTGCTCTACGATGTTGAGAAGGTGGGAACTTAATGTTTTAAATTTCTATTCAATTTTAAGTTTTGTGCATTTCTTTCTTAGTCTTTCATTGACCTATATTTTCAAAAAATTGAGACTAATGTTTTTATTATATGGAGAATGAAATGTTATACTGAATGCTACTTTGTTGGAGAAGATACATGCTAGTTGCATTGGACTAGAAATGTACTCCCTGTTATTTGCAATTAATCATGTAGTAGCTGTTAGATGTTTTTTAATTATATGATTGAACGTATATTATCAGACTAGTTGCCTCCATATGCTGAAATGCAAGATTATGTAATGTCCGAAAGGAGATTATGGAATTAGAAATTTTCAGAAGAAAAAATATTATTGACATGTTCCTTTGAATGTTTGGCTGTCATAGTACTACCTCTGCCGTAAAACTGGACAGCGGTTTTATACTTCTGGCGATATGATGCGCTATGTTAAGTATGCCAAAGAAGCTGGGCTTCCGGTCTATTTACCAGTGAGTTTGAGCTTCTTCAATACTCTAATACCTTTTTATTAGAAATTTTATTTATTGTCAGCTTACACCTGAGGTTTGGAATTGAAACAAGGAAAACAGTTTCTGACGGTGGGAAATGATACAAGGTTGGAAAGACATACAAGGAGCTGTATGATTTTGTCTAATCATTAATTTTCGTTTATAGCTTGTTAAAATTTAGCTAATATAATTTGTCTTCTGCATGCTTATTTAAGCTTTGATGGTTTTGATAATAACCACCCTAACCTGTCCTCTTCATTCCTTCATTTTATCTAGGATTGATTTAATTTCCTTAAATCCTATTCAAAGCCCTCCATGCCCAAGATTTTTCTGCCCTCCCATTCTGTAGGTGTGGAAGTGAAGGGCTCTATTATTACTTTTCTTTCAGGATGACTTGGTCATCTATAGCTCCTCAAGCTTATCGCCGTAGCTATACAAAGAACAAACATCTGGCTTCCCTTCTATCTATTTCTTCCGCTGGTTGCAACAGATCATTGTTTCTTCTTCTTTTTCCCATTGCAATGTGGTTGACTTAAACTATCACTCTCCTGTTTGTTTGGTTACTTCTTCAGTCCTCCTAGGGACATTAATCCTGTTTGGAGGCTGCTAAGGTTTCTGGTCATAGAACTAAATTATTAAATAAGAAAGAGTGCAATGGGCAAAGAGAAAATAAGATTCTTGTTCATCAAACACGTTTTGTTGGAATTATATAACCATCCATGAGTCTGCATACCCTTGGTGTCAAAATATTTTTTCTCTTGATTTCAATAAATGTTTGAAGTAGTGCAAAGAAAGTGGTGTTATTTCTGCCCTCATGTGGCTGTTAGCCTCCACACAATATGAAACAAGCTTCTTTGGTTTGCTCTACATTTAGGATTCTTTTTGATATGATGTTGAGATTTAATTTTGCATTCTGTATCTCCTTTTAACGATTTTTTTTTTTAATTTTTTTTAATATAAATTGTTTTCATGTCAATTGCTAATCTTGCACTTTTTCTGAATCCAGGTCTGATTAATGTAGTTATGTATTCTTCTTCTTTTGTCCTTTTATGATGGAGTATATACTCTGATAAATATGCTTGCTTCTTTTATATTAATCCACTTTTCTTTCAGAACTTTGATTTCAGGAAGAAGAAGAAATCTGGCCAGAGCTCAGAGTCCACTCCCAATCAAAGTAAGTTCTTATGTATGTATTAACACAGCCCCCATCCTCCAACTGACTTCAATAAAACTTTCTTTCGCCCCTTGTTTGAATTCGCAATGACTGGGTTTGTAACGGTTGGCCCACCATCATCGCTTAAAACTCCCAAATCCCTTATGTAGTTAAGATTCCACCTCCTCCTCTCACAACACCAACAGAGTTTACCACCCAGAGTAGCTAGTACCTTGCTGAACAGTTTCCCATAAATGCTGTAGGTATTTTTTAGTTGAGCATCACGTGATGCATGTAAAGAAGTTTCTAATCACCTTCTTTGCAGAATCGCACTCAATAATGTTGGTCATTGTCACTGCTGAAGATACATGCTCAAATGGAAAATATTTTATTTCTGATATCAACTCTTTCTTTTTTGCAGTTGAGGAAAGCTTGGACTCAGAGAAAGATACTGACAATGAGAAAAGTTTGGACTCAGAGAAAGACAATGATAGTGACACTGAGAAAAGCATGGACTCAGAGAAAGCCAGTAATATTAAGAGAAGCTTAGACTCAGAGAAAGACACTGGTCCTAGAAAGTCAGAGTTTCTGAAGAATGACCCAATTGAGAATATCTCAGCTTCCCTACTGGATTCTTTGCCTTCCATTTCTGAATTTATGGCCTACCCGGAACCCATGCAAATTAGCAGTGAGCAAGCTCCTGTAGTGGAAATCCCCACTTTTGTACCTGATACCTTTCCTTCTGATTCTGGATTAAATGGAGGCCCGGAACCCATGCAAACTGGCAGTGAGCAAGCTCCTGTTGTGGAAATCATTCCTCGTCACAGGCGAAATATCAGGGAGATGGAAATGACCCCCCTTTGCAGAATCGTCCGCCGTCGCAGGCGAATTATCAGGGAGCAGCGAATTATGAGGGAGCAAGCTCCTGTGGTGCAAATTCCCCATCCCCTTCCCTGTCCCAGAATTAAGGTTGCGGTACTGCCAAGCAACTCTGGGATCATGAAGCGCTCACATCCGCGTCCAAATCCACACAGGGGCCCAAGGTAATATGAAAGATTATCAGCCTCTAGTATGGAAATGCCATAGAATTGTGGTAAACCTATTGCTGTTGTCTATGTTAAAGACTTGGTTATGTTTATGTTTTTTGCTGTTTTCTATGTTCACCTTCGTTTGTGGATGGTTAAACCTTATAATAATCCATCTCTCTGTGTTGAAGACTGGTGTTTTGTGCTTCATACCTTGAGTTATGTGCTTGTTTCCTTGTGAGCGGCCGGTTTAGGTCAACATAAACATGAAATTTAGCCTATTATAATTTATGAGTTGTGTGAGCCAAACCATGCTCATTTCTTGATGTTTTACTTGTGGTCCCAATGGACATATTGGAACCGTGGAATTACTACTGTTTCCCAGTGGGAATAGGATTCAGTTTACAACCAAGCTTCTTGATATTCCAAAAGAATGTTAAATTCATTTTTTTTCTGTCAGTTAGTCTGTCCTCCCAGTGAAGGCAATATTCAAGAATGTAACTCAAATTATGAATCTCTATTGCGAATGAACCGTCGTTAATAATGTTATTCCATAAGAATGTTTAATTCATTCTTCTTCTTTGCCACTGTTTAAGAATGTTATTCTGGTCTCAGCCTTTGTAATCAGATAAAAAATAGTTATTCTCCTCAATCCTTGGCAGCAATTCTACCCCTCTCAACAGAATTGGTTTATATTACTTCACTCACCATAAGAATTACTTTGGCGTCCAGCAGTGTTCCATGGTGCTGGGTTATCATTCAATTTGCTGTTGCGAGATTTTTTTCTTTTTAAATAAAACAACAATGTTTTAAAACCCAACCTGGGGTGAAACTCGACTAAGTTGTCAGGTCCCAGGTTGACCGGCGATCAAACTGGGTGACAAAATTTTAAAATTCGGCAAAGACAACCCTAAAAATTCGTAAGTCCCTATAAGTATGAAATTTAGCAAACACACCCCAAATATAAATCGGCCAACGACTGGTTGGCGACGACGACACCTTAAATGCAATCCCAACAGTCCCTTGAGCCCATTCTCCTGAAAATCTACCCAAGATTTGGCCGAATTCGATCAGAACTCACAGATGCTAGCCTCAATATTCTAAGTTAGATCACACCGATGCCGGCGTCGGTATTCTAGACTAGATCTCACCGACGTTGGCATTGACAACCCTCCCCATCACCCCGAAAATATTCACCTCTTCCTCCTGACCAAAACCCACCTCACCCCACTCCCATTAGCCTTGTCAATCGTCAGCAAAAGACGGTTGTTGCCGTTGTCAGTTTTTTTCGATTTTTGATTGATTTACTCACCGGAAATCAACTACATCGCCACCATTGCACTCACCAACACTTTCTCTTCAAAAGCCCCAACATCTCGACCTTTAATTGTTTGCCGATCATTATCCCAAATTCTAGGGTTTTGGGTGAATATGAAAAATGTAAACTGGGCTTGGTGAAGCTTTCGAGTCCCGGTAAAATCACACGGGCTGGGTCGGGTTTTAAAACAATATATTAACCAACAATTTGAAGAGTATCTCGAGATTTATAATACACGACAAAATCAATTAAAAATTTGGAATTTTCTTCCCGGCTACAAATATACTCAGCGTAGAATTCTCGATCACCATCTGACGTTGAGAAGGTGGGAACTTAATGTTTTAAATTTCTATTCAATTTTAAGTTTTGGGCATTTCTTTCTTAGTCTTTCATTGACCTATATTTTCAAAGAATTGAGACCAATGTTTTTATTATATAGAGAATGAAATATACTGAATGCTACTTTGTTGGAGAAGATACATGCTAGTTGCATTTGACTAGAAATGTACTCCCTGTTATTTGCAATTAATCAGGTAGCAGCTGTTAGATGTTTTTTAATTATATGATTGAACATATATTATCAGACTAGTTGCCTCCATATGCTGAAATGCAAGATTATGTAATGTCCGAAAGGAGATTATGGAATTAGAAATTTTCAGAAGAAAAAATATTATTGACATGTTCCTTTGAATGTTTGGCTGTCATAGTACTACCTTTGCCATAAAACTGGACAGCGGTTTTATACTTCTGGAGATATGATGCGCTATGTCAAGTATGCCAAAGAAGCTGGGCTTCCTGTCTATTTACCAGTGAGTTTGAGCTTCTTCAATACTCTAATACCTTTTTATTAGAAATTTTATTTATTGTCAGCTTACACCTGAGGTTTGGAATTGAAACAAGGAAAACAGTTTCTGACGGTGGGAAATGATACAAGGTTGGAAAGACATACAAGGAGCTGTATGATTTTGTCTAATCATTAATTTTCGCTTATAGCTTGTTAAAATTTAGCTAATATAATTTGTCTTCTGCATGCTTATTTAAGCTTTGATGGTTTTGATAATAACCACCCTAACCTGTCCTCTTCATTCCTTCATTTTATCTAGGATTGATTTAATTTCCTTAAATCCTATTCAAAGCCCTCCATGCCCAAGATTTTTCTGCCCTCCCATTCTGTAGGTGTGGAAGTGAAGGGCTCTATTATTACTTTTCTTTCAGGATGACTTGGTCATCTATAGCTCCTCAAGCTTATCGCCGTAGCTATACAAAGAACAAACATCTGGCTTCCCTTCTATCTATTTCTTCCGCTGGTTGCAACAGATCATTGTTTCTTCTTCTTTTTCCCATTGCAATGTGGTTGACTTAAACTATCACTCTCCTGTTTGTTTGGTTACTTCTTCAGTCCTCCTAGGGACATTAATCCTGTTTGGAGGCTGCTAAGGTTTCTGGTCATAGAACTAAATTATTAAATAAGAAAGAGTGCAATGGGCAAAGAGAAAATAAGATTCTTGTTCATCAAACACGTTTTGTTGGAATTATATAACCATCCATGAGTCTGCATACCCTTGGTGTCAAAATATTTTTTCTCTTGATTTCAATAAATGTTTGAAGTAGTGCAAAGAAAGTGGTGTTATTTCTGCCCTCATGTGGCTGTTAGCCTCCACACAATATGAAACAAGCTTCTTTGGTTTGCTCTACATTTAGGATTCTTTTTGATATGATGTTGAGATTTAATTTTGCATTCTGTATCTCCTTTTAACGATTTTTTTTTTTAATTTTTTTTAATATAAATTGTTTTCATGTCAATTGCTAATCTTGCACTTTTTCTGAATCCAGGTCTGATTAATGTAGTTATGTATTCTTCTTCTTTTGTCCTTTTATGATGGAGTATATACTCTGATAAATATGCTTGCTTCTTTTATATTAATCCACTTTTCTTTCAGAACTTTGATTTCAGGAAGAAGAAGAAATCTGGCCAGAGCTCAGAGTCCACTCCCAATCAAAGTAAGTTCTTATGTATGTATTAACACAGCCCCCATCCTCCAACTGACTTCAATAAAACTTTCTTTCGCCCCTTGTTTGAATTCGCAATGACTGGGTTTGTAACGGTTGGCCCACCATCATCGCTTAAAACTCCCAAATCCCTTATGTAGTTAAGATTCCACCTCCTCCTCTCACAACACCAACAGAGTTTACCACCCAGAGTAGCTAGTACCTTGCTGAACAGTTTCCCATAAATGCTGTAGGTATTTTTTAGTTGAGCATCACGTGATGCATGTAAAGAAGTTTCTAATCACCTTCTTTGCAGAATCGCACTCAATAATGTTGGTCATTGTCACTGCTGAAGATACATGCTCAAATGGAAAATATTTTATTTCTGATATCAACTCTTTCTTTTTTGCAGTTGAGGAAAGCTTGGACTCAGAGAAAGATACTGACAATGAGAAAAGTTTGGACTCAGAGAAAGACAATGATAGTGACACTGAGAAAAGCATGGACTCAGAGAAAGCCAGTAATATTAAGAGAAGCTTAGACTCAGAGAAAGACACTGGTCCTAGAAAGTCAGAGTTTCTGAAGAATGACCCAATTGAGAATATCTCAGCTTCCCTACTGGATTCTTTGCCTTCCATTTCTGAATTTATGGCCTACCCGGAACCCATGCAAATTAGCAGTGAGCAAGCTCCTGTAGTGGAAATCCCCACTTTTGTACCTGATACCTTTCCTTCTGATTCTGGATTAAATGGAGGCCCGGAACCCATGCAAACTGGCAGTGAGCAAGCTCCTGTTGTGGAAATCATTCCTCGTCACAGGCGAAATATCAGGGAGATGGAAATGACCCCCCTTTGCAGAATCGTCCGCCGTCGCAGGCGAATTATCAGGGAGCAGCGAATTATGAGGGAGCAAGCTCCTGTGGTGCAAATTCCCCATCCCCTTCCCTGTCCCAGAATTAAGGTTGCGGTACTGCCAAGCAACTCTGGGATCATGAAGCGCTCACATCCGCGTCCAAATCCACACAGGGGCCCAAGGTAATATGAAAGATTATCAGCCTCTAGTATGGAAATGCCATAGAATTGTGGTAAACCTATTGCTGTTGTCTATGTTAAAGACTTGGTTATGTTTATGTTTTTTGCTGTTTTCTATGTTCACCTTCGTTTGTGGATGGTTAAACCTTATAATAATCCATCTCTCTGTGTTGAAGACTGGTGTTTTGTGCTTCATACCTTGAGTTATGTGCTTGTTTCCTTGTGAGCGGCCGGTTTAGGTCAACATAAACATGAAATTTAGCCTATTATAATTTATGAGTTGTGTGAGCCAAACCATGCTCATTTCTTGATGTTTTACTTGTGGTCCGAATGGACACATTGGAACCGTGGAATTACTGCTGTTTCCCAGTGGTAATAGGATTCAGTTTACAACCAAGCTTCTTCATATTCCAAAAGAATGTTAAATTCATTCTTTTTCTTTCAGTTAGTATGTCCTCCCAGTGAAGGCAATGTTCAAGAATGTAACTCAATTTATGAATCTCTATTGCGAATGAACCGTCGTTAATAATGTTATTCCATAAGTATGTTTAATTCATTCTTCTTCTTTGCCACCGTTCAAGAATGTTATTCTGGTCTCAGCCTTTGTAATCAGATCAAAAATAGTTATCCTCCTCAATCCTTGGCAGCAATTCTCCCCCTCTCCACTGAATTGGTTTATATTACTTCACTCGCCATAAGAATTATTTTGGCGTCCAGCAGTGTTCCATGGTGCTGGGTTATCATTCAATTTGCTGTTGTCGAGAATTTTTTTTTTTTTTTTTTTTAAATAAAACAACAATGTTTTAAAACCCAATTCGGGGTGAAACTCGACAAAGTTTTTGGGTCTCAGGTTGACCGGTTTGACCAGCGATCAAACTGTCGACAATTTTAAAATTCGGCAAAGACAACCCTAAAAATTCTGAATTACCTATAAGTTTGAAGTTTAGCAAACACACCCCAAATACAAATCAGCTAGCAGCTGGTTGGCGACGACGACACCTCAAATGCAATCACAACTGTCCCTTCAGCCCATTCTCCTAAAAATCTACCTAAGATTTGGTCGAATCCGATCAAAACTCACAGATGCTAGCGTTAATATTCTAAGCTAGATCTCACCGATGCCGGCGTCGGCATTCTAGGCTAGATCTCACTGACATCGGCGTCGACAACCCTCCCCATCACCCCGAAAATATTCACCTCTTCCTCCTGACCAAAACCCATCTCACCCCATTCCCATTAACCTTGCCAATCGTCAGCAAAAGACGGTTGTTGCCGTCGCACTTTTTTTCGATTTTCAATCGATTTACTCACCGAAAATCAACTACGTCGCCACCATTGCATCACTAACACTTTCTTTTCAAAAGCCCCAACATCTCGGCCTTTAATTATTCGCCGATCATCATCCCAAATTCTAGGGTTTTTGGTGAATATGAAAAATGTAAATTGGGCTTGGTGAAGCTTTCGGGTCCCAATAAAATCGGACGGGATGGGCCGGGTTTTAAAACAGTGTAAAACAATATATTAACCAACAATTTGAAGAGTATCTCGAGATTTATAATACATGACAAAATCAATTATAAATTTGGAATTTTCTTCCCGGCTACAAATATACTTAGCGTAGAATTCTCGATCACCATCTCTTGGCAAATAAGAAACAAGGGTGTTGAGCTCGACACACAAAATAATACAAAGTTTAATATTGCTAAAATTTTCATTCATGAAATTGTTGATAAAAATGTCGTTTTTTTCTTCTTTAATTTGGCTGGATCATACGACATTCTCTTTTCAATTTGATTATTTGCACTTCACCCGTTAGCTAATGATCATGTTATATAATCAAATATCGAGTGGGTAATGAATCTTAGTAAAGAAAACTACCTTAAGGGTGATAGTGAGGCCAACTTTTTTTTTTTTTTGGTAATCAAGGGTGTTTGAACCAGCTTGCGTGCACTCAACTAATCTCTGGTACCCTGAAGTTGATAGCCGGATAAATCTTTTCGATGATCTCCTTTTAACAACTCTTGTTAATCGAACTTAAGACATCTTGAATAATACACCTAAGAGTCTTGATTAATTGTTGTGCTACTCAGTGGGTGGTTTTTTATTGAGGCAAACTTTGATAGTTTTCCACAAGAAAGTTCTGAATACTATCATCAAATATTGCTAAAACAATAATAGGAAGGAATATTTGGGCATAAAACATTATACTTGGTAAGCAAATCCACTGCAACAACGATAAACTCGTCCTTCCTAATTTGACAGATATATCCATTATTTCCTCCTGCCTCCTCACCACTAATTGCTACTTAAGCACCATATTTTTCCATCTTCATTAGCAGCATTATCTTCTAGTCTTTTTTTAGTTTTGACATTTTCATTTGGTAACAAATAATCATCACTCCTGGAAGTAGATGCCATTAATTTTTGTATGATATGAGAACTTTCGTGTGGAAGATGCGACTATTTACGCATATATGAGATTTTTCGTGCGAAAGACTATTTGATTAAAGTACTCAAAACTTCGAGTGAAAGACTATTTGCACGTAAGGAGAAGACTCTTTAATTATAGTACTCAGAACTTCCGTGTAGAAGACAATTTATGCATAACAAGGTGTGATTTATACTTTTGTCGCCAAAAAGCTAAGATTTATAAACTTTCCAAGGTTTCACCTTTGTATGTTACTGAGAAGGTGGAAAGATTTAAGGGGAAAACATGTTCTTGGCGTCCAGCAGCGTTACATGGTACTGGGTTATCATTCAATTTCAGTTTGGGCCAAGCTAAATTATGTAAAACTCCCTAGCAGTCATACCGATTACTATTGCAAGAACTATTTTTGAAAAGATAAAATACAGAAAACAATTATTAACCAACAATTCGAAGAGTATCTCGAGGTTACAAACTCACAAAACACAATCAATTATAAATTTGGAATTTCTATCGGCAAAACACAATATCACTATTTGAAAATAACACTCTTCTATCGGCAAAACACAATTCACCACATTCTTCCTGGGCCACAAATTCACTCAGCATAGAATTCTCGGTCACCGTCTCTCTGCAACAAGAAACAGGGGTATTGAGCAGGGCACACCAATAACACAAAGTTTAAGATTGCTATAATTTTCATTCATATAATTGCTGATTAAAATGTTTTTTTTTTTCTTCTTCTTTAATTTGGCAGTATAGTAAGGCAGTCTCTTTTCAATTTGATTATCTGCAGCTCATCCATTAGCTAATGATTATGTTATAATCATACATCAAATGGCTAGTAAAAATGAATCTTAATAAAGAAAACTACCTCAGGAGTGAAACTGAGGCCAACTTTGATCTCTCCACGGTACTCCTGATCCTTCACAACATTGTACACAGTTGGAGGGAGACTTCCTTCCATGAATAAAGGCTCTAAAGGAATACTGCAAGTTTCATACATAAACTTTAACTGAGTTTGGTATTTGAATAGAAAAACCATATCTCCTATCAACCACTTTCTCTGAATGTTTATTTTCCAGTAGCTCAAGTAACAAGAGGTATGTATGTATGGACATATGCTTTGTGATTATCATGATTTAAAAATCTCTGTCTATCTAATGTGTAACAATTGATGACAGACTTAATATAATTTTCAGGGAGAAAATAACTCACGTTGCTTCTCCAACAAAATCATCATTGGAACCAGCATCTTTATCCATTATTTTCAAATTGATCTCTGAAACATCACCAGTAATACTGAAAACAAAGGTCTCATTCCATTCTGGTTCACATCCTTGGCCTGCAAATAACATTTTATCAGTAACTGAATGCATGTTAAAACATATATCACCAAAATTCACTGTATACTAGTTTAATTTTAGAGTCCAGAGTTGGGACGTAAAGGTATAAAATTCCATCTTATAGAAGTAACAAGAACGTACCTGATGCAACACTGCTTCTCTGCTCCTGGGTCCGGCAAGTAACAGTAACGTATGGATCCATGTTAACTGCTCACAAATATCCAACAATTAAAAGAAAGCACAATAACAGAGACAATGTTGCAAATATATATTAAATTATTTATCAGGTTAAAAAAATCCATTAAATCAAATTTTAAATCTAGCTTGATTTAATTTATCGATTAAAGTTTGGCTGATCATCTCAAATGTAAACAAGGTTGCGATCACACCAAAACACACCTTCGTTTATGCAATTCTAATAAAATAGTAACAGAAAACTCAAGACGGAAATAGATCTAAGAAAATATTTTGATAAACCAAACCAAACAATGTCTGATTCATCTATTACAATCAGCACATATCAGTTAAACAAAAACAAATAAAACATCCGTTCTATATAGACTTCAGATCGTCTTTGTATTGAGAGAGTCAAGTCAACCATCTTCTTCAAAGAGGCATACAGTAATATGTTTTACGTGTTGAATTTATAAAGAACATTAGCGTTATGTGTTTATATGTATGGAGAGAGAAAGATCTTACCCAGAAAATCAGTGTTCTCGAGACCCTTTGAGCTAACAAGAAGAACTTCAAGCTTTCCGGTTGGCATCTTTTTCGCTTTCGGGGTAGAATCGTACAGAATCTGTCAGATTATGGGATGTTATTTTCATGGGCGTCGCTTCGTCCCCTATATATATATAGATATACCCTAATACTTACAACAACCTTTTTTTTCCAGGCCCCTTTTTTGGGCTAATGGGCTTCAAAGTTTTCTTTTCTACTTTCTTGGTTGTCTTTCAGTACTATTTTTAGCAAAATATTTACTTATTTTATCGTTTCTACATTTAACTTTATATTCTTATTTTGCTATGCTACTTTCTTGGCCAATAATTTCATATTTTTTGTTAATGTCAAAATCCGACATTGGTTAGGAGAGTAGGGTTTTGGTCGCTTATATAGCATAATGACATTTTTACCACTTAAAAACGTTTTTTCAAAACAAAATCGTGCAGATTCAAATATTTAAAGCAGACAATACCTCTAAAAATACCTACTAAACTTATCATGTATCTATCCTATGTAGTATTGATATATAATGTTGCCCATCTTAAAATATTTATTCAAAGTAATGTAATTATCGTATGTAGTATTAATATATAAATGAAATAGTTGATTATTTCGAGTTATGCTAATAATATCGTCTTAATAAAAATAATTAAATTAAATTGCTTTCTTGCGTGTGAAGTTTGTATACATAGAAGCGCTGTATCCGTCCGAAACCAACCGACCCTCACATAAGGCTTAACTATCGCTTCCTTGGCTTTCTAACGTACGCGCCTTAAATAGAGTTTTCGTCATGTTCATATTTTGAATCTTATTGCCGTTTGGACTCTCTTTCTTTTGCAAACTCTACTGCACTACTGCTTCTCTTTCCCGCGAACTTTTCTCTCTGTCACTCCCAAACCTAATCTTCTCTCTTCCTCTCTTTATTTAACAATCTTTTCGGAATTTTTATTTGTTTTCTTCTAATTATTATCTCACTCTCCTATCAACCCTATCTGTTTCCTTCTTTTTCTTCTTCTTCTTCTTCTTCTTCTTTTTAGCCTTTACAAGTCTTTTTTTTCAAATCAATAAACCGTTTTAAGAAGCATTTGGATAAACGCTTCCTTTGATTCTGCTTTCATCTTTCTTTTCTTTACTGTGTTTCTTGTTTGACCATTGTGACATTATCATTATTCACCTTGAATTACAAGGTTGGCCTTAAGTTTTTTTTTTTAAATATATGATTTAGGGTTTGGCTTTTGTATTTATTATTTAATGCTTCATTAAGGCAAAATTGTCATTGTGAAAGTATGGGAGAAGTTAAAGAGAGTGATTTTGATGACAAAAAGGAGGAGGAGGAGGAGGAGGAGGGTGTGGTTACTTTTGAGAAAGCTGAAGTAAAGCAAGTCTATATGCTAGGGTTTGTTTATTTGTTTCTTCTCTTCGTGTATTATTTATTATTTAATATACCGTTATTTAATGGTAATTGGCATGGTTTCATGAATAGAATATGTATCTGTTTGGCAACGGTAAAATAAGTAGATTTTTTTTGGCGTTTTAGTATATTTTTTTTTATAGAGAGTCTTTCATATTTGATTACATGGCACAAATATTTGTGACAGTGGTAAGGTTTTTTGTTGTATATTTAGGAGGATGACGGGTCCTAGCAGACGATCGACAAAGGGAGGCTAGACAGAGGAGGAGGTCAGTATGTAGAGGTTATTTTTTGCGATTGTTGTTGCTTGAAAAGATAGAGATCAATTGTATTTCTTATTTAATTATTTTGCTTGAACAATTGGGTTTTCAATCAATTGCATGTGCTATATGTGTCTATATTAATTGTTACTTCTTTATTACACAGTCATAGTTATTCTGTAAGTGGGGTATTTATTTTTTGAAAACCTCTAATTGTCTGATGTTCAGCTAAGAACTTGAAATTTACAACTGACAATCTATTTATATAACTTTGTTCTTTTATTGACAGGACAAAATTTTAGCATTTGCTGTTGAAAAGTTCAGGGGCAAAAATTGGAAGAAGATTGGTACGTAACAACACATGCCTGATCTCTCTTTGTTATGGTGTCTTGTGCTCTAATAAACTTTGATAATTTTGCAGCGGAATGTGTTCCTGATAGAACAGATGTTCAGTGCTTGCACCGTTGGCAGAAGGTTCTCAATCCTAATCTGGTCAAAGGATCCTGGACCAAGGAGGTTCATATCAAATCATAGCAGCTCTATTTATTTTGGGGAAAAAATTTAGTGTTTCTCATTTTTTTTTCTCTGCATCCCCAGGAAGATGATCTTATAATTGAGCTCGTTGAGAAGCAGGGGAAGAAGAAATGGGCTGAGATAGCAAAACACTTGCCAGGCCGTATAGGCAAGCAATGCTGAGAAAGGTTCTTCACTACATCTAGTGCACTATTGCAGATAAATATCATTATTTCCTTCACTCTTCTAATTACTTTAGCTATATTTCGCACTTGTTTTAGCTCTATCTTATATTATGTTTCTCTTCAAAATTAGACCCTTTCCTCCTAAATAGATGAAAGAGATTTTTGATTTAATTGTTGATTTTTCTGTTCAGATGGCACAACCATTTAAATCCAGATATAAAAAGAACTGCATGGACCAAAGAGGAGGAATCAACTCTTATTAGGTGCCATGGAACGTGTGGGAACAAATGGGCTGAGATGGCAAAGTTTCTGCCTGGAAGGTATTTACTAAAATACATGAAAACATGGGGAAAAACATAGGAGTAAATACTCTTGACTGGTGCCGAAAAAGGGGTGCATCTTGTTTTATTGCATGACTTGAGAAACATTAAAGCTGCTATTATATATACTAATATATCGTCCTGAACCCAAATATTTTTTGTGAACTTTCTTTTGCTATGAAAAATGTTTATGGAAATCCAATAAAGACGTGTTTTGGCTTATTTAGACCTGTTCAGACATACTCTGATGTTTCATTTACTTATACGAGCTAACATTAGTCTGACCAGTTCAATTTTATGGCAAACTGAAGAAGTTGCATTTTACTTTGGGATATTGCATCTGAACAAGGTTGAGCATATTTTTTTTGGTATTTGCAGGACTGAGAATTCAATAAAGAATCATTGGAACTGTTCCGTAAGTAAGAAATTGGAATTATCTTCAACTCTTCGTTATGATATATACAATTTCAAAGTGAAAGCAGAAAGCAGGAACCCTGAGGTGCTGGAACAAAGTTTTGATATTGAAAGAATTCCCGATACTTGTTCAGATAAAAAAGATTGTAGAGTTACGGGAAAAAAGGCAATTGATTCAATCAAACCACCAAATGGAATGGTATTTGAGGAGAAAAGTGCTGCTGTATGCGACCTGACTGATGAACACTGCCAAGACAGTGGTGGCACTGCTCAGACATCCAGAGACTTAAACATCTTTGCTTATCAGCCCAATGAGTTGTGTACTACTACTTCTGCTGATCTTGTGATATCTCCAAATTTACAAGAAAGATCCCTGAACATGAGTCCGGAGACCTTGTCTATTCCTTTCCCTTAAGAAGACTATCTGGGTCATTGCCTTTTTCATTTAGTGCTCCTTCAAGTGCTTCTGGTTGTAATGGAAATATTTCCCCTCTATCCATGATAAGAGACTTGATAATTCTTCTGATAGATCATTTTTGCCTTTTGGGGAACTTTTTGTTGGTCAAGTGGGGCGAGTTTGAAATTTTTATTTGAATTGAGTTTAATTTGTTAATGGTTTTTTTCACAGGAGGCAGAAACAAAGGCTAAGAACACGGAGGAAGAGATTTGTAGATTGCAGAAGACATTGGAGGAAAGGAATGGACAGCTTGAGGCTTGAGCTTCTAATGTTGAGAAGGTATTAATTTTAATGAAATGAGGTTGATTTTTGATCAACTTTGATCGATCATCCAACTTATCATCACTTGCTGTTAGAGATATTGATCCTTTTTTAGGAGCCGTTTGACATCTCAAGAGCAGTCTTTTGTTAAAGAGAACCTAACAAGACAGGTTTGCAATTTGATTCTTGATTTGAATTCTTTTTGTGTTGTTTTGATGATCAATTCATAAGGTTTCTTTTTGTTCAAGCCTTGGATTCAATCATTTTTGCCTTTTGGGGAACTTTTGGTTTGTGGGGTCAAGGGGGATGAGTTTGAAATTGTTTATTAGAATTGAGTTTAATTGGTTTATGGTTTTTCACAGGAGGCAGAAACAAAGGCTAAGAACATGGATGAAGAGATTTGTAGATTGCAGAAGACATTGGAGGAGAGGAATGAACAGATTGAGGCTTGCGCTTCTAATATTGAGAAGGTATTAATTTTAATAAGATGAGGTTGATTTTTGATCGATCATCCATGTCATCATCACTTGCTGTTAGAGATATTGATCCTTTGTTGAAGGATTTGAAAGAAAAGAAGCAAAGTTTTGGAAGAAATGTTGTGTCTTCAGCAGCTGAGCTGAAGGAGGTTAGGAGCCGTTTGGCATCTCAAGAGCAGTCTTTTGTTAAAGAGAACCTAGCAAGACAGGTTTGTAATTTGATTCTTGATTTGAATTCTTTTTGTGTTGTTTTGATGATCAATTCACAAGTGTTTCTTTTTGTTAAAGCCTTGGATTCAATCATTTTTGCCTTTTGGGGAACTTTTTGTTTTTGGGGTCAAGTGGGGTGAGTTTGAAATTGTTTATTAGAATTGAGTTTAATTGGTTTATGGTTTTTTCACAGGATGCAGAAACAAAGTGATGGAATAGGAACAAGTTGGTTTGCTAGGAACGTGTTGAGGATGATCGAATTAGAACCCTAAGCAAACTAAGTCCTTAAAATCCTAATCTTGAGACGCCACAAAGGTTGATCACTCCATTTGATAAGTCGAGATTTAAGCATTCAATCAAGAACACAAGAAGGCAAAGCAAATAGCTTTCTGAAATAAACTTCAACTGATAATAATTTGTTCCCCAAAAAATAACATGGTTGCCCCTTTTTATAAGCAACAAACCCTAAAAGAAACCTTAGCTAATTGAAAAATGGGTTAGACTTAAGTATAAGCAAATTGGGCTTAAATAAACCTTAAATAAATAAAAGATTAAAGAATCTAATGATAATTAAAACATATAAAAAAAGCCCAAGATTAAATAAACTAAAATTGATTCCTAAATTATTCTTTGCATCCAATTTGATCTTTTGAATCTACCCCTTGCATAAAAAGATAATATACCACCCTTGGTGAAACTTTGAAATATTTGAATTTAGCCTTAGAGTTTTCTAGTACAATCTCTTTGTATTGCACTTCCATGATCAAGCTTTGCAAAGCCTCTTTCATCCTCTTTGTCTTTGCCCTAGTCATTGGACCGCCAATTCCTTGCAAAATATCTTGAGAATATTTGGGAACATCAACTTAGTTAGCACCTCGATCTCCATTATTCCCTTCCTCTTCGAAAGGATTCGTCTTCAAATCTCCTACATCAAACAAAGATAAATCAGCAACATTAAAAGTTGCACTAATATTACTATAGTCGCTTGGCAAATCTAGTTTGTAGGCATTTTCATTGATCCACTCCAAGACTTGAAAAGATTCATCTCCTTGAGGCTACAATTTTGATTTTCTTTGTGTGGGAAACCTCTAAAAGCTTCACCAAGGATGGTCTATTATCTTTTTATGCAAGGGGTAGATTCGGAAGATGAAGTTGGATGCAAGGATTAATTTATGAATTAATTTTCTGTTTGTTTAATATTGGGCTTTTTTTTTTTTTTTTTTTAATTAAGAACGCAAACAAAGAGTATTGGAGATAAATAACCTATTTCTAACAACCAAAGCTCTGATACCAAATGATGGAATATGAACAATTTGGTTTGCTAGAAATGTGTTGAGGATGATCGAATTAAAATCCTAAGTAAACTAAGTCCTTAAAACCCTAATCTTGAGACGCCACAAAGGTTGATCACTCCCGTTGATAAGTTGAGATTCAAACATTCAATCAAGAACACAAGAAGGCAAAGCAAATAGCTTTCTAAAATAAACTTCAATTGATAATAATGTGTTCTCCAAAAAATAACATGGCTGTCCCTTTTTATAAGCAACAAACCCTAAAAGAAAACCCTGGCTAATTGAAAAATGGGTTGGGCCTATGTACAAGCGAATTGGACTCAAATAAACCGTAAATAAATAAAAGACTAAAGAATCTAATGATAATTAAAACATAAAAAAAAGCCTAAGATTAAATAAACGAAAATTAATTCCTAAATTAATCCTTGCATCCAACTTGATCTTCCGAATCTACCCCTTGCATAAAAAGATAATAGTTATCCTTGGTGAAGCTTTGAAATCTTCGAATTTAGTCTTAGAGTCTTCTAGTACAACCTCTTTGTATTGCATTTCCATGATTAAGCCTTGTAAAGCCTCTTTCATCCTCTTTGTCTTTGCCCTAGTCATTGGACCGCTAATTCCTTGCAAAGGATCTTGAGAATATCAACTTGGTCAGCACCTTGATCTCCGTTACAAAGGCTAAGAAAATAGAGGAAGAGATTTGTAGATTGCAGAAGACAATGGAGGAGAGGAATGGACAGCTTGAGGCTTGAGCTTCTAATATTGAGATGGTATTAATTTTAATGAAATGAGGTCCTGATTAACTAATAACAAGGCTATTTGCCATGTTCGTTAGAGTTGATCTTGAATTTTTTTTTTTTTTAAAATTTTTTTGCATCTTTTTGGGGTCGACGTTATCACATAAGCATCGATGAATCGTGTTCTCATCTTTTTTATCTCATTGTTTTTTGGTGGGGAGATCCCAGTAGAAGAAAGGTGACCAAGTGTTTAACATATTATAATGTTGTCTTGCCTTTATTTGTAGCTTGAATTATTAAAAAAACTTTTGTTATTTATAAAAGAGAGATGGGAAAGCTTGTAAAATGAATTTAACTCAAATCAAACCATTTAAAATCATTTGTTAGTTTTAGTAATTTAGAATGAATTTATTTGGTTGATGCTACTACTATTATTATATTCCAACATTTTTGTTGGTGTTTTTTCTGTTGGTGGATGGTAATGTTGGCAGTCTTTTCTGTTAATTATTTTTGAAATTAGAAAATATGGGATGAAGTTGGAGAGCCTGATGTTGAAAGGGATCAGACAATAATTGAGATTGAACAGGAGTGTTTGGCAGTATATGGGAGAAAAATAGATGAGGCATAAACTTCTAGAGCTCAACTTCATAGAGCAATTGCTCTTTCTGAATATGAAATTGCTGGTATATGTTCTTCATTGGGGGAGAACAACCTGTGAATGTAAGTTCCTTTTGGATTGAAGAAACAAGACTAATGTTTTAACTTNGAGTATTATGACTTGAAATTTATGTTAGAAATGAAAGCTCTCTTAGTTCTGGAAAGTAGGAAATGCTGTGATGTGAAGTCCTTTTAACTGAGGTATCGAATGGCTAAATCCTTTATTGTAAAGTGCTTAATGGACTTTCATGCAGCTTGGTTTGTCAATCATGATGTTTTTGATTGTTCATTGTTTTTAATTACAATGCAGCTACTGGTACAATTTTGATTCCAACTTCTGGAGTGCGGTGTACAAGCACACCTATGGCAAAGACTTCAAATTCAAAGCTGGTTATGACTCAGAGGCGCGTCTAGGCTGGGCATCTCTCTGGGTAAGTGGTTCTTAACATTTTTACCTCGATAGAAGGTCATTTGAAAACCTCTTTGCTTGAGATTTTTTTCATCAAAATGAGCTATCATGATGACTTCATGACTCCTATTTTCAAATCTCAGGTCGGAGACGAAGTGGGCAAGGCAAAGACAGCGCCAATGAAGATGAAAGTCCAGTTTATGCTCCAAGTGCCACAAGATGACATCAAATCATCGGCATTAATGTTCCGTGTTAAAAAGAGGTGGGATATATAGAGACAATATTAGTGGGACAACTACCTTTTCCTCCATATCTAAAATGTGGCTCCTATATGGTAATGGGACATGTCCCATTGTAAGTAATGATGCTTATTGCTACATATAATGACATTAATTGTTGTTTCCATCTTCAAATAATTCTTTTCCTACTAGAAATCAGGTGATTACCATCTGTGTATGTTGCCAAAACTACAATGCCCCAATTGACAGGAAGTAACAAAACCCGATTCATATTTTTGTATTCATCTGCAGAAGCCTATGCTTTTGCTGTAAAATCTTTGACACATTTTGACATTTTTGGTGCAATCTTTTGTCTAGCCAAACTTGTTATGTGCTTTCAAGGGTAAAAACTTATGTAGGACGGATGCACATACCACTGGAAATGAAGGAGTTCATGTATGTCACTCGTGTTGACATGTCACACATTCATTGGGTAATTTTTTCGCTTTCGAAGAGTTCTCATCTTAATGCAGGGTTACCAAAAAGTCTCTGGAAAACTGTCTTTTCTTGGACTATGTAGTGAGAATTGGAGGCCAATTTGCTCCACCATTTCTTTGAAGGAAATACAACAATAATGCTTATCCAAAATGTATGATGCACATAAACATGTAATAGCAAATGGAGATATTTCAAGTTAAACACATAAAGAGGGAGTGTTAATGAAAATTGAGTGCAAAACTTGCTCATCTTCCTATTGATATGTGTCTCATTGCACGAAAATGTGCATTATCACTCGTCTCGTATAAATAATTAAATATACAACATTATTAATCCAAATTTTGATTTGAAGTCTAAACAAATGGAGATTTTCTACTTCTTATATGAGATGAACATATAAAAGATATTAAACTTTATTAAATAACAATATTCTCTTTCCCGACTATCAAATTGTGGTTTTGAGAATTGAGAACGAGGGTAATGATAGTTTTCAAAACTCATCAATCGATGAATCATAAATTTGCATCATAAAACTTAATACCTGCACAGTTAACAACAAAAATTAAAAAAAAAAAAATCTTTAAGTAAATCGTTTCATAATTTACTATTAATCATGTGGTATTTTGATAGAAAATAAAATTCCACGCGGCATAGTACAATTGGTAGTAAAAGAGGTTAGGATGGTCTTCCTCACATTAGTTTAGCCTTATATAAGACTCACTTTAACTCTTTCCTTATTAAATTACATTTTATTTTTGATAAGAAATATGCTATTTCCATGAAAACACCATTCACATGGAAAGAGTTCATATTGCTCAATTAAGATGTTATTGTTTCCAGTTTGATTAATCATTTAATTTAATTATCAATTTGCTTACTACTACAACTATTTCTATTTATTTATTTATTTCTATAAAGAAATGTCCCCTGAACAACTCTCTAATTAAAAATATTAAACCCTGCTTATTATACAATAATATACTATTTAAGAATTTTAATCTAACAGCGCGGCACACCACTGTAGACCATTGTGATGTTCCTCGAATTGTTGGCCCGACACAAATTCTATCAGATACTGGCCACTCAATCTTGTCGGATTTGTCGATGAACCATTAGTAATGTCAACGTAGTTGTATTGACACGTAGGTGATTGCCACNCCCATCATTGGGCTACCTGAGTTCTGTCCCAATTCTACAAATTGGGTGGCCTATACATATATTTGCAAATTGCAACAAAAGTGACTCGGGCCTATTACCCTTGACTACTGTTCAGCATGAGCGATTACACTACCAATTTACATGTATCTCAATTAATCCTTCTAAGACTCAAGTCTTAGAATTATTGATCAGATAAGAGCTCTAGACTCCTATCAGCAATCATGGGGACTCGAACTTGGAAGACTATATTAGATCATTCTCTTGTTTTTTCACCTTCAAGGACTTAAACTTGGGAGACCATGTTACATTCTCCTTTTAAAAGACCATGTTAAATCCTTCTCTTACTCTTTTATTATATAAAGAACTTGATCTTGGGAGATCATATTAGATCCTCTTTTGATAACCCTTGCTGAGATTGGTTGAAGCCCAGCTATCCTTTCCTCCTATTTTAATGTCTTCATCAAAGCTGTTCATTGTGAATGAAGAAGATTATTTTTAAGTTGTCTATTCATGAGTTCTACAAACTTCGCAGTCTACACTATGCTCAAGTTTCTGGATATATATATATATATATATATATATATTGAAAACGAGTTAATCTCTCCCTTAAAATCTGCATCAGATCTCGTAAATCACGTTTAACTAGACTCCTTATCACATACAAATTAGCATGCGCAAATACTTTTACTTGTGAATGATAATGTATTTAATGAGAACGAGAGAATGTGAAACTTGTATTATAAAATATTATTTGAATTATTTATCTTTCAGGCCACATAAATTAACTTTCACTTCCACCACTTCAATAGTTAATCTAAACAAAAGACAAGACAGTTTTTATGTTACTCAGCACATGTATAGATCCTCTCAAGTCTCAACTATTTAATCTTTTAATTTCCCAGTTTATTAACAAGAAGAAGAGTGCACCATTAATGTTAACTGTACCATCTTCTTCTCACTTTTACAGTTATTAGAGGGCTACTGGTCTTGCGGTTGCAGAAGTGGCAGCCAACATTCTTGGCTCGTTATTAACAAAGAACAAAAAGACAGGAAAGGTTGATGCCAAATCTAATTAAACTCCCTCCACATATCATATAAATACCTAGTTATATAATATCCAAACACTATTATTTGATAGAATTGAGAGGGCAATAGATACAATTGAAAAGAGCAACAGTATGTGCAAGAGATATTTTTGAGAGTGTAAGAGAGACAACTGAAATTATCGGAGTATGCCCAAGAGATATCTAAGAGAAATTCAATTGACTTTGTAAGGATATGAAATATTACAAATAATGATACAATCTCAATAATAAAACAAAGAAAATCATATCTTAGTATAATTAGGAACAAGAATATGTGATTTTCATTCAATGTCCAGATGATATGTGAATTAATGTCATATATTTTCTTCTCATATTTGCGTATTAACATTCCTTTTCAAGTCGGGGCCGTCTCAAGAACATTTGTGACCCTAAGCAAGAGTTACTTTAGAGGCCTTCTAATAATATAAGCATATATTAAAAAATTATTTCAAATTTATTTTTCTTGCCTTTTAAGATGCAAAATCACTAATTAAATTTTTATATTCAAGTTTAGAAACTAAATCTTTTTCAATTGATAATATAGCCAAATTACCTAATATTTTTTATGATATAGTTGAACGCAAATAAGATTTTATTAACTTTAATTTTGAAAAACTTCTTTCTGAATATAATCTAAACCATCAATATCAAAGAGCATGTCATGTTTTAAAAAGTTTTCAAGATTTAAACAATGTTTCTGCAAACTATCATCATTAAGCAATTTTAACTTTTCTATATTATAAATGAAACCAAAATTATTACTATATATTTCAAATTGTTTAAACCTACTTTGAAGTTAGGAAATGACATGATCAACTAAATATGTGAAATAATTTATTCTAAAAGATTCTTCAGCAGACAATTTCATCTCTTCGTTTTCATTCTCATCAAATTATTTTTTTCTCTTTATTATACGTTTTCATGAAATTTTGGTTCTATATTTATTTGCTCTACAATCTCTTTAGCAGAAATCATAGAAGATGTAAACCCATTTTTTCTATATTTTTCAAAAAATGAAACAAGACCTTTCAACTGATCTGTTGCAACAACAATATCCATATTTTCAGATTGTAAATATTTACTAACTGTATTAACAGCAAATAACATTTCATACCAAATATTCATGTCTAATAGAAATTCAAAATTTTCAATCTCATGTGTTACTAAAGAAATAGCTTCACTTTTTGTTTTAGGATCTTCACTAGTTTTTGCTAATTGATATAAAGCATCTCTTATTTGTGGAGATTGAAATTTTATTGCTTTAACACTTTCAGCATGACTTTCCCAACATGTTTGTGATAATGGCTTAAGTGTCAAATTAGAAACATGATCTTGCAAAATTTTCTATCGTTTTGTAGAAGAAGAAAATAATGAGGATACACGTTGTGTCACTCCAAAAAATGTAATAGCATTAGCACATGAATTAGCCATATCATAAAGAACTAAATTAAGACTGTGACAACCACATGATGTATAAAATGCTCTAGAATTTATATCTAATAATCTTTTTTGCACACCTTGATGTTTACGTTTCATATTAGACCCATTATCATATCTTTGTCCTCTCACATTATTTACATCAAGTTCAAGATTTTTTAATATACTTGTGAGAACATTAAAAAAGCCTTAACCAGAAGTATAATCCACTTTTATAAAATCTATAAAGTATTCTTCTATTTTTATTGGACTTATTAAAATATCTATACATCTTAATATAAGTGACATTTGTTCTTGATGACTTGTATCTGAGGTACAATAAAGTATAACTGAAAAATATTTTGATTCTTTGATTTTTTTTTTAATAATGGAATTTCTTATTTCTAATGCTAAAATAGTTATCAACTCATTTTGTATATTATGACCAAGATAATGAGTATGAATTTCTCCATTTTGAATACGTCTAAGGTGTTCTTGCATTATTGGATCAAACTCAGCAATCATTTCAATTAAACTTAAAAAAATTCCATTATTTTCTTGATAAATCTTCTCATTTGTACCACGAAATGCTAAATTATTTTTTGAAAGATTTTTTACAACTGCTATAATTCTTAATAGTACATTCTTCCCATGCTCTTTCTCTTTATTTATTTTCTCTTGTAAATATTTATCAATTGTTTTGTTTTGAAGCAATCTCATCTCAACATCAACACAAATGTTCATATTTATAGTATGTTCATTGCTTGTTTCGTGACTTTTAAGCTTGGCACTAAGATTTTTCCAATCTCCACACCCTCCATTTGCTAATTGAATTGTATTTACTTTTAAACTAAATAATTTACAACAAAAACAAAATACTTTATTTAATTCTTTTGAATATACTAGCCATTTTCTATCATGTTTTTCTCCATGTGATAATTTTCGAATGTAATGAATTGTAGAAAAGCGTCTAGAATTTTCATCTCTTGGAAAATCTAAAACTTGTCTAATTGGACCTTTCTCAACTAATAAATCATATAAGTTTGTGTCTAAATTATTGCAGCGTACTGGATCATAAATATTTTTAATAGTTATTTTATCTTTATCATTAATATTTTTATTTTTGTCGAATGAAATTTCTTCTTCTAAATTTTCATGATACTATTCACTAGTATTTGATGAATTTGAATTGTTATCTTTAAAAATTTCTTCACAATTTTCAATTGATTTTTCATTTAAATCTTCATTTGGTTTTTCTAGTATTTGGTGTTTTGTATTAATAACAAATTTATCAAGTGCACCTTTTTGGGATTGAATTAGTTATTCTATTCTTTTTTTTTTTCCTTACGTTTTTCAAATTCAGATTCATACTTCCTAGTAGACATCTATATTCAAAGCATAAATAATTTAGAGCTCTTAATATTATTTTGCTAAAATAAAAATAATTATAAAAATTAAGAAGGAACTTTAGCACCTGATTTATGCTCCTGATTTTGCTTTTTGCTATGTTGATACTCTAAAATCTTATATTATTACCCTGTATAAAAATAATAATGTAAATCACTTATTCACTTGATCAAATATAAAGTAAAATCAGTTGAGAATGCTAAGAGTAAAATGATTTAAAGCTCTTATAACCTTGCATAAAAATAATAATGTGAATCACGTTCATTTGATAAATTTACGTAATAGAGATGAGAAAGGAGAGACAAGAGATGAGAAAGGAGAGATAAGAGAGTAAACTGAGTTGAGAATAATAAGAGTAAAAGATGAGAAAACTTTAAGTGAAATGAGGTTTATATAAGAAATTGTCTTTCATATTTGGGGGAGAGAAGAGATGTGATTTGACATTTGAGAGTTGGAGAGATGCGTGAAGGTGTTTCAATTTTCAACGGAAAAATGAGCCGCCAATTGTGTTTCAAGTTTAGAGATAGGCATAGCTGATTGGACATATAGTGGGATTGATAGAAATTGAGAAATTATAAATATATTAAAAAACTCTTAAAAAAATTATTTTGGATAGAGATAGGCATATGCGATAGTACATGGTGGATTGATGAGAATTGAAAAATTATAAATATATTAAAAAATACTTTAAAAAATAATTTAGGCCCCCAAAAAGGTAGGGGCCTCACCTGCCTAGGGGTTAAGCCGGGCCTCACCTCAAGCTTGTGGTATGTATAAGTCATAAACCCCAAACTTGCGTAGTGGATGCGAATATTGTCTGCCATTAGATTATAGCAGATTGATTAGCGAAAGCTTAATTATGGAAGACATTATCTAACTCAAGTGCCTATGCATCTTACAAGTTAAAGCAAAACTTGAGGCTAGAGTGCATTGATTAACGAAACAACTCAATAACTCAGGATAGTAATAAGAGTTGAAAATGATTCAATATACACTAGGAAAATTCCTAGGAAACACTGGAAGGGTCACAAATGGTCCCATTTAAAACCCAACATTTTTAGATATTTATCGTCTTGTTAACATAATTTTTCTAAACATGCATATATTCATATAAACAGCTAGACATGCATATATCCATATGAATAGCTACTCATTGTCCTAAAACTAGATGCTTTGATACCATCTTAGAATTGAGAGAGTAAAAAAGGCAATTGAAGAGAACTGTAGTATGCTTGAGAGATATCTTTGAGAGGGCAAGAGAGACAACTGAAATGATCAGAGTATACCTAAGAGATATTTGAGATAAATTCAATTTAATTGTATTGAGTTGTGAATACACAACCTATTTATACAAAAGTGTGATAACCATGTAAGGATATAAAATATTACAAATAATGATACAATCTCAATAATAAAGTAAAGAAAATCATATCTTAATATAATTAGGAATGAGAATATGTGATTCTCATTCCATGCCCAGATGATATGTAAATAAATGTCACATATTTTTTTTCCATATTCGCATTTCAATATTATTGTTCATAATATATATCATGAGTGGCATTGACAGCAGATTGATGCTAAACATTTTGACACCCAAGCATGGAATAAAAACTGCAAGAGAAGTCAGCATAATATTCTTCTTGTCAGTTGCCACCCATTTCATGGAAATGGCGGTTCTTGGGGCTTTTGTTGTGTCTGGATTCTTAAATAGATCCAAAATGAACGTCGGGTTTGGATCTATCAATAATGTTGTTAAGAAATAATGGAGACGTGTTTCAATAACTTTGTGTGTATATTATTATGTATTATGCTTTACAAAATATATAGGTGTACAATGAAACTAAGTATGTAAATTTACAAATAAGGAAAATATTATATAGTAACATATGCCTAAAAAGAAGAAATCTCTGATTTTATGCAATCCATAATTTTGGGAAGATATGATTCTGTCAATAATCCCCCTTAAGTTGGCGCATGGAGATCCATAATGCCCAACTTGCGTGAGAAATGATGGAAAAGTTCCTGGCCTAAAGCTTTGGTAAAGATATCTGCAATTTGCTCATGTGAAGAACAGAAGAAGTGTGAACTTCTTTGAGAAGACCGGAGCGAATTTTATCGTGAATGATGTGGCAATCGATCTCAATGTGTTTAGTACGTTCATGGAACACTGGATTGTGGGCAATGTGAAGTGTAGACTGATTGTCACAGTAGGTTGAAAGGCTCAGGATGAGGGAGGCCAAGATCAGTGAGAAGTTGCTTTAGCCAAGTGAGCTCACAAGTGGTGACAGCCATGGCATGATATTCAACTTCAAAGGAAGAACGAGCAACGGTAGCTTGTTTTTTTGTACGCCACGAGATCGGACTGGTACCGAGCTGGATGAAGTAACATGTGGTGGAACAGTGTGTGGTGGGACAACTAGCCCAATCAGAATTAGTCTAAGCTGTAATTTGTGTGGTGTTAGAGAAAGAGAAAAAAATGTCTTGGTCGGGACTCCCTTTGATGTAATAGAGAACACATGTAGCAGCAGTCATATGAGGAACACGAGGGGCATGCATGAACTAACTAAGAATGTTGATGGCATAAACAATGTAAGGTCGAGTGATGGTCAAATAAATGAGACAACCAACTAGACGACGATAAATGCTAGGATCAGGAAGTAAAGATTCATCTTCATTGGAAAGCTTCAAATGTTGTTCCATTGGAAAGGAGGCAGTCCGGGCACCAAGTTGACCACTATCAGAAAGTATATCCAGAGCATATTTTTGCTGATTCAAGAAAATGCCTGTAAAAGTACGTGCAACTTCGAGGCCAAGAAAGAACTTTAGAGAGCCAAGGTCTTTGTTTTTGAAGTGAGTGGAGATAAGGTTCTTGAAAAACTGAATTTGGGGTAGAGCATTGCCTGCCACTAAGATTTCATCAACATATACAACAACAATAATGATGCTGGTATGAGTGACAAGAGTGAATAATGAGTGATCAGCCTGAGATTGGCGAAAACCTGCATCAAGAAGCACAGTAGTTAGTTTGAAAAACCAGTTGCGGGAGGCTTGCTTGAGACCATATAGGGACTTTCTGAGTCGACAAACATAGGTCTCCCTCTAAGTGCAATAGCCAGGTGGTAGGATCCTGTAGACTTCTTCATCAAGATCGTCGTGCAAGAAGGCATTGTTGACGTTGAGCTGATAAATGATCCAATTTTTTGTTGCAGCCATTGCCAATAAGCAGCGGACAGTGGTCATTTTGGCAACCGGAGCAAAAGTCTCATAATAGTCAAGACCTTCAACTTGAGTGTAGCCCTTGGCAACCAATCAGGCTTTGTACCTCTCAATGGATCTGTCAGCTTTGAGTTTGGTTTTGAAAACATTTACATCCAATGGGTTTCTTACAAGGTGGAAGTTGCTCGAGAATCCAAGTGGAGTTATCTTCTAGAGCTCGGAGCTCAGCGGACATTGCCTTGCGCCAATGAGGGTGTCGGATAGCATCAGAATAGCATGAAGGTTCAATGCAAGAGGTGAAAGCATTTAAATAAGTAATATGTGAGGGAGAAAATCGAGAATATGAAAGAAAGGTCGATAAGGGATGAGTAGTACCTGAAGCCGTTGTAGCAGGTAAAGACGTCGTGGGCTCTGTATGTAAGGTGGGGCATATGTAGTCCTGGAGATAGGCAGGCCGTGTAGTGTGGTGACGAGGACAGGAGATGAGTGGAGGTGAAGGTGGGGAAGGTGGTGAAGGTGGGGTTTCGAGAGGGTTACGAGGTGTTTGGGAAGTAGGTAAAACGGGTTCAGGGATGGGAAGAGGAATAATTGGAGATGGAGAAGGAGAGGAGGAGGTGTCTAGAATATCCTGAAAAGGGAATTGTTGTTCATAGAAGGTGACATCACGAGAATAGAAAATGGACTGTGTATCAAGATTGTAGAGTTTGTATACTTTGTGGGTGTTGGGGTACCCGAGAAAGACACATTTATTGGCACAGGGGGAAAATTTATCATGGTGAGCACGAAGAGTTTGTGCATAATAGAGACACCCAAACACACAGAGGTGATCATAGTTGGGTGTTTTGTTGAAAAAAACCTCAAAGGGTGATTTATTTTGGAGAGTACGATTAGGAGTGCGATTGATGAGGTATGCAGCGGTGAGAACACAATCACCCCAAAAATAAAGGGGTAAGTGTGCTTGAAAACGTAGACTGCGGGCAACATTAAGAAGTTGCCAGTGTTTACGCTCTGTAACGCCATTTTTTTGAGGAGTTTCAATACAAGTACGTTCATGAATAATGCCACCATTAAGAAGATAGGTTTGAAATTGATGAGAGAGAAATTCTTGTCCATTATCAGTTCTAATTATTTTAACAGTGGTATTAAATTGATTTTGGACAAGGGCAAAAAAATGCGTTAAATGAGTATAAGCTTCAAATTTGAAACACATAAGATATATCCAAGTGGTGAGGGAAAAATCATCAACAATTGTAAGGAAATAACGAGTCTCACATAAAGAGGAAGTGTGACATCCACCCCAAATATCACAAAATAAATGACTAAAAGGAGAAACACTTTTATTAGCAAATATAGGAAAATGTGTACAATGAAACAAGGGAGACGTGTAAGAATAACTCTGTGTGTATATTATTCTGTATTCTGCTTTACAAAATATATAGGTGTGCAATTAAACTATGTATGGAAATTTACAAATAAGGAAAATATTCTATTGTAACATATGCCTAAAAATAAGAAATCTCTGATTTTATGCAATCCATAATTTTGGGAAGATATGATTCTGTCAATCGCTGGTTAGAAGTCCATTGACAAGGGTTAAGCTTGGTGAATCTGAGGGATGAAGAAGACAAGGGGAAGGAAGGTTGGGTTGGCTGAGTCAGCCATGGCTTTGCAAGACCTTTTTCTAGGCTGATACCATGTTAAGAAACAAGGGAGACTTGTTTGAATAACTCTGTGTGTATATTATTCTGTATTCTGCTTTACAAAATATATAGGTGTACAATGAAACTAAGTATGGAAATTTACAAATATAGGTGTACAATGAAACTAAGTATGGAAATTTACAAATAAGGAAAATATTATATTGTAACATATGCCTAAAAATAAGAAATCCCTGATTTTATGCAATCCACAATTTTGGGAAGATATGATTCTGTCAATAAATATTTTACTTACAACTGAGTCATACAACCAAGCAAAAATTACATAAAATTTATGTAAAATGACTACTATGTCTTTTATTTTTTGTATGGTTGTATGACGTAGTTGTAAGTATAGCATTGCTCTTTGATCTATTCTGAATGTTCTTCTTTCGTGTGTCTGTGAATGTAACTTAATTTAACACATGTTTCTTTTTTTTCTTTTTAAGATTCAAATCTAAAGAAAGGAATTAAGAAATCAGAAAATGTTGTTCAATTTAGGTATGCAGTTTTTGGGATTAGTTATTCATTATAGGGAAACAGTATTCTTGCGTCTAAGAATTGGATAAATATAAAATGTTTTTATAGGTGGTCTTAGAAAATGAGGAATTGAGGATGATTGTTCCACCTATATGGATACTTAATAGGAAAATAATAAAGACACCGGGAGTAGTGCACCGAATAACGTGACACAATCTTGACCGTCGATTAATTATAACTGAATATTAATCGAAGGTCAGGATTTTGTCACGTCATTCGGTACACAAATTCGGTGCACTATTCCCAGTGACTATAGCATTACTCTACTTAATAAATGTGAATCCTGTGTCAAAACTATTTTATTCCAAAATCATGTTTGGCAGGCACGTTAATATGATATATTAACAAGAACAGTCAGAGAAGCACCCATGGCCTAATGGATAAGGCGTCTGACTTCTAATCAGGCGATTGTGGGTTCGAGTCCCTCTGGGTGTGTGCTTAATGAATCTTAACTTGCCAAAAAATGAGAGACTGAGCTTTTTATAGACAGATGTGTTTCAAACTTAGTAGCATAATAGTTTTTCTCCTTCTCCTCTCCTTATATTTTGCTTCTTTTTCCTTGATTTGAGGAACGGTTGATGCTACCACATTAATGTGATTGTTGACTTGTCCATAAACGAAGACTTTCAGGGTTTGTGGATAATTTTGGGCAGAACCAAAGTTTGTTGGAAAGACAATTTGGTACCCCAAAGATTTGGAAATAACAAACAGTTATTTTCCGATATGTTAGTGAATTTCATCTACATTAACAGGAAAGTCTAAAACGCTCTTATTATTTTCTTCTTTCTCCTTCTCTTTTCTTCTTCCCTTTTCTTCTACACATCTCCTCCAAGATTTCAGCCTTTCCCAAATTATCAAGGAAGAAAGTATAACTATTTGGCTGCATATAAATGTGATAACTCACCTTTAAGCTTTAAGTGTTTAAGCTTCAGAGATTTTTCATGTGAAATTTCGTTGGCGTTTTCTGGCGTACTTGCATCTCAAAAATAAGATTAGATTATTTTTAGAATGTACTGCAGATGAAGTACATGGCATGTTATTAAATTGGCACATCAGGATAGCATGCAAAAGCCTGAGTCTAAACTTAAACTAACAATAGCACAACATTATTTTACGTTTAGAAAAGCTTTACTCCAAAAACGATCATCCAATGTAAACCCCACCGCTATTTATGCTTTGCTTTCATTCTTTCATATAATTACTACCGTAAAAACAACTATAATTCGATTGTGCCAGTGGCAGTGAGTGATGGAGTTGATAATGGGTTTAGAAATTAATCTTAACTTTATTCTCCAGGCCTCTTCATGCCACCATTAATCTCCTGCTTCGACCTTGACCCCAAATTAATAAAAGTGGCAATTGAAGTGGAGATTTTCTAATAATTTTTTAGGCGCTGATATTGATTAAATATGTAGTGGGAAAGTTTGGTGTGGACTGTGGAGTTCAGGAGGGAAATGCACAGACATTCAGCGGCGGTTCGTCAGTTGTTTCATTACAAGGGGCTATTCGATCCATTGAAGGGGGATGCCCCGAATAAGGCTGTGCGTGACACCACTCATGAAACTATATCAGATGTATTCTCCGAAGAAGGCAGGAGGGGAATTGGGACATGGTTTTGGACCGGGAAGTAAGGTTTTCAAGAACTATAGTAATTTGCTTGAGAAATTGATGAAGACAAGTATGGTTGGGTGTTTAATGCTCCTGTTGATGTTAAGGTTCTTGGTTTGACCGATTACTTTGCCATTATCAAGCATCCAATAGATCTGGGAACTGTGAAATCAAGACTGAACAAAAATTGGTACAAGTCGCAAGGGGGGAGGGGGAGTTCGATGGAGATGAAAAGCTGAAATCTTGGAGAAGGAGATGTATATTAAGCGGTGGAGGAGAAAAGGGAAGAAGAAAAGAGGTAGAAAAAAGAAAATAATAAGGGCGTTTTAGTCTTTTTGGTTACTATGGACGGAATTCACCGACAGATCTGGACGGAAGTGGTTATTTGTTATTTCTAGACTTTTTGTGTACCAAACTATGCTTACTGAAAACTTTGGGTGTGCCTAATTTTGGTGAATATAAAAGTAAATGCCAATGGCATGGCAGTGGTGCCACCGCATGGTTCATTGCAGCGTGTCTCAACTGGAACTGTAACGCCTGGTTACCTCCGGACTAACCTAGTAACCTTCAATCCTACATACATATATATATATATATATATATATATGTATGAGCTTAAATCAATGTAATAAATCGCATATTTAATTGTAGATGTATGATAATATATTTACTGTTTGTACAAATCAACTTAGTATTATGATTTTGTTTGATTCATATGCAATCGGGGGAATAATCATAACATTTTCAAATTTAATATAACAGTAAGACAAAATTAATTTCATTTTGATTGATGGAAGGAATTATTGGAATTATACAAGATATTAAGAGTAAATGACTTTTTCTCACCCAAATAATGATTTAATGACACTTTCTCACCAATAAACTTTTAAAATACTATTTTATTTTTCAAATTTATATTCCGTTTCCAATTCTGATATCGTTATGACCCTACACTACCACCATTCTTTTTCTTGATCATCACTCATCAAAACCTTTCCAATCTTATCTCCATTGATTTTATCAATCATTGATAATCGAGTAATTAGAGTTTGCATAATTGTTTCTCTCAAATCAAATTTCGATCAATCTAAATTATGAAAATCTAATCTTTCATCATCAAAAGATTTATCAATCTTTTTTTTTTAAAAGTCTTAATAATTTAAATGATGTTTACTCCTTTACGATATTAGTAAGATGAATAATAAAATAATATTTTAAAAACGTAATCCATTGTGTGGATAGGAAAAAGTCGTTAACTCAAGATATTAAGCATGAATATTGTTTGAAAAAAGGGGCTGAAAACGAGAGAACGGTGGGTGACAATTCCAATAAGACTGGCTGTCCCCCTTTCCGGCTTTCCCTTTGGAGTCTCAAAATATTTATTAAATTCGTCAGTACATGCGTGTCGTGACCAGCAACACTTTCAGCTCCTGATGCTGATTTCTTTTTTTTCTATTTAATTCTGCTTCACTTTTTCAATATTGTAGAAAACTTGAAAGAGAAATGTTAGCTTAGTTCAGTTCTACTTTTCACAAGTGAACTTCACATTCCACGGTCACGATTTCAACTGAAGAGAGATTATTGGCTTCTGATCTTTCAAGATTCTTCCTTTGTTCTTATATTAGTCTTTCTTCCTTGGCCTACCACGTCCTTTCATTGCTGAATGCTGAGTGTCCACACCTCTTCTCACACTACCTACAAAACCTGCAACTTAATTTCTGTTTTATTTACTGCGCTAAACAGCTAAAAGCTGTTGCTCGTTGGGAAGAATCAGATGGGAAGTCAAAGAGCTTCTGCTTCAGATGAGAAGAAAATGATCACCGAGCCACTGTTGAGCGATAGTCTGAACCCAAAGGGTGGCCTCAGAACCATGCCTTTCATCATAGGTAACTCTAAAATGAATCAAAACCATTCTATTTAAATTCTTATGTACATGTAAATTTCATGAATTAATGAACTGTGTTTTGTGATTTCGACAGCAAACGAGGCATTCGAGAGGGTGGCGAGTCTTGGTTTACTAGCAAACATGATATTGTATCTATCAAGAGAATATAACATGGAAACTACAGAGGCATCTAATATACTCTTCATCTGGTCAGCTGTCACTAATTTTACACCAATTCTTGGGGCCTTTATCGCCGATTCTTATACGGGTCGCTACCTGATGGTCGGTTGGGGTTCCATTGCTACACTCTTGGTAATCTTTTATTCTTTCAGTTCAGTTTTAGTGTTCATCATTTCTTGCATACTCAGATAGATCTCCTCTAGCTTCCCCTGGGTTATTATGTTATATTGGTATTGGTGGACCATGTTTTCCTTTTCACTCTTCCGAATTCTAAGACTTCTCCTCTTTTCTTTTTTGTATTTTTCGCCAACCTTCAATTCAATGTCTTTTTCTCTCCACAAGACAAATTTCCCTACACAACCGGCTTTGAATTCTTTAATAATTTTTGTTTCTAGTCTTATCTCTCGTCCCGCAAACAAAAAAATAGTCTATTAATTTCCGACAGATGATAACTAGTGTTAAAAGATACGATAATTCGTTCGACGGTTGGTGAGTTCAGATCTTCTATTCGGAATTATAGTAGTAAATTTAATAATTATTTGGCTCTGAGATTATACTCTATTGATTAATCATATATCTTTAAAAATCTAAAAAATTGTCGAAATCACTTGAAGTGCACAGAACCAAAATCAATTTAAGAAAAAAGTATACTTGGTTCGGAAATCGAATCCTAGTTTGATGTTAACAGTATGGATTTTCGGAACTGTGCCTTTCTCAAGATTTTTACATATTTTGACCTCAACTTTTTTGGCTCCAGGGAGCTAGCGAATTTTTGAGGCAAAAGTCGGAGAGAGCTGTATTGGATTTTGATTATATTATTTTGTTTATGACAGGATTTTCCTACACATATAGTGTCCTGAAAGCTGATATATGTTAACAATTCAACGGTAAATGTCTTAAGTCTTTGTAGTTCATGTCTAGGGTTCAAGTATTCTTTACCTAATTTAGATGCAGAATAGATTGTAAACGAAATTACCCAATTTGATTTTTTTGAAAAATATATTCTTTTCTTGGGAAACCAAGGTCTAAGTTCCTGTTTTCCCTGACGACAAGAAGACAGTGACTTGAGATATTCTGTCTAAATATGCAGTTTCGATCACAGAAGTTTTCAGTGTTAAGGTTTGTGTTGGAAAATAATGCTGCTGGCAATTGGCAGCATCTATGAAAGCTGATTGTCATTTTGGAATAAAAATGGGATATATGGAACCTAGTTTTTTTATTTTTAAAATTTGAAGAAGATTGATGCCAACAATAAATAAGGATTATTTTAGTTGTGTATTCTAAGGTAGCCTCTATTATATACAAATTATAGGAGTTTCTTTTTAACTTTTTCATGTTACAGGGGATGGTTCTTTTATGGTCTACAGCCATGTTTGAACAAGCAAAGCCTCCTCCTTGTGAGCCAGGAAGTAGCATTTGTGAACCCCCGACGACATTCCAACTTCTGTTATTGTATTCTTCTTTTGGTCTTATGTCTATTGGAGCAGGTGGCATAAGGTCATCCTCCTTAGCCTTTGGTGCTGATCAGTTAAGCAGGGGAGACAACCTCAAAGATGCAGGCATCTTACAGAGCTACTTCAGCTGGTACTATGTTTCAGTCACGGTTTCATCTATGTTTGCAGTAACTTGTATTGTGTACATTCAAGATAACATGGGATGGAAGGTGGGTTTGGGAGTCCCGGCTGTACTGATGTTCTTATCAGTTCTTTCATTCCTCTTGGCTTCTCCCTTTTATATCAAGTTGAAGGCTAAGACAAGCTTGCTTGCTGGGATCGCTCAAGTCTTTGTTGCCTCTTACAACATTAGACATATGAAGTTATCATCTCAACCCACCGATGAAATATACCATCAAAGAAGGGGGTCAATGCTTCTCAAGCCAAGTGAAAACTTAAGGTATTATCAAATAAACATTATGCTGATAGTTTTTCAGCTTTGTATTTTATCTTTGTTCCACATTTAGTATCAGAGCAATGAATTAGAAATTAGAAATTAGACAAAAAAATCTGTTCCTTATGTTTTTTATTACCATTCTTTTATAAAAAGTATTACAATTTGCCTGTCCAGGTGTTTCAACAAAGCTTGCATTGTTAGAAATCCTCAACAAGACTTGACAACAGATGGAAGAGCCTCAAATCCATGGAGTCTTTGTACAGTAGATCAAGTAGAAGAGGTAAAAGCATTAATCAAGGTGATGCCACTTTGGTCGGCAGGAATCATGATGGCTGTGACTATTGCTCAAAACACCTTTCCAGTAATCCAGTTGAGCACAATGGACAGGCACATCACTCCTTACTTTGAAATCCCTGCAGGCTCTTTCAGCATATTCATGATCATCACTCTAATCTTATGGATTCCCCTCTATGATAGCATCATTATCCCACTAGCTTCTAAAATCAATGGAAAACCAATTTATCTAACCTTGAAAAAGAGACTGGGAATTGGACTACTTTTCTCTTGTGCATCCTTGGCAGCATGGGCAATTGTGGAGAGTTTCCGCCGAGAAATTGCAATTAAGGAAGGATTTTCGGATAACCCTCGAGCTGTGGTGCACATGTCTTCGATGTGGCTACTGCCACATTATGTCCTGGCAGGGTTGGCCTTGGCTTTCAACATCATTGGGCAGACACAATTCTATTACTCTGAACTACCTAAAACCATGTCTAGCATCGGCTCCAGTCTTGTAGGAGTAGGAATGTCGGCAGCGAGTTTGGTATCAAGTTTTATAATGAATGCTGTTGATGATGTTACGAAAAGAGGAGGAAACGAGAGTTGGGTTTCAACCAATATCAACAAGGGTCATTATGATTATTATTATTGGGTTCTTGCGGGTTTAAGCATGGCTAATTTTATTTACTTCCTGGCTTGTAGCAAAGCCTATGGTCCTTGTAAAGAAGAAGAAGTGGATGGAAAGGAAGAGGATAGCATGAGTGATGAGCGTTAGTTTTTAAATGATCTATAATATTGTATATATTAACCAGCGAAGTTAGTTATGCTAATAAAAACGAAGAATTGAGGTTTAATTACCCAGTCCCCATTAGCTAACTTGTATGCGAAGAAATCTTTACTTTTCTCCTCACTGTAAGTGCCTGTGGGTGTGACATTTCTATTGCGTCTTACAGTTTTTTGCAGTGCCCATGGTGGTTCACCTATTCTTTGGCTCGTTATCTCCAATCTTCTGAAAGAAGAGGAGGAGGATCCCAGATGGTAACACAACTGAAACAGTCCTTATGAGAAGAAAATGATATCGTAGAGGTACCCTTGAGCAAAAAAAAAAACGCCTTTCATTATAGCTAGTAAATTAAGAATCCATCTGTACAGATATATGTTGATTTACGTGTACTGTGATTGATTAACGTAAGTAAACGGTTTAAAGAAGGTTTTGTGTGGCAGCAAATGAGCATTTGAGGTGGTGGGACTGGCAGAGGAGCCAACATACTGTACTTGTGGTCAGCTGCCACCCATTTTATGTCAACTCTTCTCGACTGTTATGTCGCCGGGTCAGGATCTATTGCTAGCTTTTTCATATTCTTTCGTTGATTCGTATCTTTCTTATTCAGCTTTACTTTTTATTTCTGTCATTTGTTTCATTAATTACTTGAAGGCCTTATCACATCTCACCCCCACAGGCTTGGCGAATAACAAAACACCCACTGGTTTGAAAAATTCAATTGTAATCTCCATTCCGTTAGATTTTGCGGTTAAAACTAACGGATAGAAAGGTCATTTTGACCTTTTAATAAGGGTATTATTGACTTTTTAAATACCCTTAGAAACCTTAATTTCTTTTATATTTTTCTCCCCTTCTTCCTTCTTCCTTTTTTCTCCTTCTTCTCGTCTTAACTTCTTCGGTTCTTCCTCTTTTTTTCTTCTCCCGCACCATTTCAGTTACCAGATCCCGGCATCTGTAGCTACAACGAGGCCGGTAAAAGCCACTATGCGACAGTGCGAGGCTGGGCCCGGCCACGCGCTGCTGCAGTGAGATTCTAGGTTCAATTTTTTTGGGTTTTCTTTGTTTTAAAGTTTCATAGGTTTCAAAACTTATTTTATGAACTTTTTGGTTTGTTACTATGAATTTGATTAATTTTGGGTAATATTTAAGTTTTTAAACTTTTAATGAAAAGTAAAAATGTGAAATTTAATTCTAAAGAGGAACAAAGAAATAAGAGAGCGACAAAAAAAAAAAAAAAAAAATTCATTCATTTAGTTTTATGAGTTTTTGGGGATCAGAATATAATTTAATCCTCCATTCATTATGTTGTCGAACTATTCTAGGTTTTCCGTATCACATACAACAAACCATTAAAGATTAAAAAATAAAAATATAATGGAGAATTGATCATTTAGTTTAGAGTAAACGACTTTTTCCCAACCAAGGTTTGTCTAAATGAATTTCCCATCCAAAAAGTTTCAAAATACAATTTTTCCACCCAAAACTTATATTTCGTTAATACTCAAAATACATTTCACTTTCTCAGCAGTCATTCGGTGAGTTGCCAGGAGTTAGGGTGAGAGGAGTTTTGTAGAGTGGAGGCCAGTGGATCAAATAGTCATGACCGATTGAATATTTGTCGTTGGAAATTAGCTAATAACAGAAAACCCTAACATTATGATGGTCAATAATCGGCAAGAAATTAGATGCCAGAATGAGAGAAGTTTTATAGAGAGGAGAACAAAGACATGGTGGTGAGGAAGAGAATTTTTGGAATCAGCTTTGGGTTGTAATTAAGGTCGAACGACTTATGCATATCCAAGGTTTGTCGAAACGATAAGTTGGTACCCAAAAGATTTTGAAACGAGAAATAGGTACCTTCCGTCATGTTCTGTTAATGATTTTCATTTGATAATAGTGAAAAGACTAAAATGCCCTTAAAAGTTTAATATTTTAGATTTTTATAAATTTAAAAATTTCTAAAAAACCCCCTAGGTTTGCTAATTTGACTAAATACCCCAATATATAAAAATTTTATAAAATAACAAAAACACCCCCGCCACCCGCAGTGCCAGATTCCAGCCACCACCGCCGGAATCTGGCCGGAAAATTGCGTTACGACACAGACCCATCGATCTTGTCGTAACGCGTAGATCTTTCATTTTTCGACAAAATCCTGGCTGATCTCTGGAAAAGGCCAGATCTACGGCCATCTGGCCGTCGAGACCGAAAACTTGTCAGAAAATTATGTTACGCACAGACCCATTGGATCTATGTCTACCACGTCGATCTGGCATTTTCCGGCCAATCCGTGGAGGATCTGGCCGGAAAAGGCCAGATCTGCCGTCGAGGCCGGAAAATGCTAGGTCGGTGTGTTACGACACAGATCCGATGGGTCTGTGTCGTAACACAATTTTTCGGCCAGATTCCGATGGCGGTGGCCAGAATTGGCATTGTGGGTGGCGAGGGTGTATTTGTTTTTTATAAAATTTTTATATATTGGGGTATTTAGTCAAATTAGCAAACCTATGAGGTTTTTTAGAAATTTTTAAATTTATAAAAAACTAAAAATTAAACTTTCAAGGGCTTGAGTCTTTTCACTATTATCTAACGAAAATCACTAACAGAACATGATAAGGTACCCATTTGTCATTTTAAAATCTTTTAGATATCAACTATCGTTTCGATAAACGTTGGACATGTATAAGTCGTTCTCCCTGTAATTAAATATAAACTTACTTGGGAAGGTGACTAGGGCAAACCTTGGGTGGGCAAAAGTTCGGTAACACCTTTAGTTTATTATAAATTCCTTCCACAATGCGAGGAGTTATTTTGTCTCAGAATTGGTGCAGTTTAGTGCAGTGCCAATATTTAAAAGAAAGAAAGAAAATTCTAATTAAATTTTAAAATAAATGGGGACCAAGTAGTCAATTACATTATTGATTATTATAAAAAGATCAAAAACGGGGACCAATAACATAAAAATAAATATTTAAATTTAATTATCTTTTTATTAAATATTTTTTAATAAACAGGGACCAATGTACATCACAATAATTCTAATTAAAATATGCTAAAAGTTATCATCAATACGCTAATAATAAACTATTTGAAAAGGAAAGATCAGCAGAGAAGGTGGGTGGGTGAGGTTCCTACTCCTAGTCCTACTATATACAATTAGTATCAAAACGTTGCTTAAATTCATGACCAAAGCCATTAGCTCATGGTGCTTATTTTTTCTATTTAATTTTTCCTTCACTTACCATTCAATGCAGTACCTTCCGCCATAACTGATAAATGTTATATATATTTAAGTTTGTTTATATCTCCTTTTCAGAAAGGGAAATCCACTCAAGATTATTGGCAACTTAGAAGAGACATCTTTCTGTAATCCCTTCTCCATTGAATCATTGTTATATTATATTATTGTCTACCACCTTTTATTGATTGCTCAGTGTCCACAACTCTTCTCAGTTTGATTACAGATACTGAATCAGATGGGAAGTGAAAGTTCTTCTACTTCAGATGAGAAGAAAGTGATCATGGAACCTCTCTTGAGCGATAATCCAAACCCAAAAGGAGGCCTCAGAACTATGCCTTTCATCATAGGTAATACTATAACATGAATCGAAATCATGCATGCATGTTTAATTACTAATATTTTTTTTCATGTGTTAATGAACTGTTTTTTGGTGATTGTGACAGCAAACGAGGCATTTGAAAGGGTGGCGAGTATTGGGTTGCATTCCAACATGATAATGTATTTGACGAGAGAATATAACTTGGAATCTGCTGCAGCAACTAATATACTCTTCATCTGGTCAGCTGTTAATAATCTTATGCCAGTTCTAGGGGCCTTTATTGCAGATTCTTACGCAGGTCGTTACCGGATGGTCGGTTTTGGTTCCATTGCTACCCTCTTGGTAATCTCTTCCATCTCACTTTTACATTACTGTTCATTGTTTCCTTTTATATTATTTTTGGACTGGACCATTTGTGTTGTCCTTTTCATTTCCATTATTTAAACATCTTTTCATGGTTATTATCACCACCATCAACTCTCCTTCGCCCCAAGTCAAATTACCCCGAGACCAGGGGGCAAGAAAATTAATATCTAATAATTCTTGTGGCTAGTATATATATTATTATCTACCGCCCGGGGACCATGTTTGTTAATTTTGGGTGAAGTATTCTTTGGTAATGTTTCGTCAGATTGTGTCATGAATGCTGGTATATGCTAAAATTTTAACTGTACATGCCCTTGAGTTTTGGCTCATTATTTTTCATGTGTATTCTTCAAGCACTTCTACTTAATCGAGATGATTAATAGATGGTAAACGAAACACGTAAATGTTTTTTATTTCATTAAATATGAAAAATAAAGCCATTTGATTCCTTCCAGTTTTCTTTACTGAATAGAATCTACACATATTATGGCTAAACCCATTTCAGTTTGGACCGCAGAGTTTTTGTTGAAACCTGGTTTTTCATAAGTTGAATTGGATCGAGCCAAAATTGCCACCATTGCGAATGAATAGAAGAAAAGTTGTTTCTTTTACTCGAGTAATACAAGGATTCCCCTATCATATAGATACACAAATTGTTTAGAGGTTCAGTTTAGCTATTTGTTTTTCATGTTACAGGGGATGGTTCTGTTATGGTTGACAGCCATAATTCCAAACGCAAAGCCTCCTCTTTGTGACCCAGCAAGTGGCAATTGTGAACCCCCGACGACATTCCAACTTCTGTTTTTGTATTCATCTTTTGGCTTCATGTCTATTGGAGGAGGTGGCATAAGGTCATGCTCCTTAGCCTTTGGAGCTGATCAGTTGAACAGGGGAGACAACATAGAAAATGCAGGCATTTTACAAAGATACTTCAGTTGGTACTACGTTGCAGTCTCGGTTTCATCCATTTTTGCAGTAACTTGTATTGTGTACATTCAAGATAACCTGGGGTGGCAGGTGGGTTTGGGAGTTCCTGCTGTACTCATGTTCTTATCGGTTCTTTCTTTCTTCTTGGCTTCTCCCTTATATGTCAAATTGAAGGCCAAAACAAGCTTGCTCACTGAGCTCGCTCAAGTCATTGTAGCCTCTTACAAAAATAGACATATGAAGTTATCATCTCAAGCAACGGATGAAATATACCATCACAAGAAGGGATCAATGCTTCTTATGCCCAGTGAAAATTTAAGGTACCATCAGATAATGATTATGTTGATAGTTTTTCATCTTTCTAGCTATATTGATCTTTATTCCACGTCTCATATCAGAGCAACAAATTGGCACATCATATTTATCTATTTTAGGAGCACCTTTTTTTATCTGTGATGTGGACTGCATTGAAGGTTTATGTAGGTGATTACACGTTTGGGATATTTCTCCTGGATATCAAATTATATCGAATGTTTAAGAGTGACTAAGCATATTCTTTCTAATGAATTTTGGCTTTAGCCTTCTATTAATCACTGAGAATGTCCAGGTGGTTAAACAAGGCCTGTATAGTGCGGCATCCTCAACAAGACTTGACCTCAGATGGAAGAGCCACAAACCCGTGGAATCTTTGTACAGTAGATCAAGTAGAAGAACTCAAAGCATTGATCAAAATTATTCCACTTTGGTCTACAGGAATTATGTTTGGTGTGACTCTGAATCAACAATCATTTCCCATAATCCAGCTGAGCACAATGGACCGAAAAATTACTTCTAACTTTGAAATTCCTCCAGGCTCCTTTGGCATATTCATGATTATCGCTGTAATAGTATGGATTCCTCTCTATGAACAAATCATTATCCCTCTAGCATCTAAAATCAGTGGAAAACCAGCTTATCTGAGCTTGAAAAAGAGACTGGGGATTGGACTACTTTGCTCTTGTGCATCCATGGCAGCATGGGCAATCGTGGAGATTTTTCGCCGAGAAATTGCTATCAAGGAAGGATTTTCCGACGACCCACGAGCTGTGGTTCACATGTCGTCAATGTGGTTATTGCCACATTTTGTCCTTGGAGGCTTGTCCATGGCTTTCAACACCATTGGTCAGTCTCAATTCTATTACTCTGAGCTACCTAAAAGCATGGCTAGCATATCTTCCTCTCTCCTTGGAATAGGAAGTTCAGCAGCAAGCTTGGTATCAAGTTTCATAATGAACATTTTTGATAATGTTACTAAAAGTGGAGTAAAGGAGAGCTGGGTTTCAACTAACATCAACAAGGGTCATTATGATTACTATTATTGGCTTCTTGCTGGTTTAAGTATGGCTAATTTTATGTACTTCCTGGTTTGTAGCAAAGCTTATGGTCCTTGCAAAGGAGAAGCCAATGAAAAGGAAGACATGAGTAATGGGGAATAAGTTTTATATAAACCAGTGAAGTTGCAGTAATGAATTTGACCATTGTGTACTGTGTAATATCTAAAAAATTGGGTCCTTTCTTATGTAATCGAGGGCATTGAAATAGTTAAATTGGTTCCCCATGAAAAAATGCATCAGATCCCCGGACATGATGTTTACCCAATCCTTATCAAATACTACAACTTAGCATGAGTAAAGTTTTTAACTTGTGAAAAATAAATTTAACGAGAAACGTGAAACTTATTATAAATAATATTTGAAGCATCTTTCTGTCACCACACTTTCAATTCCCTTTTTTCCCGGTGGTTCATTAATCCACTGAGAGAAGATGGTCTTAAATTAGACTAATAATTTGAGGCTTAACCAGTCGTATCAACTAAATAAGCACACAAATATCTTTGAGTACGTAACTACCGCCAGTTAAATCTGCCAGCTTCTCTCACTTTTGGTAGATGTCAAAGAATTGTATAGAGATTGTATATTCAATATTAAAAAAAAGTGTACAATATATAGGTTCAACAATCATCCTAATAATGAAATTAATTAAAACTATAAGGAAATACAATCATCATTATAATGAATTTAATAAAAAATATAAGAAAATATAATAATCGTGATAATAAGAAAATAAATGATTTTATTCCTTAATAGATGTGACATTGCTAGTGTGTAATGCACTTTCTTGGTTCGTAAACTCCAGTCTTTGCAAAGAAGAGAAAAACAATTGGGAAGTTCTTCGGACGAGAAGAAAATGATCAAAGAGACACTTTTGAGCACTCCAAATCCCAAGGGTGGCTTTCAAACGTTGCCTTTCATCATAGGTGAGTATTTTTTTTTTTTTTTTTTTATATACAAATTAAAGCATTCATGTATAGACCTACACTTGATGATGATGCTGTTGATGTTGGTGATGGCAGCAAATGAGGCATTTGAGAGGATGGCAAGTGTTGGCTTGATGCCAAACATGATATTATATTTGACCAGAGAGTATGGAATGGAAACTGCAAGAGGAGTCAACATACTATTCATCTGGTCAGCTGCCACCAATTTCATGCCAGTTATTGGGGCTTTTCTTGCAGATTCTTATGTGGGTCGGTACCACATGATCAGCTGTGGATCTATTGCTAGCCTTCTGGTATTCTTTCCTCAATTCATCATTAATTTTCTTCTTATCATCAATTTTTCTCCTGTGTGCATTCTCTAGATTTGTTGAATGATATATATGGTTTTATATTCTGAATGTTATTATTTCGTCTTTTTCTGTGTAGGATTATGAAACATTAATATAGTTGAAGAACCTTGATGTTGCGTTCTAAGAATTTTACATTTGATAATTATAAACGATCGTTTAAATGGGTGGGAATCTTCATAATTCATTGTTGTGACAAAATTTACATAAATTCTAAGCTTAGGTGATCTTTCTTTGTTGTTAGATATGAGTCTTCCTTACTGTAATTTTGGGACTAGAGAGTAGAGACTAGACAGCGATTAGAAGTATCCCCTCTAATCCACTTCATTATGACTTTAGATATAGCTTATTGTCATGCCTTGATCAAACCATGTGTATGAAGCCAGTTTTTGTCGGGATACAACAAAAATCAGTTAAACTTGTCTTGTTGCAGGGATGTTTCTGTTATGGTTAACAACCATTTTTCCGCCAGCAAGGTTTCCTCACTGCCACGAATTAAGTAAAAACTGCTTATCTCCCACGACATCCCAGCTTCTGCTCTTATATTCATCTTTTGGATTCATGTCAATTGGCGCTGGCGGCATTAGATCATCCTCCATAGCTTTTGGTGCAGATCAGTTGAAGTCCGGGAGAGACAACCTAAACAGTGACGGCATATTAAGGTGCTACTTCAGCTGGTACTATGTTTCAGTCTCAATTTCAGCTATTATTTCAGTAACTTGTATTGTTTACATTCAAGATAAGCTCGGATGGCGGGTGGGTTTTGGAGTTCCTTGCATGCTGATGTTGTTGTCCGCTGTCCTTTTCTTCGTGGCTTCTCCCTTTTACGTCAAGCTGAAGGCTAAAGAAAGCTTGCTTACTGGATTTGCTCAAGTTGTTGCAGCCAGTTATAAAAATAGGCATATAGAATTATCATCCCAAGCCACAAATGAATATTACCATTACAAGAAAGGAGCAGTGTTTGTCAAACCAACTGAGACGTTAAGGTATAGTATCAATTGGGTTTAGTGCTGTTCATATTGAACATGACAAAACTTGTAAGTTCTTATAAGTATTCTTTTTTGTCCTCTCTGTCCAGGTTTCTGAATAGAGCCTGCATAATTAGGAATCCTCAACAAGACTTGGCACCAGAAGGAAGAGCTTCAGATCCGTGGAGTATATGTACAATATATCAAGTAGAAGAACTGAAATCGCTAATCAAGGTGATTCCATTGTGGTCATCAGGAATCATGTTGTGCGTGACTCTTGGTCAAAGCTCAATTGCAGTACTCCAAGCAACTACAATGGATAGACACATTACACCAAGCTTCCAAATTCCTGCAGGCTCCTTCAGCTTCTTTATGATTTTCACAATAACAATATGGATAACTCTCTATGATCGTATGATTATCCCTGTAGCATCAAAAATCGTCGGAAAACCAACTTATCTCGGCTTGAAACAAAGAATGGGGACTGGACTTATTTTCTCCAGTTCATCCATGGCATCATTGGCAATAATAGAGACTATTCGACGCAAAAGAGCGATCGAGGAAGGATTTTCAGACGACCCACAAGGTGTTGTGAAAATGTCAGCAATGTGGCTACTGGCATATCATATTCTGAGTGGTCTGGCAGAGGCTTTCAATGTAATAGGACAGATTGAATTCTATTACTCAGAATTGCCTAAAAGTATGTCAAGTGTAGCTTCCTCACTTGCTGGAGCAGGGATGTCAGCAGCTAGTTTGGTGTCCAGTCTGATATTGAGTATTGTTGATGATGCTACCAAAAGAGGAGGAAAAGAGAGTTGGGTTTCCAGCAATATCAACAGGGGTCACTGTGATTGGTATTTTTGTATTCTCTCAGGATTAAGCTTGCTTAATTTTGCTTATTTCCTTTCTTGTTGCAAGGCTTTTGGCCCTTTAAAGGAGAAAGCAATAAGAGGTGCCCTTCAATAAAGGGCTTGCGATGAGAGATGATTTTTAGTTTTTCAGTTAATATTTTCAATAGGTTAGGTTAGGTTAGGTTATGCATTTAGTTTTTTTATTAATACTTTCAATAGGTTTATGCATCATGACATCAATAATTTGATGTTCAATGTTAGGTAATTATTATAATATTTAATTCATATACTTAAATATTAATGTTAAACCCTTACCTAAAGTTTTTGGTTAAGTGGTTACTTAATTGGTGTGTCAAAATTAGGCTGCGTTTGAGGCATTATTCAAACCCTATCCTATCCTACTATTTTATCCAAAAAATGAAAAATGCATTTGTTTTAATATTTCCAAAATCCAACCCTATTCCATTCAACTCAAAATATTAATAATTATTTTTCTCAATAAAAGTTTTAAAATTAACAGAAATACCCCCACCTTCTCAATAAAAGTTTTTAAATAGCAAGAACACCCTCACCTACCCATTAATTGTCGGCCACCACCGATGGACGGTGGCCGAAAGTCGCTGTAATAGCATACGATTGGCTAGATTTTGCGGGTTGTACGTCGATTTGGCTTTTTCAACCAAATCTGACCATTTTCAGCCAAATCTGTAGTGGATTTGGCTAGAAAATGCCAGATTAGCCTAGAATCGACCAGATCTAGTATGTCGTATGCTATGTTGACGACTTTCGGCCATCGTCCGACGGTGGTGGCCGACTGCCAACATTTAATGGGTGGGTGGGTGTGTTTTTGTTAATTTTAAAATTTTCACTATAGGGGGTGTTTAGCTAAATTAACAAATGTAGAGGGTTAAAATAATCTAAATATTTTTTAGAAAATGTTTTCCAAAAATTCACTAAACATATTTTCAAATTCAAATCATATTCTCGTGAAAACAATCCAACTCAACTCAACTTTACCTTTTCAAAAATACTATTTTAAATACTTAAACAAACACAACCAATCTCAGTACCTTAAATTTGGATTTTCAGATCAATCTCTAAACCGAAACCAACCTTAATCAAATTCACATTCCACGTGAAGAGTTGTCTCTCATCGAGTCCATTCCGTTAGAGCTTAAAATCATATTCATTTCAAGTTGGTCTCTAATGATTGAAATTAGACCTTTACTAGAAACTTAATATGTTTTATAAAGTGGTTATTTAATAACAATAATACTAGACGTTCAAAGAAATCTTATAAAGATTTATATACAAAGTGATGTGAAAGAAAATGAATGGACGAGTGAATACAAAAAGTCAAACCCATCATATTCACTCTTCATCAATTGATAATTGTAGTAAATTGTTTACAGTCCTATTCCATGAATAATGCGAACAATAATAAAGATAAGCTAACAAACGAATCTTACTAATTTTCTCTCACAAACTGACAATTGATAATTAGTTTCTAATGAATTCATCAGACGAAAAAATTCATCAAAAACCAATTAGCAGTTATCACGTCGTTTATGAGAGAATGTTCGTTTGTCAGCATAATATTGCCCTGTGAACAAACAAGTGAAGATGCTCAACCAACCGGAAAAAAAAAAAATGAAGGTGTAGTTGCATTATAGCAGCGCTTTTTCCCCCCCATCCACTGTTTTCTGTTAAAATCCAGGAATGAATGCAGGAGATGAGTTAAGTGAGATGCAGATTCATTTGCAGTCTTTAGTTTTGCTGAAACTTCGTATCAACCTTTGCCATATTATAATGATTCATAAATCAACTTGAAAGAATATGCACTCCCAGAACAACAACAACAACAACAACAACAAAAAAAAAAAAAAAATTATAAATACAAACTAA